ACTTATTTTAAAATCATTGAAGGAACTAGGGTGTTCCACCTAGCAAAGATAATTCAAATGGAAAGTCTGATTGACAGAAAAATTAGGTATGTTCATATAGGCCTAACCAATGGACACAGACAACAGGGGGGTGAGGGCATGAGTGGGGAGGGGGTAATGTGGGGATAAGGACACATATGTAATAGCTTAATCAATAAAGAAATAAAAAATAGGTATGTTCTGTGTGAAGCTGAAAGACAGAACTTGGGACAAGAGGGTGAAATTTGTGGGAAAGTGTATATTGTCTTAATTCTAAAGAACAATGGTCAATATCTGCAGTACTGGGAAATGAATGGAATTACTTTTTGGAAAGGTGAGTTGGTAGTGAACCATTAAAACTAGCCAACTTTGCCCAGAATACTAGAAAGGTTCAAGCTACATGTTATGGGAACTAGACTAGTAACATGAAAGTTCTTTCAACTCTGATTAGATAAGATTTGTTTTGGTTTATTTGAGGCCCATTGCATTCACTAGCCACTGAAAGAATTGTGGATCCTACTTTTAGAAGTAATATATAAAGGTTTTATGATTTTAAGAAATTTGACAACCATTATTTTATAGGAAACATAAGCTTTTTTCTGTACTTTACAAATAGGAAGTAATGTTGAATTTTCTCTAGTTTGAGAGAATTGAAAAATATGAATTTCTTTGCAGAAGAGTATGATATTGTGATGGCTGCCAGTATTTTTGTAGTATCTCTGTTGATGCTATTGTACATGCCTAATTGATACAAGGTAGTTAAGAGTATTCAAGTCTAAAGTTAACTTTCAAACAATGACGGAAAAGTGTCTTAGCTCTTACGGCTTTGAACTTTATTTCAGATGTCTGAATTAGTTAACTAAATAATAAATAAAATGTAAGACTAAAATGGGACTGATCTCTTGTTTACTGCTATATCATTTAACCAAAAACAGTGTTACATGCTCATTTAATTCTGGGTCAATCCATGGTAATGCTACAGTAACCAAACCAACACATTTGTTTTATTTTCTAAAGTTGCCATATGAAAAAAAAGTCATGTTATAAAAAGTTGTTACAAAGTGGAAAGCAATATTCATAAGGACTAGAGAGTTGAAAAATGATGTAACATTTTTATTTGCAGGAGTTAAAGTAACAGAAGTGTGTTTGTTTTAGTGTAAGTTAATGTTTATTCTATTAAAAAATCTGACCTGAAAAAATCTGACCATTCATGTTGATCAATGTCAACTCAATAAATTAGTTTAAAAAAGAAATCTGAGCATCAGTTGTCAAATCCAAAATTGATTATTTCCCCAGACTTTCCTTCAGTGGTCTTTTCTTCATCAACTCTGTTACTATTAGCACAACTATTTTTTTTTAATTGTTCTTATCTTTGTCACCAATTATTATGGGAACAGAAAGCCCCATAGGTAAAGCAGTTGCTTCAAAGAGTTTTTAATTTATTTGAGTACAATTGGTTTCATGATTCTGAGTAACATTATATTAAATGGTAATATAAATCATATTATTTAATAAGCTATTACATTAGAATAAATCTATTGATGTGTGTAACTTTAGTTCCTGGATAAATAGGAAACCAGTGTAGTAAGTAAAGTCAATAATGAATATTAATTTCCTAGTTGGGTGAAAAGTGTTTGCTTTCATGTTTCCTTATATATGTATATGTATGTTTATATTGTTTTTATATTATGTATGTGTATGGAATCTTCTACTGCCTCCTGCATGCCCCTTACTAGGGATTGAGCCCACAATCCGGGTATGTGCCCTGACCAAGAATCGAACCTTGACCTCCTGGGTTCATGAGTTGATGCTCAACCACTGAGCCACAGAGGCCAGGCTTTAGCATTCTTCTTAAGAAGGCTTTATCAGAGCTTTGAGTTTACTAGTCATGACAGATATTTGGGCCTAATGGGCACCTAACTCCAGAATAATTTTATTGAAGATCTAGATTCAGCCGTGGGCAAACTACGGCCCGCGGGCCGGATCCGGCCCATTTGAAATGAATAAAACTAAAAAAAAAAAAAAAGACCGTACCCTTTTACGTAATGATGTTTACTTTGAATTTATATTAGTTCACACAAACACTCCATCCATGCTTTTGTTCCGGCCCTCCGGTCCAGTTTAAGAACGCATTGTGGCCCTCAAGTCAAAAAGTTTGCCCGCCCCGATCTAGAATGTGCTCTCACAATATGGTAGCCACTAACCACTTGTGGCTGTTTAAATTTAAGATACTTAAATTTAAAATTCAGTTGCATTAGCCACATTTCAAGTCTCAATAGCTGTATGTGGTTCATAGCTACCTTACTGGACTATAGATGTAGGACATTTCTATCATCTCCAGAAGTTCTTTTGCATAGCATTAATAACCTAGATGACAGTTACATAAGACACGTTAGAAGGGGCTTATTTGTATGGAAATTAATCTACAATTGCAAAGGATCTTTTCTTATCTGAGCTCCTCTGAGACTGAATGTGACAGCATCAGTTGACACTTGGGACATTTCAGGCATTTAATTTTTATACTTTTGCTCCCAGAGTAAAATAAACATTCTGTACTTTCATTTTAAGATTATAAAAATTGGCATATTTGACGCTCAGGATGATTTTGAAAGTTCGAATTTGTGATTTTACTTTTCTACCTAACGTTTTATTGTGCAATATTCTTAGGTAAATACTATTTAACATGATCTTATTTCTTTATTTTTCTTCGTTTCCATTCAGTGGTTAAGCCTCTGAAGTTTTGAGGCTTTAGCTGTTTAGGTAAATCCTCATCTACTTCACCAACCCCTCAACCCTTACTCCTCCTCAGAAAGCAGCGAATGAATGTTTTTATGTTAGAAGGAAGTTCTCTCATTTTTTAGTTTCCCACTCAACTTTAGACACGTGAAGTTAGGGGGAAAAATATTTATAATATAGCACTACTTTTTGTAAGAATGTGTGGTGTGGTAAAGATTAATAGAATCTATCATTTTTCTTCCAAAAGGAAATAACTTTATCATTTCTATTATATGATACCCTGATTATATTATATAATATACTGAATAGAAAAATTAAAATGTGGGAAGTTTATCTTTTTCTTAAAAATATATTTTTATTGCTCTCAGAGAGAGAGGGAGGGGAAGGGAGTGGGGGGGGGGAGAGAGAGAGAGAGAGAGAGAGAGAGAGAAAGAAAGAAACATCAATATGAGAGAGAATCATTGATCGGTTGCCTCCTGCATGCCCTCAGCCAGGCACTGAGGCAATGTGGGCATGTGCCTAGACCGGGAATCAAACCCGGGACCCTTTAGTCCACAGGCTGACGCTCTATCTACCGAGCCAAACCGACCAGGACTGTTTTGTTGTAGTTGTTAACCCTCACCTGAGGATATTTTTTCCACTGGTTTTTAGAGAGAGTGGTAGGGAGGGGGAGAGACAGAGAGAGAGAAACATCTATGGAGACACCAGTTGATGTCCTCCCGCAAACACCTTGATTGGCCTGGGATTGAGCTGAGGTACGTGCCCTTGACCAGAATGGAACCTGGAACCCTTCAGAACCAGGGCCGACACTCTAACCACTGAGAAAACTGGCTAGGGCAAATTTCTCTTGATTTTAATGGGAATATTCCTAGTGTGTTACCTTTGAGTCCGATAATAGCTGTTGAGTTAAGGTAATGTATGTATTTTTACTGTATTAGTAGGTTAATGCAGAAAAACATGATCTCTATAGATAAAAAAAAGGCATTTGATTATATTTAACATCCAGTTTTGATCATTTAAAAATCTCTTAATATAGATATTCCAATAAATATGATAATTTTTAATATATTAATATATTTTATTAATATATATTTCTAATATTGAACTCTCTTTTCCTAAAATGAACCTTCCTTGGTCATGGTATATTACTATTTTAATATGCTACTTGATTTTTATTGCTAATATGAATTTAAAAAATAGATTGGTGTGGTTTTTTTCTTTATTTGTATTGTCTTATCACATTTTAGTGTTACTGAAAGAATTGAGAAACTGCCCTTAGTCTGTTTTCTGGAACAATTTAAGATGCATGGGACTTAACCTGTTCCTTTAAGATTTTATCTCCTGGTTCGAGTCTTGGTGCTCTTAGGATATAACTCTTTGAAGTTTTCTTAAATTCTTCTATGTTAGATTGATTTATTCTTAGTTTTTAAATTTATCAGCATAGATTTATATACATCATTGTGTGTGTGTGTCTATGATTATAAATGCTTTCATTCTTCATTTTGTTTTTTTTCTTAGACTAATGTTTTGCCTATTTTATTATTTTATTTCCAGGGAACGAATTCTTCAGTTTTAAATAAGGGTTTCCAGTTTAGTTTTACTTTTATCATTATGCATTCCTCTCCTAAAGGATTACTGATATCCAAATGGTTTTTCTACTTTAGATGTTTGTTACTTTAAGTGAAGGAAGTGAATTGAGAAGTGAAAATTGCTTGTCTGTGATGTATGCTTCCAACTTCTATAAAATTGCAACACTTAAAAGTAATAGGTAGTTGCTTAAATAGAAATGATTAAGATTCCAGAATATGACTGTGACTGACCAGTTGCAGGTCATAGCTTTTCCTTCCTTTATATCATGGTTTTGTTAAAAGGATATTTTGTAAGAATTAGTAGTGTGCAGTGTTTTGTTTTTAATATAGTTTTTCCATTTAAATCTTTTGGCCTCATCAGGTGGTGCTTTGCTAACTTTATGTGTACTAATAATATAAGATTACTTGTATAAACCATAATTTTCTACTTAAGGATCTCACAAGTTCACAGTAAAATGAGTGGTGGTTGAGTTTTAATACCAATAACATTTTAGAATGTTTAAACGTGAGAATATAAAACTATATTATATTTAGTCACAAGCAACGGACACATTTCTGTTTATTTATTGAAATGTTCCTTTTGTGTTGATGTCATATATATTTTCTTATAGAATGTTTATTTTAACACTAAATTTAAGTACTTGTTTTCCTTTGTAGGTATAAGCGTGTCTTTTCTGTTGGAACCCATGCGATTACTACATATAATCCCAATACTTTAGAAGTAACAAATCAGGTAATCATGTTAGAAGCTGTTAGGTGTTTGAACACCATTTGAATTTTAAAAGTCAGGGTATGATCCATAACTCCTTCGCCTGAAACAGGTTAAAACTTTAGGATAGAAATGCCAAATATGAAAGAGATTGATATGCTTATGTAATGCTCAATGCTCAGGACCAAAAATAAATTAATAAAAGGGAGGCAGGAAGAGAATGTGCTTATTTCCAGGCTCTAAATGGTATAACTTTTTGATATGTTACTATCTATAGATTGTAGCCATCTTGCTTATGTAAAATTGATACATTAGTTCTTTATATTTTTTAAGGCTGTATTGTTAGTATAATACAGGCATACATAAGTCACAAGTGCAGTCACAAGGGTAGTAGTGGTTGGAAAATACTTGTCATGGAACCAGGATTGCTGATTATAAAGTGAAGACTAATCTGAACATGGATAAATAAACATTTATATATATATTCTAGCTAATTTTAATTCTAAATTAGGCATGTTTTACAGATTCCTCTTTTTGTTGTTGTTTTTAACAGATTTGCAGGTAATAAAATTTTATTCAATTTGTTTTATTTTTATGTATTTATTTTAGTTGCTTTGAATTAATGCCATTAATCAATAAAATTTGGATACAGATAGGATTTTTTTATTGTTGTCTCGGATGATTGAAAACTTTTAACGATTTTTGTTACAGAATTACTCTAAGATATAAATTCTAATAGACCTCAGTATTATTTTGTAAAATTTTTCGTATTTGATGATTGTCAAATTAAAGTAGGGAAAATAATTATTGAATTATTTCACTACATTATAGCACCAGTTCAAGTAATTCCTTTCTTTTGTTAGTGGCCTTATGGAGACATTTGCAGCATCAGCCCTGTTGGAAGAGGACAGGGAACAGAGTTCAACCTCACATTTCGTAAAGGCAGTGGAAAAAAGTCAGAAACTTTAAAATTTTCTACAGAGCACAGAACAGAACTTCTTACGGAAGCATTGGTAAGAACAGTTCCATGTTAATAAACTAGATTTCTCCTCTTTATAAAATGAAAGTTATGTTAAAGTAAGATATTAAATGTTCTGAGCTTCTGGTCTCACTATGCTTAATGTTCTCTTAACTGACCTTTAACATAACACTGAACCTTTCACTTTCTTCTGTCTCAAAGAGGGGAAAATCCTGTGTAATTGATGATGTTTAGCCTTTTAAGTATATACAGAACAAAGCAGTTATATGTTTATTGTTTCTTGTTTTTCATTAAAGTTCCACACACTTTCTATTAAATATCCTTTTTTAAATATCAAGATTACCAAGTTGGGATTTTACTTGTTCTGGATTCTTCCCAACCAATCTGTTGTTATCAACTGTGGTTATATTTTCTCTTTCAGAGATTTAGGACTGATTTTTCAGAAGGAAAAATTATAGGAAGGGTAAGTATTTAACATTTATTAATATATATTTTTATTTGTTCAAATGTTGCCCTTTATTGTAAAAATCATCCCATGATCTGTATGTTCTTTTTCTGGCAAAGCTAAAGGGAAAAAAGGAAACACAGATTTAATGTCTCCTGGTAGTACTTGTTAGGAAAATAAATGTAGTTTAACAGGAAACTCAAATATCAGGAATTAGACTGTTTAAGCTAGTAGTTGGGAAAAATCTTTAGGTGGGGAATTATGGAGCAAACAACACTGTCACCATTCAACTAGTCTTGATTTAGTATTCTAAAGAGCAGCAGTGAGCATCACACTGCTGACAATACCTGTTGGAACATGCAGTAGTTCTTTTGGTGTAAGAATTTCCAGTTTCAGAGTATGAAAATTGTAAGGTTTGGGTATATGAAAACTGTCTTACTATATGTTCTTACTCTGGATCTGGCTGCTAATGTAGTTTTCCATAGTGCACCAACACCTTTGGGGAAGTCATGCTTATTAGTTAGAATCTTCTTACTTTTTCCCAGGCCCTCTCTAATCACGTTAGGACAGCATTTAAACTAAATCCAAGACTTCTGGGGTAGGGAAATGGATGTTTATGCTCTTTTTACTCCCTTGAAATATGGAATTTTTTTTCCATGAGAAGATATACTTTGATAACTGAGGTTAGGAGGGAGCAGAATAATGCCTACACTCATAGCACTGTTCAGAACTCCAGCTTCTGGCAAAAGACAGGAACTGAATTCTGATATGCTGGCAGTGCCATTCCCCTGTCTTTTTAAAGCCCTCATCACCTACTGTTTTAACATCCCAGAAGCCTTACTGATCACAGCTCAAGTAATTGGCTGGTTGCCTTAGAACCATTAAAATAGATTAATGGCAATGGCAAGCTGCTTGTTTCTTGTTCCTGATGAGATGCAGATTTCTATAAATTATAATTTGATAGTCTTTAATTATTTTATGTTAGGTGATCTTTCTGTAAATCTCATCTGTTTAGCATATTTACAGATTTGATTTAAGCTTCCCTTTATATCAATTAGCTTTAGCAACTTGACACTTTTTAAGACGTTGGGGTGGAAACAATATCTCTAGAAGATTGCCTGAAGGACAGTCCACTTGATTTTACACCTGGAATAAGTGGTACTTTCTCTTCCTCGCAAATGCTGTGCTGGCCAAACTACACTCTTGCATAAGATGAATTTGGCCCTCAAACCTTCAAAATTGCCCCTAGATATACCTTAAATCAGGGTTTTTCAAATCTCTCTTTTGACCTTCACAGTCCTGGGAGATAATGGTGTTTCCAGTATCTCATTATGACAGTTGATTATCTGCTGGGAGGAATGGAGAATATCCTGCAGAGTGGGTTTGGGCATGTAAATAAGCATAGATGGGAAAAGCACCACCTTTTTTGTGCCTTCCCTTCCATCCCACTCCTGGAGAGGTATCACGGGCGCTCTCCTTATGTTCAGAATCAAGGCTCTAAATATATTCTTGGGTTAATGCAGGCCCTTTTGTCTTCATGCAGAATTCCTTATATGGAACTACTAGAGGCCCGGTGCACGGGATTCATGCACTGGTGGCCTGTGGGGATCAGCCCGCTGTGGGAGCACCGCTCATCCCAGTCAGCCGAGTGGCTGTGGACATGCCCTCTGAGCAGCTGCTCCCTGGTCTGGTACCTTCTGTGGAGCCCAAGCACTCGCCTTTCCAGGGGACCCAGTCAGGGCTGGGCCCAGGGATAATAGCTCTGAGAGGCGGCAGAGTAGGCCTCAGTCCCGTGGCTGCCACGAACCCGCTTCCCAGCCTCCGGGGTCAGCTCTGAGAGCCTGGCGGCGTTGCCTGCAGTCATCTGGAGGGAGGTGGCAGGGAGCAAGGAGAAGGAGGAGCCTGGGGCCAGAAGATGATGATCACAGCTTAGGTTCCTGCCCGTTGGCCGGGGTTCTAAGTGGGAACAATCACTCATCCCAGTCAGCCGAGGGGTGCTCCCACTGTGGTAGTACACTGATCACCAGAGGGCAGCTCCTGCGTTGAGCGTCTGCCCCCTGGTGGTCAGTGTGCAGCATAACAACTGGTCAACCGGTTGTTCTGGTCATTCTGCCATTTGGTCACTGGGCTTTTATTATATAGGATAATGTGTATAATGACATTAACCAGTAATGCTGAGGTGACTTGATGTGCTATGATCCTATGAACCTCATTATGGGGATTAGTGATGGGATGCTAGTAGAGGTGTTTATTATGTAATGCCTTACTTTCTTTTTTGAACACTGACAAGATAATTTCTCTCCTATTTCAGTATTAGAAATAGTTGTACTTTTGAGCAACCAATTTATTTTTGCCTTGAGTCATGTAACTGACCATATTGATGGATAGGAAACTGTGGATTTTTTGGGTGGGCAAGGAGATATTCATTTCACATCTAACAATTTGTTATCCTTATATTCTCTTTCTGATTTTGCCTGTATTTTAAATAATTTTTTATGTATCATAAATTTTGATTAGCAGCCTCAACTAAACATTTTTTTTTCTTTTTAATAATTTAAACTGGGTAGTAAGTGGATGTTGACCATTTTGATAATTTCTAATACTAGGTACTTCAACTTACGAAAGAATGTTATAGTCTAAATGGAATTATACTTGCTAATGAGATCAAACTTCTAAAGATAACTTCCCATTGGTGTGATTAGAAAAGCTTAAGGTCAGACTGATGCTCCAGCCTTTTTTGTGCATGTAGAAAGAAAATCTATATTAATAGACTGAACTAGCTCAGGTTGTTTAAATTGAATACAGTCCCTTTCCCGAAATGTGACTTAGCTCTTTTCCATATACTAACTTAAATAAAAGAAGCTCTTTTCCATATACTAACTTAAATAAAAGAATCCAACAACAAAAGTTGAAATTTTTCCTTCCTTTGTTTACTTTTTACAGATTTGCATAAGAGTGACTTACTAGTAAAATTGTTTTACAAAATATTATAACCCAGAACTTTGTTAATTTAATAAGGACAAATTTTCTTACAGTAGAGTGGATATTCCTTTTTAAAAAAATAAATTTTTATGGATTTCAGAGAGGAAGGGAGAGGTAAAGAGAGATAGAAACATCAGTGATGAGAGAGAACATCTCCTGCACATCCCTACTAGGAATCAAGCCTGCAACTGGGGCATGTGCCCTTGACCAGAATTGAACCTGGGTCCCTTCAGTCTGTAGGCTGATGCTCTATCCACTGAGCCATACCGGCTAGGGCTAGACTGAACATTCTTAATGAAGTAAACACAAACTTCCAAATAGCTAAAATTAATGTTAATAACAATTTGGGTAGTAGCTCTAAATATTTATAGTATTGTTTAGATTTCTGGTGGTTTCAGCTGTGACTGGTACATTAAATGTAACCTTATTTTATGTTTAGTGTATACATGAACCTAAAATTAATATTATTTTTCTCTAGAGATATAACTGTTATAAGCATCATTGGAGTGATACAAGAAAACCTGTTATTTTGGAAGTAACTCCTGGAGGCATTGACCAGATCAATCCTGCAACTAACAGAGTTCTCTGTTCCTATGACTACAGAAATATTGAAGGCTTTGTGGATCTCTCTGACTGTCAAGGAGGGTTTTGTATAATTTATGGAGGATTTAGTAGATTGGTAAGTTGTCTTTTAAAAAGTCATTTTTTTAAAAAAGGGATATGAACATTTGAAGGAAAACAGGGTTTTTCCACTTTATTTTGAAATTTCATTTGAGTCCTTTGGTATTAAATATGGTATTAAGAGTTCAGGCTTTGCCAAAACTGGTTTGGCTCAGTGGATAGAGTGTCGGCCTTCGGACTGAAAGGTCCCAGGTTCGATTCCGGTCAAGGGCATGTACCTGGGTTGTGGGCATATCCCCAGTGGGAGATGTGCAGGAGGCAGATGATCGATGTTTCTCTCTCATCGATGTTTCTAACTCTCTATCTCTCTCCCTTCCTCTCTGTAAAAAATCAATAAAAGAAATATATTTTAAAAAAAAAAAAAAAGAGTTCAGGCTTTGATACCAAAGAGCTTGAGTCTTAATTAATTTGCAGCTCTCCAAAATGAGAATAATATATATGACATTGTTTTTTGTTTTGTTTTGTTAATCCACCCTAGGATATTTTTTCATTGATTTTTCAAGAGAGTAAAAGGGAGAGGGAGAGCCAGAGAGAAACATCAATGTGAGAGAGACATATCAATTAGTTGTTTCCTGCATGCACCCTGACCAGGGCGAGGGAGCCTGCAACCACAGTATGTGCCCTTGACTGGAATTGAACCCGGGAACCTTCAGTTTGAGGGCTGACGCTCTATCCACTGAACCATACCAGCTAGGGCTGTTGGGTTTTTTTTGATGTTGAAGTTGAAGTGAGATAATTTATGTAAGATACTTATTAGCACAGTGTATAGCTTCATATTCAATAAATGGTAGGTTAAAATTATTATTATTAATTAGTATTAACGTCTTACCAGCAAGTGTCTATTCTTTGAAAAGTAATTTAAAATCTCTTGTTTTTATAGTCTTTTTTCCTTTGCACAGCTGTTTGTAATCTGAAATCTGGATAGTCATTGAAACTTCAGATTTGGAATTTTTGCATATTTTTATCTTATAATTATGAATTATATATGAATTGTGGGAGACAACAGGAGCCATTTAAGATACTGAGATCCTGTTTATCAGTATTAGAAGCTGGGCTATAGATGATGACCATCTTTTTTTAAAATAAGAAACATCCTGCCTTCCTCATTGAAACCCCACATCTCAAAGATGAGCAGTAGAGAATGTCCACATGAAGAGGCTCATTTGAACTCACTCTCAAGAATCCTTTCTCTTGAGAATTTTAATTTCTGGAGCTACATGGCCTGAGAACAGTACTCCAAGATTTAATGTTCTTTTTCTTTTTCTATTGAATTTATCGGGTGACACTGGTTAATAAAATTATACTGATTTCAGGTGCACAGTCTACAATACATCATCTATACACTGGATTGTGTTTACCACCCCACGTCAAGGCTCTGTCCGTCACCATTTATCCCTCCAATACCTTTCTCCATCTCCCCCTCCCAAGATTTAGTGCTCTGCACCTAAATTGTCCTTACCTGGCTAGCAGAGCCCAGGGCAATCCTGGAACTTTTAAATACGTAAGAGGCTAGGGTAGCAAAAGTGTAGTAAAAAGAATGAAGGAGAGAGGCAAACAGTTTGATTGCCAAATATGTTAGCTCTTCAGAGCTATAGCCTTTTTCCATCCTATATTTCACTCTTTATTCAGGTGATGATTACTATCCTAGTGTCCCTAGTCCAGGAATGTACTTTTGGACATACTGTTACCTCTGAATCCAGACCCAAAAGATGAAATCAGTTCCCTCCCCCACCTTAAAGCAGCCTAAAGTCTGATTTGGTAGTGCTGTCAAAAGGCTTGTCTCTTAGGGCAGTGGAAGTTTATAATGATTAACCCCTTGGTGGAAAGCATACCTAATTATAGACTATGGCCTTGCAGACCTTAACAGGATAACCTTTTTAACCAAGCTTTGCAAATGCATACAATAAACATTAAGGATGAGAATTATATAATACTCCTCAGTTGCCAACATTTTTTATTGCCTAGTGGCATCAAGCAGTTTTAATTTTAATCATCCACTTTCTTTATTTAATATATTTTTATTGATTTCAGAGAGGAAAGGAGAGGGACAGAGATAGAAACATCAGTGATGTGAGAGAATCATTGATCGGCTGCCTCCTGCATGTCACCTACTGGAGACCAAGCCCGAAACTGAGGCATGTGCCTGATCAGGAATCGAACCGTGACCTTCTGGTTCATAGGTTGACACTCAACCACTGAACCACACTGGCCGGGCTAATTAATCATCCCACTTTTTAAGCATATTCTGCCTTTTAAAAGGCTAGCTAAAATGAGTCAGTTCACTACAGTTAAAAGAGTATGACGGATACATTCAACAAATCTTTATCTGGTACCTTCTATATCCATAGTGACTGTGATAAGGTGTTGGGAATAAAATCTTTTTTAAAAACAATCTGATCCCGTGTTTCTCTGCAATAGAGCTATTGGCATTAGAGCTATTGGCATTCAGACTTACCTGCAACAAGTCCCATTTTCTTGAGTGGGACTCTATACCCTTTTCAGGGCATTTAGCATTTCTAGCCTCCAGGCACCAAATGCAAGTAGCAATACCTTATTCTCGACCTTTGTAAATACACTCCTAGAGGTTGGTTTGTAATATATATAAGCCAATGACTTGTAAACATTTAAATGTTCTTTAAGGTAATCTTTCAAGAAAGCCCACTATATGAAAACATTAAATCAAAACTACCTTAGTGGAAACTGAAATCCTGCCCATATAGTACCCACCAACCCCACTGGATTTAGCTGGGGTCCCTGGAGACCCTTTTGAAAGCCCCAGAGTGCTGTTGTCCACATAGTGATGAAAATCACACTCCGAATAGTTATAATTTCCATGCATTGAGTTATTTCTAAGACTATATACCAAACTTTGTGATTTTAATTTAGTAATAATGTTTCATCCACAACACACTGCTTATTTACTTCTGATAAGATGTTCTACCTTTTTTCCCTTTAGAATTGCTACTTCAGTCTCTTTCCTATGAGTTGATTCAGTATGATTATATTTTAGTTATTGCAACCCTGACTTTTTAAATTTCAAAATTTGTGCAGCATTTATTTGCATCAGAGCAAAGAGAAGAAATTATCAAGAGTGCAATAGATCATGCTGGCAATTACATAGGTATTTCATTGCGGATCAGAAAAGAACCTTTAGAATTTGAGCAATATTTGAATCTGCGCTTTGGAAAATACAGCACTGATGAAGCCATCACATCTTTAGCAGAGTTTGTAGTCCAAAAAATATCACCTAGACATTTGGTAAGACCTGTGTGTTGAAAGCAAAAATTTGTTCACCTGATTTTAATATTTTTCTTCAATAACTTTTTACTGTCTCTCAATTTTGTTTGAAGGAACCTGTAAAAAGACTGCTGGCGCTTACAGAAACATGTTTAGTGGAACGTGACCCAGCAACTTATAATATTGCAACATTGAAGCCTTTAGGAGAAGTAAGTTTCATCAATATTAGCTTAAATGACGTTTCTTCCTATTGATAAATTAGAGTACATTTCTATTTTAATATTCTTTCCATGCTTAAAGAATGGGAAACAGGAATAATCTGTATTTAATTCTTTACATTATTTAGAACAACAAATATTTCAAAATTTATTTTCAAAGTATATAGTGAATTTTAATTAAATTATTTATTTGATAATTGTATGAAAATTTGATATTTAAGCAAGCAGCTCTTAAATTCTGATATTGTAAACAAGCCACATTTTAAAATAGTGATTTTTGTAAAAATGATGTGTGGTTTTATAACAAAATATCAGAAAATTAAACATCTTCTTTTGAATTTTTTTGTTTGTTTGTTTTCATTAGGTGTTTGCATTGGTTTGTGACTCAGAAAATCCACAACTCTTTACCATTGAATTTATAAAAGGGCAAATACGGAAATATTCTTCAACAGAGAGGTATTTTTAAAAAAATTCATCAAGCTTTTGAGATTCTAGTATGTGCAATGCAAAATGCTTCATCAAAGAGGAAAAACAAAGATTTGTATCCAGAACTTCCATGCAATTTAGAAAATGATAACATTATTTTGTTGTATATTTAAAATGACCATTTAGTTTGCAAATTTCTAAAGTGAATAAAAATGGTGACTTGATTTTAAATGAAATGATGAAAATAAAGTGTATTTCTGAAATTTAAGCTTTTAAAGTATATTTTTAAAAATTGTACCTGCCACTAATGGTTTGAATCACACCAGCAAGTTACTTTAACATGAATACTGTACTTGAAATGAGATTTTTATAAGTGAGCATTGTTAGGCTAGTTACTAATTTTTCATTGGAATAGGCCGACATATTACTATGACTTATCTGTTGACATTAAAACTTGTGAGATGCTATAGCTCATAAACTCCTGTGAGAGAGAGAGAGAGACACACACATCGATTGGTAAAGCAAACACATTTATCACGCTGTGCTACTGTGAATGACTGGATCTCCCTTTCTATATTAAGCCACTATCATGGGATTGGCAGTGTTTAACCTTCTAGGCAGTTCTTTCATGCTATTGTAAACAGATTCAGACTAAAGCTGTTGTTGAAAGTTAGTTAAAACAGTTCTGGTGTATTTTGCCACTGTTTATAATACAGCCTTATTATTTTCACTTCCTGTAGTATGACCAGTTTCTTTCCTTAAAAAGCTTTTGATCTAAAGTCTACAAAAATGGTATCTTAAGCAAAAGGTTGTATTTTTTCCTGTCCTAAATTCAAGGAAGAGAATTGCCGAAAAAGAAAAAAGTGCGGATGTTCTAATCAGAGGAAGGATCTCAACACTTAGTTTGTCATGTAGCTTTAAGTACATTATATTGTTTAATTTTGATAGTAGCCCTAGGAAGAAGGTGCCAATATTCCCAGTAAAGCTTACCTGCAACAAGTAAAGCAATTTCTTTGTGACTTTGGAGTAGGAAAAGATTTCTTAGCTATAATATTGAAAGCACAGTTCATAAAAGAAAAATGTTGATTACTTAGACTTCTATGTCAGAATTTAAAACTTTGCCCAATAAGAAAAGGAAGAGTCAAGCCACAGACCAGAAGGAAATATTTGGATTTTCTTTTTTATCTTTAATTTCTTTATTGGTTAAGGTATTACAAATGTATCCTTATCCCCCCATTAACTCCCAGCCTCCTCCCCACCCCCCACTCATACTCTCATCTCCCAGTTGTCTGTGTCCATTGGTTTGGCTTATATGTATTCATACAAGTCCTTTGGTTGATCTCTTCCCCTTACCCCCACCCTCCCCTACTTTCCCTCCTGGGATTGACAGTCTGATTGCTGTTTCTGCGTCTCTGGGACTTGCATCCAGAATATATAAAAAACTCTTCTAAGTCAATATTACATAAAGAAAAAAACAATAAATGGGCAAAAGATTCAGATAGACACCTCATCAGAGAAGATATATGAATGATAAATAAACACATGAAAAGACTGAGTTATTAGGAAAAAAATTAAAATCACTACACACCCACTAAAATGGGTAACATCAAGAAGATCAGCAGTGCCAATTGTTGGCAAAGTTGTGGAGAAACTGGAATTTGTAAACATTGCTGGTGAAATGTAAAAATTAAACCTGCTTTGAAAAATAGTTGGGCAGTTTTATAAAAGATTAAACATATATTTATTATGTGACCTAGCAATTTCAATTCTAAGTACCCAAGAAAAATGAAGCCCTGGCTAGTGTGGTTCAGTTGGTTGGGCATTGTCCCATGCACCTAGAGGTTGCTGGTTCAGTTCCCAGTCAGGACACATGCCCAGATTGTAGGCTTGATCCCCAGTAGGGGGCATGCAGGAGACAGCCCTTGGTGTTGCCATTGTTCAAGATTTTGGCCATTCAGATAGGTGTGTAGTAGTATCTCACCTGTTGAATTTTCATTTTTCTGATATGATGTAGAGCTTCTTTTCATGTACTTATTTGTCATCTGTATATTTTTAGTGATGTCTGTTAAAACGTTGGATCATTTTTTTAATTGGGTTGTTTTTCTTACTGTTGAGTTTTAAGTTTCTTGTATATTTTGGGTAATCGTCGTTTACCATATATGTCTTTTGTAAACATCTTCTTCCAGCCTGTGGCTTCTCTTTTCATCCCTTAACAAAGTTTCTTGAAAAATCAAAGCCATAGAGATAGAAAGCAGAGAGTAGTTCCCTGGGCTAGGGAGTTTTTTGCAAATGGGCACAAGGAAACTTCTTGGAGTGACAGAGGTGTACCAAAACGGGATGGTGGTGATGATTGAACAGCTGTGGAAGTTTACTAAAAATGATCAAAGTGAGCATTTTAATTGGGTGAATTTTGTGATTTGGAAGTTATACCTCAGTAAAATTGTTAAAAATAATAAGACCCAGAAAAATGGTAAAGCTACAACAGTGCTTAAGTAACTTGTACAAGGTATATGACAGCAAAGTGAAGAGGCTAGTATTGGAACTCCAAACTCTCTCCTAAAGCCCCTGTATTTCTCCTTGTATCCAGTGTCCCCCAAGCAACTTAGCTGCTGATGGGTCTATGTTCCTTCTGAATCAGAATTCCCCTTAATTACCAATTGTAAAACCTTTTTATTTTTAACCTTGCTTAGAGACTCCTTATTAGCAAGTTTGCTGGATGGAGTAAGAGCCTCTGGTAATAGAGATGTTTGTGTGAAAATGACACCAACCCATAAAGGTCAGCGATGGGGGTTACTAAGCATGCCTGTCGATGAGGAAGTAGAGAGCCTTCATCTCAGATTCCTAGCTACACCTCCAAGTAAGTATTGATTTAAAAGTAATTGCATATCCATCCATGTATTTAATAGTCATTTAGGAATCAGGAATGCAAAACTAAGTCTTTTTGAACCTTTTTATCTCCTGACAGATGGCAACTTTGCAGATGCTGTATTCAGGTTCAATGCTAATATTTCATATAGCGGCGTTCTGCATGCAGTAACGCAGGATGTAAGATAAATTGTATCCTAAGTTATTCATTGTCTGTAACTTTTAGTGTGGAAACTTTTTTGAAATAATCTTTCCTCACCTAGGGTCTCTTCTCAGAAAACAAAGAAAAGCTGATCAATAATGCCATAACAGCATTATTGTCCCAAGAGGGAGATGTTGTTGCTTCCAATGCAGAACTAGAGAGTCAGTTCCAGGCTGTGAGGAGGCTCGTGGCTTCCAAAGCTGGTTTTCTAGCCTTTACTCAGCTTCCAAAGTAAGTTGTCTTCTGAAACAAAACTTCTTTTAGAGAATTTTAACAATTCAAAATAACATAATCAACAGTTCACCTCTTTATAGCTGATTAAACCAGATGTGATAGTTTTTATTCATGAGAACTCAAAAGGAAGGTGAATGGAACTGAACCAGTAATATTATTTACTCTCGTTGCAGTGAATTTGGGAAATTACATGCCCTTTTGTTTTAATTAACCTCAAAAACATCTTCCCCGTCAAAGAAAAAAATTACTAAGAAAACTGATATATTCCGTGGGTGGGACTTAAAATGTCATTGCTGTAGTACTGTAGTGGAAACTTAATGACTTATTATTTTAGACTAGAGGCCCAGTGCATGGATTCGTGCACTGGTGGGGTTCCTTGGCCTGGCCTGTGGGGATAGGCCGAAACCAGCTCTCTGACATCCCCCAAAGGGTCCAGGATTGTGAGAGGGCGGTTCTGTGGTGATGCACTTCCCAGAATCGTGCTCGTCACCTTAGAACTGCAGCTGCTAAGTCACCGCAGCTTGGTAGCTACTGCATTGAGCGTCTGCCCCCTGCTGGTCAGTGTGCGTCATAGCTACCAGTCAGATGGTCAAATGGTTGGCTGGTTGCTTAGGCTTTTATATATATAGATTTTAATAGTAAAATAATAGAATAATGCTCTGGTATTGCTATTATATGCTTGTGGGGGTTTTTTGTTCAAGGTTTCGGGAACGTCTGGGAGTGAAGGTAGTAAAAGCACTCAAGAGGAGCCACAATGGAGTGATTCATGCAGCTGTTGACATGCTCTGTGCCCTCATGTGTGTAAGTAGTGTTTTTTATAGGAAACTGGTTTTTCTTAAGTTCACTGATGGTTTCAATTTCCACAAACCCCGATTTTAATTTTACCAATGAAATTCAGTGTTTTTATATTTCTTAAATTGCTCTTATAGCCATTTATTTATGCAAATAAACATTTGTTTAGCACATCCTGTAAATTAGACATTGTGCTAGAAATGCAAAGAAGTTTAAAACAGAGTCCTTTTCACCCTAGCCAGTTTGCTCAGTGGATAGAGCGTCGGCCTGCAGACTGAAGGGTTCTAGTTCGATTCCGGCCAAGGGCTCATGCCCGGGTTGTGGGCTCGATCCCCAGTAAGGAATGTGCAGGAGGCAGCTGATCAGTGATTCTCTCTCATCATTGATGTTTCTGTCTCTCTCCCCTTTTCCCTTCCTCTCTGAAATCAATAAATAAATATACATATATTTTTAAAAAAGAGTCCCTTTCTTCCTTGAAATTGCTGACAGTCTAGTAAGGAAGGGATATGTGTACCATATAAAGTAGGTAGGGGCCATGAAATCACTAGAAAGCAGCACTTAAATTTAGTTTTGTGGTGAGGAGAAGGTAAAAGATTCTAGACCAATCTTTCTGAAATACTTGACACTTGATCAGAATGTTGAAGGACAGGGAGGAATTTTCCAGCTGTGAGAAAGCTTTCCTGTGAAAGGGATTAGCATATACAAAGGCATGTTTGAGAAGCACCAAATATTTGAATATGGCTGGATCATAAGGTATGTATTGGCAATGCATGGGATTAAGAGTTACAGCTAAAGATGTATGTGGAAATTCATAAAAAAAAAACACCTTTTGTATCAAAGTAGCTGGATTTGTATCCTTTAGTAAGGAACAACTGAAAGAGTTTTCAACAGGGAAGCAGTAATCTGTCAGGTTTGAATTTTAAAAAGCTCTCAGGTGGCATGTGGAGAGTAGATTATAAGTAAACTCAGGCCCTAGCCGGTTTGGCTCAGTGGATAGAGCGTCGGCCTGCGGACTGAGGGATCCCAGGTTCGATTCCGGTCAAGTGCATGTGCCTTGGTTGCGGGCACATCCCCAGTAGGGGTGTGCAGGAGGCAGCTGATGGATGTTTCTCATCGATGTTTCTAACTCTCTATCCCTCTCCCTTCCTCTCTGTAAAGAATCAATAAAATACATTTTTTTAAAAAAGTAAACTCAGAGGCAGGAAGACCAGGTTACCATATAGGGATGCCAAGGTAGGATAGGGGCTAAAGAAGACAGGTTTGAGAGCTAAAGACCTAATGTGGTGACAGCTTGTATGGGGGAGAAGCAGTTCTGTATAACTGGAATTTTTGATTTACCTAATTTTATATGTAGTATATGGTACTTTATTTCTTATATAAAGTGTTTTAGGCAAGTTTAGTGGTATTGAGTAATAATCACGTGTATGTACCTTGTATTTATTCCCAAAATTGAATTTTATTTACTATAAATAATTTCATTAAGAGAATTAGTGGGGTAACTAGAACATAAAATACAATAGTAGGAAACAAACACATTGGCCCTCATTGCAGTTTAGGTTTGGGCTAGGCATTTTACATGAATTATCTCATTTAACTAATAATAGTTCTCTGAAACAAGTACTACTATTATCCCCACTTTACAGCTGAGGACATTGAGACAGAATTAAAGTAATATAACTTTGCCCAAGGTAAGCTATAGTCAGTAGCAGAATAAGGATTTTATCTCTACTCCTCCCTAGCATTCTGGGATCTTTTTCCTCTCATCCCAACAGTCAAAAGAAAATCACCTTGAGACAAAAAAGTATTTTTTGTGACTTTTAGTACTTTCTTTTCAATGCTAAGTTTTATTTCAAATTTAAATGATAAAATTGGGGGAGTGGGACTGGGTGTTACTTGCCTTGTGAAAAGGAGTTCTGGGGCTTCTGAGGGAGTACCTTGTGTAGTACTCTCCACAGTAACTTGATGGGCATATTATAGTCTCATCAGATCCAAGGAAATCATCACTTTTTTCTCCTTGTCTTATCAATTCTTTCTTTGTTTAATGAATACTCTTTATTAATGACTTGTGTGTGATGCCAGCAACATGGAAGTGCTCATAAATTACCACTGTTTTTAATCAATAGCCCATGCATGATGACTATGACTTAAGACAAGAACAGCTCAACAAAGCTTCCCTTCTCTCTTCAAAGAAGTTTCTGGAAAACTTACTGGAGAAATTTAATTCCCATGTGGTAAGTTATAATTAAATTTATCTTAATGAGAGATATGAGAGATACCATATGTTATTGAAAAGTATTGTAGAATTACAACATGAACAGTTTTTGTAAATTTTTATTTTTGTTTGTATTATAGCCCCCAACTTTGATTAGTATTTGGTCACAGTTCAGGTTGGTCAGTAATAATACAATACTATTTTAGGGCTTATATCCATTCGTCTAGAAGGGATGGTTGCAAAGCTTTTAGATATTTACAATGATATTCCAGAATTTTTTTCTTTTTTTTGGTGTATGTGTTTTTCTTTAAAATATTATAAAATGAGCTGTTCTAAAAAAAAAAAAAATTAAGCTTGATCATTGTTCCTCAGTCACTGGTTAGCAGTTTTGGAAATGGGCAATCTATAACATCTTAGAAGGAACATAAACAAATTGCCAGAGTTTTGTAAGAGTTATCAGAGATGGTTTTTAAAGTGTGTGTGTGTGTGTGTGTGTGTGTGTGTGTGTTTTGTTTGTGTGTAATTCAGAGAGGAAGGGAGAGGAGGGAGGGGGGTCGAAACATCAATGATAACAGAGAATCATGGATTGGCCACCTCTTGTACACCCCCTCCGGGGATCAAGCCTCTAGCCTGGGCATGTGCCCTGACTGGAAATAGAATCATAACCCCCTGGTTCATAGGTTGACACTCAACCACTGAGCCACACTGGCTGGGCAGAGATTGCTTTTAATACAAATTCACAATAACTTTACTTATACATGTTTGAGGAGTCTTCATTATTCTCTTGGAATTTTACTGAAGTTTATTTCCTTTTGAGATATGGTAAGCAATAGATTTGCTACATTAGTAAAACAAGTACTACTTAAAACTTTGAACCGCTTGTTGAGAAATTAAATGTTTACTTCTGACATATAGAATAACAGTAAGAAACATTACTGCTAAGTTTTGAATAAAATTATCTGTCATAAGTCAAAGCAATATGTTAACTTTGTTTCAGGATCATGGGACTGGTGCCCTAGTTATTAGTTCACTCTTGGACTTCCTTACTTTTGCCCTCTGTGCTCCATATAGTGAGACAACTGAAGGGCAGCAGTTTGATATGCTCTTAGAAATGGTAGCATCTAATGGAAGAACCCTCTTTAAACTCTTTCAGGTGAGAGCTGATACTTTTCTTATCAGATACAACTAATCTTAAGAGAATCCCATTTTGGGGTCAGTTTATTTTTAAAATAATACATGTGTGTTTCTATAGTAATATCGATAAATAAATATAGCTTATTACATTATCATGTTAGGACATGATTCCACTGATTTCTTGGTATTTTATGTAGAGCTCTGTTGATGGCTTTTGATCACTACTTGCCCATCTTTTGCATATCAGAAGTGGTGAAAGACTTATTTTTTTCTATGGTAGGCCCAAAGTTCTCTTTTCTTTACAAATTCTCAAATAATAACATGACTATTAGCAGGGCTGTTCATAAGCAATTGAAAGTATTTATTACTTCATATGCTACTGTAGTATTTTTATGTATATATATATATGTATAAGTTTGTGATAATTTTTCTAATTATATTAATATCAATCTCTATTTTAGTATTATTACTCGACATTTATCATTCAAATAAGTATAATATGTACTGTTATTCAAATAAGTGTCAACTATTTCTTATGAATGTAAACTCAATATGTACTGTTATTCAAATAAGTGTCAGCTATTTCCTATGAATGTAAACTCAATGTATCTGTAAGGGTCTATATTGTAAGAATACCTTTACTAATTTTATGGCTTATATCTTTAAGAGCAAAAACTAAATACTGGGGTGGGCAAAAGTAGGTTTAGAGTTGTGACTGTGAAAGTTAATTATTTTATTATTGTATTATTTATTTGTATTACAACTGTAAACCTACTTTTCCCACTCCTGTGTGTTGGAATAAAAATATTTAATTCTGTGATGTTTTTTCCCCCTGTTACAAAGCATCCTTCCATGGCAATTATAAAGGGAGCTGGATTGGTTATGAAGGCAATAATAGAGGTAAGAGAATAGTTTTGAAATTTTAAACTTACTTGAATGTTGAATCACTATTTTAATTGAAGATGACAAAATTACCTTTAAACCTTATGGAAACATGCATTTTTCTGTGTAAGGAAAATAATTTTAAATCTCTATTCAGAAATTAGTTTAAAACAACATAAGTAGCCCAGGACAGTTAGGATCAAGAGACTAAGTGGAAGTATATTCCTGACACTACTCCACCACTATATTGACATTCATACAGAAATATTTGTTGAGTGCCAGGTATAATCGAAATGTCTACTTTGACTTCAGTACAAGCCACACGTGTCAGAGTCATAGCTAGTGACAGAGCTGATGTCTGTTTATTTACACTGAAATCTTGGCAAGTATGCTAAAATATTTTTTTCCTGACTACAAAAGCAGTATATGATCTTCGAAGAAACATTAGGATGTTCAGAAAAAATACAAGGAACAAATAAAAATAAATCACCTGTATTTTTAGCATCCAGAGATAACTACTATTAGCATTTTGGTAAATTTCCTCTAAGACTCTATACTGTTCTAAATGATGTATGTATATAAATATATATATATATATATACACATATATGTATACATATATATATATATATACACATACATACACACACACACATATATATATGAATGATGCATATATTTGCATATATGCTCCATAGTTATTTTCCAAATGATATATGTATATAGTCATACTGTATGTATATTTATATTCATACCACATATTCAGTTGTACTACGTACTTGTACCTTTTTAAGTAACATTGTGAGCATTTTTACTTTTCGACAGATTGCCTTCAATATAAAACTGCTTGCTTAACTTATAATTCTATGATTACCTTTGATTAGTAGTCCTATCTGTCCTGTTGCCAAAGTGAGTCCATATAAGTAAAGCAAAATCAGAATAAAAAGAATTGCACCTATATCACATAATTCTTTAAAAAAAGAAAGAAATGTATTTACAATGAAAATGACTATGTTGTTAATAACAAAAACAAGCCAGGCTTGCAGATGCCTTTCATAGAAATTGCTAGTTACCTCTTCCCTTTGTTGGCTGTTATATACTGAGGGAATGAACCTAATTTTAATATTAAATTAAGTAAAGCATAATTTATAAGATAAATTTGTCTAGAAACATTTAAACCTCATTCCAAAGGCAACTGATATTTTTAAAATTACTTGTACTACTCATCTGTGTTATTTTTGGGTAATTGAAGTTGCATTTTTTATTTTTGTATACTGATTAATTATTTTATCTAGAAATAAAGAATTAGTTTTATAAAATTAGGATAGCTTTCTTCAGATTGATGCTTTAGGGATCATTTTACCCTTTCTCCAAAGGAAGGTGACAAAGAAATTGCTACAAAAATGCAAGAGCTTGCCCTCAGTGAAGGTGCCTTACCTCGACACTTGCATACTGCGATGTTTACAATAAGCTCAGATCAAAGGATGCTTACAAATAGGTAGGTTAAATTTAATTTGCTGTAAATTAACTTGCTGTTTAGAGAGTGGATTCAGATATATTTCATAAAACAAACCGAGTGTTTGGATTACACAAATGTTTTTCTTTTGATTCACTTGTTCTCCTTTTCCTTTCCTTATAGAAGGATTGTACCCAAATGACCATTGTTTCTGGCCCTGATAACGTGGGAGGAAATAATGAAATGTATTTGCTTTTCCCCCCACTATCGTATATTATCAGGCTTTACACCCATAATCCAGGACTAGAACATTGGAAAGAAATTAGAACCACATGCCCAGGCTTTTTCTTCTTGTACTTGTATCTGGCTACCCTGCATGCAAGTGTATAAAAACCTCACATAATCAATTTTTAAATATCTTTGGTCAGTTAAGAATTAAAAAAACACCTTAATATCTAACCAGCCTAACATAGCGAAATCCTAAATCTCTTGTAAAAATTTTCCCTTTGGCAAATCATCATTTTCATAAGTATTCAAATATAAAGAAACATAAATATTTGTTTACTCCATGCTATATAAATTCCAACCCTTTAAAACTTTATGGATTCCCAACATGTGACACTTTCAGATATAAATATTTTAATCATGTTCTTTTTTACTTTTTACATAATAAATTGCTGACTTATGTTTACTTTATACTATATATTTCCTTTGTCACCCATGTCCAATTATTTAATGCCTTAGTATGCTGCCTTGCCAATAGTCTTCTGCTTTTATACTATTATGAGAAGCTGTCTGCATCCCTCACTTGTATATGTTAGCCATAAAAGTAGTCTTCTGTGTTGCCTGAGAGGACAAAGAGATATAAAAGGAAGGTCTTTCCTTGGTATATTGCCTCTGTTATCATTGCTAGACACCATCTTTCATTACAGTAGACTATTCGATGTCTTATTTCATTAAACACTCATGTTAGATGTTTGCTTGTTGTGTTCCTCTTTATTATAGTTAATCAGTTACATTTATTTCCTACTGTGATTAATCACGGTATTGAAGAGCTGTCAAATTATTATAAAAATAGCACTTTTCATTTTGCATTGCTTTTGCAATCTTTTACAAATTGCTATTATAAAATGTTATCTCTTATCCCTAATTAAAGCCTTTTTAGGAATTAATTGATATGATACCTACCAAATACCAGTGAGGGAAATTACAATTATAATTACTTCACTATATTAGCTTTCAAATAGGCACAGAAATGAATAGTTTCAGTAATGTTCATTTTTTTGGTGACAGAACAAAATTTCCCTATTAAACTTTTTTCTTCTGGGAAAGTAACATGTATACATACATATGACTGTAGGTGATTATTTGGTTATTTTCCTCACAGATTTTATTCCCATTCTGATAGTAAATGGCATGTGAATCCTGCCAAAGCAGAAGGGTCAACAGTGAATAAAATATACTCCCTGCTCATGAGGAGCTTCTAGCCTAGGAGACAAAAGTCATCATGAGGATTAAGATAAATAAATGTCTAAGTCATAAAGTCAACGTGGATCTAGATTTTCACTTTGAACCAAAATATGCTTTTTAGTTCAAGAGGGATGAGTAGGATAGTCTGCTCTAAGAGCTTTAAGTCTTTGTCCAAACTTCAAAATCAAAAATATTTGCCTACTCTGACCTTGCCAAGAAGGTTATATTTGAACATTTGTGTAGAATTTTGTTCCTGTTCAGAATCCAGAGAAGGCTAGAGTACTAGGATCGCTATGTCTGGACTTTTATGCAAACTAATTGTATATCAAGGCTAACATATTTTTTAAATCTATTTCAAGACTTGTACAAACTAATTGTATCAAATCTAATTTTTTTGCTTTTATCTTTAAATGAGGTAAGAACCTACTTCATGTTCAGGTCCATTGAAAATTAGTGTGTTTATCAGGGAAGCATTTTTATTTCGAGAAAATTCCAAAACATTAGCAATATTTGCATTACTATTTCATAGCTCCAAATTAAAATGTTACTTTTTAATATTCAACATCAGAATGAATACTGTAGTCATATTTCTTATGTGATATTTTGTTTTTAAAAATTCCTTTCTGTTCTAGCTGAGATAAAGCAGCAAACCTTTCTCAACGTCTGCTTTTTTCAGACAGCTAAGTAGACATTTAGTGGGCCTCTGGACAGCTGAAAATGTAACTGCAACAAACTTGTTGAAGCGCATTTTGGTAAGTCAGTTGAATAACTGGAAAGATTTATATATATTCTTGCCCAGAATTTCATTGATAAGTTATTTATATTTTTCAAGGGTTTTTTTTAAAGTCTGCTTTTAATTTAAAGGATACTTATCATAGGAGTTGCCTTATAATAAATGCTACCCTCAAAAACGAAATCATAGTATTCATTTGGGTTTTGAAGGCTACATTTTCTTTTGTGCAGTTGTTTTGAAAAAAGATTATGTCTTGTTTTTGTTTGTTGTTTTTAGCCTCCAGGCTTGCTGGCATACTTGGACAGCTCAGATTCAGTTCCTGAGAGGGATGCTGATCGGATGCATGTTAGAGATAATGTGAAAATAGCAATGGTAAATATAATCGTCCTAAGTATTTTTTTAGAATGAAAGAGTACTTTTGTCAAAAAAATTTAGAAATAAAGAATTCACTACCTCGAATAGTAGTATTTTTAGTAGTATTTGAAAAAAAAATATTAACAGCTTTATTGAGATAAAATTTACACCCCTCAAATTTACCTGTTTTAAATGTACAATTCAATAATTTTTATTATATTTACAGAGTTGTGCACCTATCACCATAACTAATCTTATGAATAGTAATAATTTTGTATATTTTGTTTCTCTAATTGAGCTGTTTGTCACATTTTTGGAATTGATTTTTTAAAAAATGTCAAGGCGGGGGGAAAGGAGACATATGTAATACTCTTTGTAATACTTTAAGCAATAAAACAAAATAAAAATAAATAAATAAAAAATTCAAATGTGTCATGTTATGTTTTGTATATAATTGATAAATGTTGTTGGTAAAAGGGGCCAACACTGCAAAAGTTAATTCAGATGGTTTTCTTGCAGAGCTATTTTAATTATTAAGGTTAGGGTGTCTGAGAATATTACTTAACATGTTTTAAGATATTTTGTTATTTACTGTCTTTTGTGTCTTTTTTTTCTGTACTCACCAAATTTCTCTGCACCCCCCCCCCCATTACATGTTGCCATTTCTCTAAAAGGAATCATCTTGAAAACTAAGTAGAAGGTTAAGATTTCTTTAACAAAAAGTATAATTTATTGCAGAAATTGTCTTTTCACTGAGCCCTGACATTCAGTATTTAATCATGTAAAATAGTGTGAATCAGCTTTAGTTAGATTTTTATAATAAATTTGCAAACAGGACTGTAATGGATTTCAACACTATTTTACAGGATCAGTATGGAAAATTTAATAAAGTTCCAGAGTGGCAAAGACTAGCTGGAAAAGCTGCTAAAGAAGTTGAAAAATTTGCCAAAGAAAAAGTGGATCTTGTGTTGATGCATTGGAGAGATAGAATGGGTATTTCTCAAAAAGAGGTAAAAAGAAAGTTTGCTTCCAAAGTTCTAGCACTTCTGTATATTCTAGATTCACTGTAGCTTTGCTGTTCACTGAGATGGCAGTCAGATATTTGTGACTGAGCACTTGAAGAAATGTTGCCTAATTCTGATTCATAGATGTGAATTTTTCTTAATTCATAGTTTTCTGAATCAATGATTAGGGTTTTAGTTAGGTATTTAATATAAAATTTTACTCTTAATTTTCTTCCATAACTTTGAGTTTCTATACTTTTTTCCTTTATATACATCTGTTTCCTTCTTTCTCTGAACTCTGTTTTGTAGTTATAAAAATAAAGTTGCCCTTCCTGTTTATTTTTTTTAATGATTTCAGAGAGGTAGGGAGAGGAAGAGATAGAAACATCAATGATGAGAGAGAACCATTGATCGATTGCCTACTGCACGACCCACATTAGGGATCAAGCCCACAACCTGGGCATATGCCTTGACTGGGAATCAAACCATGACCTTCTGGTTCATAGGTCAACATTCAACCACTAAGCCATGCCATCTGGGCCTGTTTAGCTTTTTAAAAAATAAAAGAAATTACATATAATAAAAGTAGGTATTATTATTTTATTGATTTTAGAAAAGGAGGAATAGAGAGAAACATTGATGTGAGAGAGACATTGATTGGTTGCCTCTGGTATGCGCCCCGAATAGGGGTCAAACCCACAACCTTGGTATATGTTACCTGACTGGGAATGAAACCTGTGACGTTCTGCACAATGCTCCAACTAATTGAGCCATACCAGCCAGTGCTCCTGTTTAGCTATTTTGTCATTAATTGAGTATAAATTTTATTCAAGTTCACCTTACATTACTTTTCAAGATAGTGCATAGAATTAAAATTTGTAGAAAACATTTTCTGCCTGCCTGCCTGCCTACCTGCCTGCCTGCCTTCCTTCCTTCCTTCTTTCCTTCCTTCCTTCCTTCTTTCCTTCCTTCCTTCCTTCTTCCCTCCCTCCCTCCCTCCCTCCCTCCCTCCCTCCCTCCCTCCCTCCTTCCTTCCTTCCTTCCTTCCTTCCTTCCTTCCTTCCTTTCTTCAAACTATAAGAGAGAGTTTATTTAGAAAGTCAGAGGTAGAAGAAGGGAGTGGTAGAAGAAATGGGTTCAGGAGAAGAGTTACAGAGGTAAAAGAAAGAGGCCCTTTAGAACTTAGGACACAGAAAGGTAAAGGTAATCGGTCCTGAGGGAAGAGTGGATAGGAAAGATTCGGGCCTGCTCCCCAGAGGGAGAGTGCTCTAAAGCAGTTTAAGCTAGAAATGTGGATAACATCTGTTATTAAAAGACAACAATTCAGAGGGAATTTATTTTTAATATCAATAATGTTTAATTGGTCTGTTGGTTTCATTTACACGGGGTATTATCTAAAATGTTGAGCAAATAATGACACTAAATAGACAAATGTTGGTCAAGAAATTATTTTAAAAAAAAAAAAAAAAAGAAATTATTTTGGCAGCATACTAATTATTTCTGCCAGAATACTGTTTTCAACATTAATATTTTAATAAAATAATAACCTTTGTGACTGTTTTATTTGTAAATATTAACACCACATATTGGAATGATCTTATGCCTTAGCTAAAGTCTGAAATTAACCATTGTCAAGATTAACTGGCAAATCTTTGAAATTAACTACATTTCATATATTATCATGATGTTTATGAAGTAATTTCCATATATAGCTAATGTTTTGATTGGATTAATAACCTTTGGTTTATATAAAAAATTACTTTTTACGTATTTATGTGATTTTTTTCCCCGTTTTGGGATTCGTTTAGCTATTTGGGGCTTAGACTTAATAAGCCTAAGTCTCTGAATCAGTCAGCCCAGGATTTGGAGAGCTATTTATCTTTTTGGTATATCATTTACATTTTCATTACTCTAGACTCCTAGCTTTTTGTCCTGAAAATTGAAGAAAGTACTTCTTAGTTAAGATTTTAAGGAAAGATTTGTCATTAATTGAGTATAAATTTTATTCAAGTTCACCTTACATTACTTTTCAAGATAGTGCATAGAATTAAAATTTGTAGAAAACATTTTCTATTATAGTTAATAGGTTTTATATTTCAAAGAGCATTTACTTTTTAAAATGTACTGCTCATTTTACCTTTATTCTCTCTATATCATCTAGTCTCTTTATTTTATATAATTTGCCACTTATTTAATGAAGTTATAGATTTTCATGTTTTAATCAATACTACCACTTTTTGTTTCTGTCACATTGAAGATAAAATTTTCATGTCTGAAATACATACAGGTTTTACTTGGAATAGAGATTTTTAACCTGCAGTCTATGTATAGACTTTAAGAAATCTTTGAAATCTTCCACTTCAGTTGTAAACCTTACATACGTGTTTTTTTGTTGTTGTTGTTGTTTTTTCTCTAATGGTGGCCAAAGCTTTTTGTGAAATTCTAAATGGGTTTATAACTGCCTAAAATTTGAGTCTGAGAAGCAGCTGGGCCTTTTATTCTATCTTAAAATGAAGGTGGTATATATTGGTAACATACTTGTAAAATTTGTATATAGCTTAGCAGATATAGGCTCACTCTATTTTCTTTAAAAAATTTTTATTTTTTCCTTTTTACAATTAAATTCAGGACAGAAACAATATGGTGAGTTTTAAGTTCCTGCTACATGTGTGAAATTCATATCTGTCTGGCATGTGGAGTTGTCTTTGATATTCTTTGTCTAATAAATTAAATTCAAGTCTCACTTCACATGTGTCTGGATATAGATACTTATTTCTTGTCCATTAGTTATTTTAATTTGATCTTGCTCTTCTTGACTTTGGTAGCAGTTTCATGACCTGTAATCTTTTTCTTTCATTATTTTCCCATGGCTTCTGTATTAACTGCATGTAAATGTTTAAAACAAGTCACTGTTTTTGGCTATTATAAATTTTATTAGTCATCACTATAAATTTTAACGAAGTTTGGTGTTGAAACAATGAGTTTAGGCTACATGAAAATATTTCAGTAACACTATAGAAGTATGTGCTGACAGAGTATTATATTGTAATAAATCTAATATTCTATGCTCATATTTTATGGATTTTATTTCGGTAGTTTTGTTTCTGCCAAAATTTGATGAAGGAAATATTTCTTATCACTTACAAAGTGATGATCTTTTGATTGAGCCTACTTGGTAGCCCCAGATTGAGCACTATGAAGTTTCTTTCTTTTCCAGAATGTAAACCAAAAGCCAGTAGTTCTTCGAAAGAGAAGACAAAGAATAAAAATAGAAGCAAATTGGGATCTCTTCTATTATAGGTAAACTTAAAGGCCTTTATTTTTTTCAACGTAGATTAAGTTTGGCATTTCCATTAGAAAAGAATGATAACATTTTTTTTGTTGTTTTGTTTTTTATTTGTTTGGAACTAGTGCTTTATGCCACAGGTATTTTTATGCTATTGAGGTCAGGAATTATAACCACTAAGATTGGTATGACCTTTTAATGATGCTTCAGTAAAATTAAAGCCTTTTATAGAATGTTGGTAGACTGAAGAGCCTAAGTTATTTTTAAATGTTTAGTAAGGTTTATAGATGGTTACTTTAAAACACTATTATGGTTTAGAAATAACTGCTTTATAACTTGAAGTCATGTTGAGAATGGAGTCTTAAAAGAGGTGAATGATGGAAACATAAGGAGTCTTAATAGAAAATGAGTATCCATGTTAGCTTACATGATATACTTTTCCAGCTTTTCTAACATGGTAACCCCATCTTATTCTTACCTATTACTCCCCCCGCCCCGCCCCAGTGCACACATTCACACACAAAAGGACTCTTTGAAAAAACCATTTTGGGGAGTTTGCAAACCTTTTTTGAGATAACTCATAGTATTCAGTCTGGAAGATGACCTATTGATTATACTTTGGCTAAAAGAGGAAAATATGGGCTTTGAAAACTTCCCAAAGTACTTTTAAAGTATATCGTATGTATATAGTATACTAGAGACCCAGTGCATGAAATTCGTGCATTGGGTGTGTGTGAGGGCTCCCCTCAGCCTGGCCTGCACCCTCTTGCACTCTGGGAGGCCTCGGAGGATGTCCAACTGAGGGGCCTAAGCTGTCAGTTGGACATCCTTAGTGCTGCCGCAGAGGCGGGAGATGACCCCGCCACCGCAGCTGTGCTCGCCAGCCATGAGACCAGTTTCTGTGGGAGCACACTGACCACCAAGGGCCAGCTCCTGTGTTGAGCGTCTGCCTCCCCTGGTGGTCAGTGCACATCATATCGACCAGTCTTTCTGCCATTCAGTCGATTAACCTTTTATTATATGGGATAGTATGGCCTTTAAGAATATGCCTTGCTTTTCTCCCTTAGGAATCCCTCAATTGTGTGCCCCTTAGAACTCTGATGCCAGGCTTGCTAGGAAGATTACAGACTGAAAGTGAATGGATATGAAGCCTATTTCATCCCCAGTTCAGACTTGTGTCCAAATTTATTACAGTGGTTAAATTATTCCAGAAATAAAAGGAAGATACTTGGAAAATATCAATCAGAGCTTGGCAATTTATCAGTATTCTTTCTTAGGTAGTTTATATGGTTCTAATGTAGAATGTTGCTCATCCCACACACTTCACCCCAGTAAGCCAAAAATTCTTATCTTCCCCAACTTCAAATTTGATATCTAATTTATTTTCTGTCTGGAATTTATATTAGCAATATATATATTGAGATTGAAATACCAGGTTTTTTTATTTGGAAATTCACACAGATTTGTTTTATAGTATGAGTTCGGTCCCCCCCCCCCCCCCCAACATTTTACTATGAAAACTTTCAAACATGTAGAAAGGGTGAAATAATTTTACAGTGAATAGCTGTGTATCTATCATCAAAATTCTACCATTAACATTTTAGTATACTTACTTTACAGAATTTTTATTTTCTTTATTTATACTTGCTAAAGTTTACTAGTTGTACTATTTTCTTGATTATTATAAGATGCAATAAGGGATATTTGTAGATTTTTGTTGCATGCTTATTGTTTCCTTCTGATTATATATATGTCTAGGTTTGGTCAGGACCATGCCAGATCAAACCTAATTTGGAATTTCAAAACACGAGAAGAATTGAGAGATAGTCTTGAATCTGAAATGAGAGCATTTAATATTGATAGAGAGCTTGGTAGTACCAGTGTGATTGCCTGGAACCACCATGAATTTGAGGTAAAGTTTAATATTTATAGTATATTAATGTTTTTAATAAGCATGTATTATTTTTTGAGTGTTACACGTTTATAGTTATATAACTTATATCCTTACCTTTCTCTCTTAATTTTATGGAGGAAACTTTGGAAAATTTTAATCTTTGCATGAGACAAAAAATAAAAAATTTTGTTGAGTAAGTCGGCTTTGTACCTGAGAATCGTGTAGCAGTTTTAATAAATTTGGTACTATGCATGCTAGATCTGTTCTTCGCTTGGTTTCTTTTTTCCCCCTTTAGATTCTTTCTCCATGGAAACATCACTTGTTCTCCTTGTTCTTTATAGCTTGTTAAATTAATTTTTTGGTAATTTGATTCTGAATGTGACCATATTTTGCTGTTCTATTAAAATACTGATGTGAGAAATGACAAAACAAGAACAAGAAATCTGGTGGTAGATAATTTCGTGTGCATGTGTATAATGTAAACTCTTATTACAATTGTAAATTAGAGCATGCTCATGACCATGTAGTCTTTGATCTTTAACCTAACTGCATTTCAAAAACATGGAATGATTTTATTTTGCTCATTTTCTCCTCCTTGAAAGACTTTCTTTACTTTGGTTTTGGGAATCTATATTCTCTTGGATTTTCTCCTCCTTCACTGGCCACTCCTTATTTGCTCATTTTCCCTATTTTTCCAACTGCTAAATGTTGATTGGCCCCAAAGGATCGGGTCATGGACCTTTTTTCATGTATAATCAATGCTTCAGTGATCCCATCCATTCTCGTGGCTTGAAATGTTTTTTTTTTTTTTTAAATATGTTTTTATTGATTGTTAGAGGGAGTAAGAGGGAAAGGGATAGAGAGATAGAAGCATTGATGAGACAGGAACATCAACGATTGGCTGCCTCCTACATTCTCCGACTGGGGATTGAGCCAGCAACCTGGTCTTGTGCCCAGGCTAGGAATTGAACCAACTTGTTTTTGAGTCAAAGCTCAACATTAGAGCCAGACCAGCTGGGCTGAAATTTTTTTATTTACTGGTGGCTTTCTTATTTTTATCTCCTGCTGCTACTTTCTTTCCTAGGTTTCATACTTTTATCCTATAATTGGATATTTAACAAGCATCTAGAACTTAGCTCTTGTTCTTTCCCTAAATCTACTTCTCTTGCAGTTTTTCTGATCTTGTATAATGTTGCTTCTCATTATTTTTCTGGTCAAACTCTTGAAATAATTTCTTTTATATCCCAAATCCAACTTGTCAGCAAATCCTATTTAATGTACCTTCAAAATTTATCCAGAAACCAACCCTCTTTTCTCCGGGATTTTCGCAGTCTTTACTTCTACCCCTATCTCCCTACAATTCATTATCAACATAGCAGTGGTGTGATCTTGTTCAAATGTAAGTAGATCATGTCACTTCTGTGCTCAAAGCCCTCTGGTGCTCCTATGGCTTCCCATCTCCTTAATAAAAATCTGGGTCTTTAAAATGACTTACAAGACAGGATCTGTGTAACCCCAAACCCCAAGCATTGTTTCTTTGATCTTACCTCCTACTGCTCACCCTTTCACACTTTCTCCAGCCACAGCGGCTTCCCTGAAAACACCAAATTGATGTTCTTGACTCAGGAGTTTTCTACTTGCTGCTGCTCTGCATAGCACATTTTTTTCACTGGATAGCTGACATCATTAGTGGTCCTTCCCTGGCCACTCTACTTAACACACACACATGTACACACACACACACACACACACACACACACATTCTCTCTATCCCCTTTCCTTGCTTTTTTTCATTCTATAGCACTTATCACCAACTATTCTATATTCTACTTTTTTATCTACTCCTGTAAGGATGGAAATTCTTATGTTTGTTGTTGTATCCCTGATGACTAGAACAGTACATGGCACACACAGTATATGCTTAATAATTAGAAGTTGAATGAATTGAATGCTCAGAATGTGTAGAAAGAAAGTGAAATGGGTGTACATTATATATTTGATTAAGTATAGCTTATATTTTTAGAAGTCAGTTATTTTAGGCTTTGGAAAAATAATTTTGATAATCGGGTCAGGTAATTCCTTTTTACAGTTGCTTGCAAATATATTTTTTTAAATTGATCTCAGGGAGAGGAAAGGAGTGGGGGAGAGAGAGAGAAACATTAATGATGAGAGAGAATCATGGATCAGCTGCCTCTTGTATGCCCCCTACTAGGGATTGAGCCTACAACCCAGGCATGTGATTGACTGGGAATCGAACCATGACCTCCTGGTTCATGGGTCGATGCTCAACCACTAAGCCACATCAGCTGGGCTACTTTCAAGTCTTTATTTGAGACTAGTGACCCGCTGCACAGATTTGGGCACATTAAAAGGAAATTAATTACCATACACAAAAATAAACTCAAAATGGATAAAAGACTTAAAAGTAAGACAGGAAACCATAAAATACTAGAGGAATCTACAGGCAGTGAAATTGCAAACATATGCCGAAGGAATTGCTTCTCTGATACTGCTCCTAGGGCAATGGAAACTAAAGAGAAAATAAACAAATGGGGCTACATCAAAATAAAAAGCTTTTGCACAGCAAAGGAAACTATCAACAAAACAACAGGAAGGCCCACTGCATGGGAGAACATATTTGCCAATGATATCACCGATAAGGGTTTAATCTCCAACATTTACAGGGAACTCATGCAACTTAACAATAGGAAGATAATCCAATCAAAAAATGGGCAATGGACCTAGATAGACACTTTTCGAAAGAGGACATACAGAAGGCCGAAAGACATGAAAACATGCTCAAAGTCACTAATTATGCGAGAGATGCAAATCAAAACAACAATGCGGTATCATCTCACACCTCCCAGAATGGCTATCATCAACAAATCAACAAACAACAAGTGTTGGAGAGGATGTGGAGAAAAAGGAACCCTTCTGCACTGCTGGTGGGAATGCAGACTGGTGCAGCCACTGTGGAGAACAGTATGGAGTTTCCTCAAAAAACTAAAAATGGAACTCCTATTTGACCCAGTGATCCCACTTCTAGGAATATATCCCAGAAGCCAAAAGCACCAATCAGAAAGGATATATGCACCCCTATGTTCATAACAGCTCAATTCACCATAGCTAAGATTTGGAAACAGCCTAAGTGCCCATCAGCAGATGAGTGGATTGAAAAACTGTGGTACATCTACACAATGGAATACTATGCTGTGGTAAAAAAAGAAGGAACTCTTGCCATTTGCAACAGCATGAATGGAACTGGAGAGCATTATGCTAAGTGAAATAAGCCAGTCAGAGAAAGATAAATACCACATGATCTCACTCATTTGTGGAATATAGAGAATAACATAGACTGATGAACAGGGACAGATCCAAAGACAGAGAAACAGCGATTAGACTATCAATCCCCAGAGGGAAAGTAGGGGAGGGTGGGGGTAAGGGGAAGAGATTAACTAAAGGACTAGTTTGCATGCATATAAGCCAAACCAATGGACACGGATAACAGGAGGATGAGAGCATGAGTGGGGTGGGGGGGGACACATTTGTAATACCTTAACCAATAAAGAAATTAAAGATAAAAAAAGAAATTAATTAGAAGGTGGCTGGCGGGAAGGGACTGGGCGAGATGGGCCGGACAACCCTGGAGCCAACCTCCTGTGGTCCCTCCCCGACCGGCTGCACCTGGGGTGGAACCGTGGCTCAAAGGGCGTTTGCGGAGTGAGTGGGGGCCCTCCAGCAAGGGGGTCCCTTGGCCTGGCATACAGGGATTGGGCCGAAACCAGCTCTCCGACATCTCCTAAGGAGTCCCGGAGTACAAGAGGGAACTCTTCAAAGTTGCTGTTGTACAGGGTGTGGAATGCAAATGCAAGTGTGCAGTAAACCAGATTCAGGGCCGATAGTGCTCCAGCAACAACATAACCCACGGCCGAAGGTGGAATCGCGCAGCCCTGTGAGGAATCGGGCTTCCTCCTCTCTGGTTTTAGGGTGCGCACTTGAGAACCGCCACTACCAAGTCACTGCAGCTCAGCAGCTCCTGCGTGGAGTATCTGCCCCCTGGTAGTGCGCATCATAGCTACCGGTCAGACGGACACTTAGCATATTAGCCTTTTATATATCTATACTAATAAAAGGGTAATATGCTAATTAGACTGGGAGACCTTTTGGACAAAGCCGTGGTGGCAGGGCCAAGGCAGAGGCGGTTAGGGCAATTAGGCCAGCAGGGGGGGCGAGCAGGCTGGTAGGGGGGGCTTTAGTGGGTGAAAAGGCCAGCAGGGAGGGGAAGTGAGTTGGGGTGAGCAGGCTGGCGGGGGACAATTGGGGGTTAGGCCAATGGGGGGGCAGTTGGGGGTGAGAAGGCCAGCGGGGGGTGGGCAGTTGGGGGCGAGCAGGCCAGCAGGCAGAGTGGTTAGGGGCAATCAGGCAGGCTGGCAGGTGAGCAGTTAGGAGCCTGTAGTCCTGGATTGTGAGAGGGATGTCCCAGATTGGAGAGGGTGCAGGCCGGGCTAAGGGACACCTCCCCACCCCGGTGCAGGAATTTCGTACACCAGGCCACTAGTATATAGATAATAGCCTCACTGTGTATAAGCAGCCTGTGTACAAGGGTTCTGGTGCCACCTCAGATTCTGATCATGTGCTCTGTCTTGTATGTCACCTCTTATTTGTAGCGTAGGGTGATTTTACATGCAGACAATGAATACTGTAAAACATTATATCATAAAGTGATATATAGTTCATGTGTTGGGAGATGAGGGAAGACCTGAAGTAGCTTGTCTCAGTTGGGCAAACTTATGTGTGGTGCAGGACCATTTACACCTTGCTTGGTCATGGCAAGGTAAGAAGGGAATGAAGCAGTTTATACTCTGAAAGTATTTTGATTCTTCCTTCTCTTAAGCCTTCATGGACACCATGTAGTCCTGTGAATTTTTATCAGCAAGTTTTACATTCATAAAATTGGTGTATAATTCTGATTTAACATTTAACTGAAATAGTTACATTAGTAATAATGAATTACCAGATAATTCATTATGAAATTATTAATTTAAAGGCTTCCTTATCAAGAAAAGAAGAAAGCTCTGACAGAATTTAAGAAGTGATTATGTGGAAATAGCCAAAAATATATTGTAAACTAAAGTAATGTAATTTGTTTTTATTAATAAGGTTAAATATGAGTGCTTGGCAGAGGAAATCAAAATAGGAGACTATTATCTGAGATTACTATTGGAAGAAGATGAGAATGAAGAAAGTGGATCAATTAAGAGATCGTAAGCTAGTCTTTATATCTTGTTACAGTAGCCTCCCCTTACCCACAGTTTGACTTTCTGTGGTTTTAGTTACCGCAGTCAACCACAGTCTGAAAATATTAAATGAAGAATTCCAGAAATAAACAATTCATGAGTTTTAAATGGTGCACAATTTGAGTAGCATGGTTAAAATCTTGTGCTGTCCCGCACCATCCCATAAATCATCCCTTTGTCCTTTATACCCACACTAGAGGCTTGATGCACAAAATTTGTGCAAGTGTAGGCCTTCCTTTCCCCGGCTGCCGGCTTCGCATCCCCAGCCCCACACCTGCCTTGGCCTGGCATCTGCTGCCACACACCCCCAGTTCCCTGGTTCCATGGAGCTCCCCCCCTCTCCCCCCCGCGGGTTGGTGGCCTGGACCTCCCTCTGCGGGGTGGTCATGGGTCGATGGCGGGCCTGGCGCCAGTGTGTGTCATAGCATGGTCCTCTGGACAGTCATTTTGCTGTTCAGTTCAGTTGATTTGCATATTACACTTTTATTATTGTAGATTGTATTTGCTCTCCGCCCACTAGTCACTTAGTAACCACCTCCATTATCAGATATTTTGAGAGAGACCATATTCACATAACTTAATTACACTATATTGTTATATTTTATTAGTAGTAATTGTTAATCTCTTACTGTGCCTAATTTATAAATTAAACTTTATCATAGGTTTGTATGTATAGGAAAAAACAGAACATATAGGGTTTGTTACTATCTGGTTTTTAGGCATCCACAGGTGATCTTAAAACATACTGTATATGTGTTTTTACTGTTTCATGGCTAATTTTATTGTAAACTTTTTTAAAATCTAGGTATGAATTTTTCAATGAGCTCTATCATCGTTTCCTGCTCACCCCAAAAGTAAACATGAAGTGTCTATGTTTACAAGCCCTTGCTATTGTTTATGGCAGATGTCATGAAGAAATAGGACCTTTTACAGATACACGATATATCATTGGAATGTTAGAGAGGGTAAGATATCATTTAAGGAAACTGCTACTTGGTAGTGTCATTGCAGTACATGTTTAGATTTTCAAAATTACATTTAAATTCTGTTTGATCGCCTTGCTACCATAACTTTCTGCATGAGTTTTTTTTTTTGTAATTTACATTATACTTATTTATAGATGAGTAGGAAAATGACTAATGGATTAGTACTTGTTTATTTTTTTCATTTGCTGCTTTTGAACGACTTAAGTGACCTCTTTGTCAATCTTTAAATATGGATGAGCTGGACAGGTGTGTAAAAGAGTTTTATGTACTTTTGGTTTTCCATTTTGGAAAAATCTTAAATGATGCTACTAAATTTTGAAGTGTGGAGCTAGTAAATCTTTTCAGCACTACAGTGATAACCAATAAAATGGAAATGTTAGCACCTTTTTATTTTAGAAAGTTTGTCATTTAACACTTGAGCATGGTAGAAGGAAAGAACAAATTGATCAGGTCATCCATGGCACAGCTCAAGTTTGAATGTTACCTACTTCATTCAGTGTGTACTCTTTGTTTATTTTCATTTGTGTTTACATTCTTTCTATACTTAACAATTTAAATTTTAGAGAACTGCTTTAGAACCATTTCACCAATTTTGCAAATGGCCATCAATGCTTGTTATAATTGCCTCAGCTGTAGATTAGAAACTTGATTCTGAGTAAGGTCACAAAACATACCTAGAAAATAATATAGCCAGCTGAAAATCCTTATTGTTTGCTGTTACACCACATTCTAATTCAGTTACTCGAGTGAACCTGAGTACTTGTGGCATAGCATTTGTATTTTAGGCAGATACATTTTCCTTCTTGCTTGTATTTATCATGATGTGATTATGTGAAACATCATTAATCAATTATTTGAAATTTTTACTTAATTCAAGGTATTATTTGAGCTAATTCACTTATTTTAATTTTTACATATATTCTTAAAGCTGTATGTTGAAGTAACCTCTTTATGACTTTTAAAATATCCGCCTATCTAGGGAGATGAGAGAAGTTATATAAAATTGCAGAGAATGCAAAACATTGGAGGATTTGTAATAATTGATGTCCTTTGATTTTCTTAATGTTTAAAAGATGACATTATTTCTTACTGGCTGCTAGTTGATCTTGTCCAGTGATGGTAACATCTAACTTGTGTTTCTGTTCACTTCTGACTAAATTCTCATTTATTTTAATAGTGCACAGATAAACTTGAACGAGATAGATTAATCCTCTTCCTTAACAAGTTGATCCTTAATAAGGTACAGTATTTCTGTATAAATGTTATTTCCAAAGTCACATGAGTGTGTAACAAAAAGATAAATTACTGCAGTTTAAGTTAATTATCCAGACATGGTAATTTTTTTAGATCAGAAAACTTCTAGAGCAGTGGTTCTCAACCTTGGCTGCACATTAGAATCACCTGGGAATCTTTTTAAAATTCTGATTTCTGGGCCTCATCCTCCGGAAATTCTGTTTCTTTGTTATGGGGTGGGGCCACAACATTAGTAACAAAGAAACAGAATTTCCGGAGGATGAGTCCCAGAAATCAGGATTTTAAAAAGATTCCCAGCCCTAACTAGTTTGGCTCAGTGGATAGAGTGTCGGCCTGCAGACTCAAGGGTCCCAGGTTCGATTCCGGTCAAGGGCATGTACCTTGGTTGCAGGCACATCCTCAGTGGGGAGTGTGCAGGAGGCAGCTGATCGATATTTCTCTCTCATCGATGTTTCTAACTCTCTATTCCTGTCCCTTCCTCTCTGTAAAAAATCAATAAAATATATATATATTTTTAAAAAGATTCCCAGGAGGTTCTAATGTGCAGCCAAGGTTGAGAACCATTGTTCTAGAGGGAAAAGTTTGTCAAATATTCTCTGTACATCCTACCCTAACATTACAGATACTGATTAATGATAATAAAATTCTTAGTGAAGAATAATGAGGGGTGAAATAGCTAGCTGATTTTACTTTAGGGAATCTTTAGGATTAGATTTGAAGTGAAATAAATACTCTAAAGAAAGTGGGGAAAAAATTTTTTTAATCAAATCTTTATTATTCAGATTATTACAGTTGTTCCTCTTTTTCCCCCCATAGCTCCCCTCCACCCGGTTCCCACCCACCCTCTGCCCTTACCCCCCCACACACACTGTCCTCATCCATAGGTGTACGATTTTTGTCCCATCTCTTCCCACACCCCTACACCCTATTCCTTTCCGAGAATAGTCAGTCCATTAGAAAGTGGAAATTTTAATTTATTAGTATACATTTTGATTTATCAATATACATTTTCAAGTAATTTGAAGACATAAAAAGTTACTTTAGCTCTTCATAGTTTATTTTTAAGACATTTAAATAGGTTTGTGCTGGTTTCTCACAGAAATTTATAGTTGTAATATTGATAACATTCACAAATGGATGATGTTGAAATAAAATTTGAGGTTTCTTGTAAATTAAGTTTTATACTAATTTTAATTTGTTTAGTTTTAGTCTTTTAGTAAATAATGCAAATGCTTTAAAATGAAGTGTAATTAATAAGTCCTAAGAAAATTTAATTTAAATTATAATCTCTTCCTAACTTCTAAGAAATTATTAGTTTTATCTTACGTTTACAAAAATATACTGGAACATTAAAAGTTATTTTAATATGCCAGATTTTATTTCTGACTATAGAATAATTTATTAACAAACAGGCCTTGTAAAATGCAGGATAATTGTAGTACCAGAGTTTATATGGGTGTTATTCCTGCCAGCCTTTCATTTGCTTATTTTTATTTTGTTTCATTTGCTCAGAATATAGTTTAAGGAAAATATTTTTATATGATATATTTGTAATATAGCTTTAGCCTTTTTTATTTTTATCTAAATTCATGTTCCTTGAACACAAAATTCTGGAAATATCAATTAGTACCACTTGTATGTTAAGTTTTTCAGATTCCAAATATTCTCTTCTTTGAGAGCCTTTTAGGTAGTAGTACATATTAAAGAGAAAGGTTTTAGATTATATAAAAATGTTTTTGTCTCCTAGAAAAATGTTAAGGATCTCATGGATTCAAATGGGATTAGAATCCTTGTGGATTTACTTACCCTTGCACATCTCCATGTAAGCCGAGCTACGGTACCACTGCAAGTATGTATGCTTATGTAGATTTTACGAGTTTTACATCCATGAAATATACTTTTAGGATCAAAAGAATCATAAAAATCTGAAAATACGTCAGTATATGTGGCTAAAAGCGTATTGCTCCAATAAGTATAATACTAATACAGGGGAGATTAAGTCACACAAAAATGGGAAAATAACTGTAAGAACAATCCAAAATGGACAGTGATGATTCATTTTTATTTTTTCAATGTCTCTTTGTCTTTTAAAGTAACTACATTGCTAGTGTCTTATTTTGAGGCAATGCAACCTTTAGGTTCACCATTTATGTAACTAGAACTTGTAGCATTGACAGCCAGGAAGAATATACATTGAATCTGGGGACCTTCTTGAAACCAGCCAGTAAGAGGACAGAGCTGCCAGTCTCTGCTGAAAGGCCTCTTCTGATACCTAACTTACAGAAGGGATCTATACTTAGCTCATCGGACATTTCTTCCTCCTTCCCTTCCTCCCTCCCTTCCTCCTTTCTTTCTTTCCTTTCTGTGTTATGCTTTGTTTTAGTTTAATCTCTTAGTGCAGGAGAATGTATCAGTTTAAATTTTGACTAGAGTGTGGACAGAAGTGCTACTTGAATGGATGATGGCATTTTCTGTTATCAGGTATGAATAATAGTAATCGTGATGCTGTATAGCATGACAGTGTACCAGGTACTATTCTGGTACACATAATATGTTAACTCTTTAAATCCCCAACAACGCTCCCATTTTACAGATGAGGAAACTAAGGAACAGAGAGGCTAGGTATATTGTCCAAGGTCAGTGAGTAAGGAACAGAGCCTAAGGTAGAACCCAGAAGTCTATGCTCTTGACCACTTTGTTATCCTTCTCGATATGAGTAACTGAAAGCTAATAGTTATGAGAGTACTTAAAAACCTGTTTTAATAAAATATACTAATTAAATAAAATTCTATTTTAGATTTTTATAAACATTGATAACTAAAACTATATAATAGTGACCTGTAGTGATGGTAATAGATTGAAACTAAGTGTTTAAAACCACTAAAAGTTTTCTGTCAGCATTTTAATTCTTGGATTAGACGCTTATTGAAACTTTTAGTTGGAATGAGTTTTTCCCTCAAAAGAAGAACTTTAGTTATTTGAGCATTGTGATTTAAGGTTAATGGTATATGTTTATTTTTATAGCTATTTGCAGTGTTCTTTGCTACTAAAATTTTAGTGCCCTGGGAATTTATAAAGGACAATCAGGAATGTAGATATCTTTGAATTTAGCTTAGATTTTCAAGTGAATGTAGAACCCATTTACTTCTAATGCTTCTTAGAAAGCAAGTCACTTTTTTTGGACTATTCGGCTAGGCGTTTAACCCTTACCTCTTAAAATAAGGTCTCTTAAAAATTTAGGTGAATTTTTAAAGGAATAAAACCCAAGAAATTAGTACTATGTAACTTATTATGACAACTACCCCCTTAAATTTCTGTCTAAAAAAATAACTAAATTATTTTAAAACGTAGAGCAATGTAATTGAAGCTGCTCCAGATATGAAGAGAGAGAGTGAAAAGGAATGGTACTTTGGCAGTGCAGACAAAGAAAGGAGTGGCCCGTATGGATTTCATGAGGTATGTGTCTCAGAGAAATTTTTCATGAAAGTCATAGCCTTTCTTATTTCCTTGTGCTTAGCACACACAGAGATATTGGAATATTTTAACGCTGTAATTTGAATTAGTGTCATCAGCTCCAAGGGCTATGCCTTTCCATTTCCACATGAAGGATTGGAGGGTTTGCATTTCTAGAGAAACACACACACACACATTAAATGATGTCTTCAAACTTTAGTGTTTAAAAGCAGCTGTTAATGGAGGTAGCACTCAGACTTTTAATGAACTTTATGTAACAGTTGTTACCTTGATAATTATGTTAAACTACAAAGCGTTTTTGTATGAATAGGATGTTTTAATATGCAGCCTGAAATTTATTAAAAATTGTCTGTATAGTCCAAAGGCAGTTTCTATCTTCACATCTGCTGATGTTTGATCCTGCCCTCCCGTCCTTAGCCTCCCAGGCTCAGAATTTAGCCAAAGAGTTTTATAGAACACCATGCCTTTTGTTTGCATAATTTGGTCATTTTACACTCTGCCTACTGTTTTAATTTTTTCCAGTGTTTCTTTATACTCACTGGCTGACCAGCTAAATGGTTATTTTCTTATTAGTAGCCAAATTTGAGTTCCTAAAGGCCTGTCTACAAAAGTTTACTGTTAATCTTGAATAGTGAACTTATATGTTTATTTCATAGTTTAGTATGTATTTACTATAAAATAGAAAGCATTTGCAAACCCTTTCATTTTGCTTTATTTGTCTGTAATAATGATGCCTTGCTTTCATTTAGATGCAAGAACTGTGGACCAAAGGAATGTTAAATGCAAAGACCAGATGCTGGGCTCAAGGCATGGATGGATGGCGACCACTACAGGCAATCCCTCAGCTTAAGTGGTGTCTGTTAGCCAGTGGACAGGCTGTGCTAAATGAAACTGACCTTGCTACCCTCATATTGAACATGTTGATCACAATGTGTGGATATTTTCCAAGCAGGTAAAATGTAATTGAACATTTCCATGGTTACCAGGGACTCTTAATCATCTTCTCCCCATTTGTAAAAATGCTTCCTCTGTAATGGCATGGGAGTACTTTGGTGATTTAAAGCAACGGTATTCCATTTGTGGCCTTGGGGGAATGCTGCTTTGAATTTTGGAGTTTTTTAAAAAAAAGATATAAAGAAATAATTTGTAAATTATATTGGTAAAATAGCTAAAAACATCTTTCTCTGAGAGACTACAAATAATGATATTGAGGCTTGCTAGCTGCCTTCTAGCAATAGTAATAGTTACCATTCATATGAATCAGGTATAAACTGTTGAAATAAGCACACTGCAGTCTATAGACAGTTAGGTGCCAGCTCCTGACCTGTCAGGTTAGCCACTCCTGGTACAGGAACATGAGTCTAGGCCAGCCGTGGGCAAACTACGGCCCGCGGGCCGGATCCGGCCCGTTCGACTGTTCTATCCAGCCCGCGGAGCCGAAAGAGCGGGGGGTTCTCTTGCTCTCCCCTCCGCTCCTTCACCAGCAGCAGTGTTAACATGTATTAGTTTTACACAAAAACACTCCATCCATGCTTTTGTTCCGGCCCTGCGGTCCAGTTTAAGAACCCATTGTGGCCCTCGAGTCAAAAAGTTTGCCCACCCCTGGTCTAGGCTCACATCTTGCCCCACCTGACGAGTGAAGGTGAGACTTTGTTATCCAGTAATAATCATAATTATGACCCTTGAATGAGACATTTTAATCTTTATAAAACATTTGCATGTACATCATTTTATTATGCTACAGATATTTGTGATGGAAATTATTGAGGAACTGTCGTTTTTATAACACTTGAGGCTTTCATGTTCCAGTTCTCTTTAAAATTCAGATCAGACTTAAAGTGACTTAAATAATAGAATAATGTAGCATTGAATTAAGGCTTTACTTGGAAAATACTGAGAGTAGGTAAATGGTTTAAATTTATGTGACATAGTTTGATATGCCCTTTGGGGGGGAATCTCCACTGACAGTGTTAGACAACACCAAGTTTAATCAATTAAATAATAAATAAGAGTCTCTGGCTCTTCTAGGGTACTGTTTTTCAAGGAAATCTTATGGAAGGAAATGAAGTCATATTAAGCAGCCAAATAGATTTAAACCAAAATACCTAATCATGTTCCCAGCTGTATGAGAGCTTAGTCTTCATTAACAAAAAAAGTAAGGTAATATGCTTCATGCCTAGTAGAATGTCATATGCTCTGATCATATAAATTTTAATGAAAATATTAAAAGTTGACCTTAGAAAATATTTTCTAGAGACCAAGATAATGCCATCATTCGGCCTTTACCCAGAGTGAAAAGACTGCTCTCAGACAATGCTTGCCTTCCCCATATTATTCAGGTGAGTTACTCTTCTGTTACCAAATTAGGAATACTATTTTAAGAATCATTTTTCTTATTTAATTTTACTAGGAGCCCCACTCATTGTTTCTTTGTAGTTTATTCCATTTTCAAAAAGCCTGAACCCCGAATTACATTTACTTCACACTTCTAATTGAATTGATGTTCTAAATAAACTGTGGGAGATTGTGTATCCAAGAATGTAAATATGGGAAGACTCTAGACTCCAGAATTATTCTCAAAAGGTTTTAGTTATTATCCATTCTTATAATCACACCACTGTAATAACTTAAAGGTGATGTACTATGGTTTGCTGTGGGCTTTTCTGTTGTGGACATTTCTGTTCAAATGCTTAAGTGAAAGTGCACTGCAGTTACTGTTCCTTCTGTTCCACCACCTCCCCATCCTCCAGCCAAGAGGACTGCGCTGTATGTGTGAGCTGGTGGGAGAGTTTTTTGTTTTCTATTCTGGAACCTCTTGGCATGTAGGTGAAGGACAGTTCCGGAAAATCTAACTCTCTCAAAAGTTTTTCCAATACCTATGAAACTGAAAGGAAAGAAGTAAATGCAAATGCTGTTGAATTTCAGGCCTGGAAAAGATGACTAAAAAACAAATTTTAACAGATTTGGTCAGTATAACATGAAACTTTGTGGGGGAAAGATCTATTTTAATTAACCAAACATCTTTAGTAATATCTAAATAATTAAAGTTATTTAAAAGAAGAATTTTAATTATAAAAGTAGTTCCTTTTAACAATATATTCCTCCTATATTTTTTTAATACTGAGTTTAAAAAATATTTTTGATAAGCTGTTTGTTTTTCTTTAATTTTCTGTGTTCTGGAAGACCTTAATCTTGCTAAACACATTTAGGCAGTAGTAGTTTTCAGGAACATTATCTATATTAGTTAGTACAGATTTTTGTACTTCATTTGATTTTAAGAGCAATCACCAGTTTTACCACTGGATATAGCTTCAAAATTTTTAGACTGCTCTTAGATGCCTCTAAGATACCAGTAAATGTCCTATGTCTTCTGGTATAGTCACAATTTCAAATACGTTGGAATTTTGCTTGCTAATTCCCATATTTTGTTAAAAGTGTTGTCAAGTCCTATGTTAAAACTACTGCTAACACTAGGGAAAATCCTGTGTTACTATATCTTGATTTATCCTTGAAAAAATATGTCATGGTACTAAACACCTTCTTGAACAAGTAAGACACCAAAATACAGAGAAATTTAAATTATTTACTTAAAGACATAGCTATTTAAATAGTCTCGTATCTGAATTTAAAATTTTGACCTCTAATCTGAGCTAGTACTTTTGTTTTAAATTTATTTTTTTTACTAATAACATTTGACATCAAATTGGGGTTCTTTGGAAGTAATTGTTTATAGGAAGTTGAAATGCCACTTTTATTAAGCTAAAACTTACTAAATTTCTTTATCAAGTATTTATTCTAGCAACGTTGTACGATTTTTATTTTTTATTCATTACTGTGATCACAGATGCTAGTATTGCCAGCTCAGATTTCTAGAGACCTACTGATATTTGGTTACCCTCTTGTCCTCTACCTGCTTTTGTAGATCTCTTGTTTACTGCTGTTTTGCTGATGGCATTCTCTGCTCTGCTCCTTGAGTTCTTAAGTCTTCTTTGGGGGATGCTTCACATCCACTCAACTGAAAATAACCCAAAGAGTAGCTGCTTTTTTTTTTTCTTTTGTCATAAGATTCCTGCACAAGTAACAATTTTACCTATAATCATGACAAAATAGCTTCAGGCATATTTGGGCTTTTTCTGAATAAATTTTGATCAATTCTAATATTTTATATCTCTGCATTAACTATTGTGAAATGAATCATCTTCAAATCTTTTTAGAATCTCATATCTGAATCTAAAACTTGGACCTCCTAATCTGAGCTAGTATTTATTCTTGTTTTAAGTTTGTTTTTTTTACTAGTAACATTTGATAGACAAGTTTACCGAATCCCATGGATTTTTATTTTGTAACTTACTGCATATAAGAAACTGTAACCTCAGTACAAGAAATACATAAACCTAAAATGAATGATGATATTGCAATTTTTTTACAACCCAATAACAAAAACATTTTCTTTTTTTAGCTACTGCTGACCTTTGACCCTATCCTTGTTGAGAAGGTTGCTATTTTGTTATACCATATCGTGCAAGATAACCCACAGTTACCTCGTCTTTATCTTAGTGGAGTATTTTTCTTTATCATGATGTATACAGGTTCCAATGTGCTTCCTGTGGCTCGGTAAGAACTCTAGTAATAATCTATTTAAAATTATTGTTTGAATTGTACATGGATTGATATGTGTGTGTGTACATCATTGCTTTCATTAAACTTTTCATTATAAAAGTAGTTTATATGTCTGAAAATTTAGAAATTAGACAAATAGGGGAAAGCTACTTAGTATTACACCACTTACCACTTTTATCACACCTAACATAAGAATTTTATCACCTAATATTATAATATACATATTTAATGTAACCATATTCCTATTGTGCATGCAATTATATATATATTTTTTTCTTAAATTTGGATACTTTGTGCTATTGGTGGGTAATTCAGTTGATTAGAGCATTGTCCTGATGTGCCAAGGTCGCAGGTTCGGTCCCCAGTCAGAGCACATAAGGAAGCAACCAGTGGATGCATGAATGGGTGGAAAAATAGGTCGATGTTTCCCTCTCTCTTTTCTTCTCCCTCTCAATAAATACAATAAAAATAAATAATTTCAAAAATTGGATAACTTTTCACGTTATTATCTAATCTTAATATGACCATAGTTTAAAAACCTTTCTGTTCACGTAAGTTCTTGTGCTAATGAGAAATTAAACATTGGCGATCTGAATTTACAAGTTGCCTTTTATGGCTTTTACTTATATAGAAAGACCTCATCTTTAAAAAAACTCAGGTTACTAAATCTAAATCAGTTTTTCTGTCTGATCAGTAATCTTTTCCCCTAGATTTTTGAAGTACACACATGCCAAGCAGGCTTTCAAGTCCGAGGAGGTAAGCCTTGTGAATCCTCTGCATGCATGTTTCACACGGGGTAAGACGTTCTGGCAGCAAAACTTCCTGAGCTGTGTATGTTTACTGGATTAGGAGCATGTGAGGGCAGGTGTTATTTTAGTCCATTTTTACCGTCCCTTGTGGTACATCACATTAGTCTAAGCTAATATTTTTTAAATGAGAATAAATGTTGCCCATTAGACTTAATATTGGGAGTTGAAGATGTGGATTATAACGTAACACCACTGTGAATGTAATCTGTTCCCTTTGTGTAAAATTTGGATTAATTTTCATAAATAGTTCATTATATACCAGAGTCATATATCAATTAACATTCAGTATGACTTAAACTTCCTTTTGTTCAGATTCCAAGGTGGTGATTTCTTTTTTAAAGCTACTTAATTTGTTAGGCGCTTTCAAGTGTTCTTGCCATTTTACTGAGGAGGGAAAGAAGGAATCTAGAAAAAGATGACTTATTCAACCTGAAACTTTAAATATACATTTGCAGAGATATTTTTGTCAACACATAACTGAAGTGTGTTTCAAATTTCGTTAGGCTTTTTTCATGGAGCGTTGGTTTTCAGATTTTCTTAAGAGCATAAGAATAAACCAAAACCAGACCATTTGTTTAGGGGACTAACCAAGGAATGTTAGACCACTTTGACACTAGACCAAACTGCATGTTTTATAGAGTAGCCAGTGAAGCCCTACGAAATAGTCTGTCTTTCTGATAATATTAAAGTGATGTCCATGCCAGTGTCATTTTCACAACTTTATACAAATGGAAAATGAAAATATAAAAAATGTTTTCAAAAATTGCTTCTAATGACACCACCTTAATATAGCCTTAGGCATTTTGGGCATTATTCCTTTTTGTGGTGCAGTTATTCATATGTTTTCAAATTTTATATGAGAAACTATGCTTATCATTTCACCTAACAATATTTAGAATAACTACAACAAAAGTGTTTTTTTATAACAGAACTTTGGATACAGGAATTACTAAATAATAGTATTGTAAAGAACAGAACAAGCAGTCTAAAAGTTTAACAGATAGTAAATTTATGGCTTTTATTAGCAAAAGGCTTGAAAATATTCATAATCTAATTTTTCTTTGCACTAAGTGATAAAACCATGTCTGGGTTTTTTCCCTGGGTCTTTGCCAAATCCTAAAGAAATGAAATGTCCTCAGTTTGCCTAGGAGGAAATAAGAGAAATTCTTATTGTCTTTAGGATTTTATTTCCATCAGGCAAAAAAATTAGTTTAAAAATTTGGTATGATTAAGTGTGATCATTACCCTGACTCCATTTGGCCAGCCAGAGAATATGGTTTTTAATATAGTTAACTGTACTTACTTTGAATAGGAATTCTTCATCTAAGTCCTAGCCACCCTTCATGCCAACAGACTCATTTAGACAGGGTTGGGGAACCTTTTTTTCTGCCAAGGGCCATGTGGATATTTATAACATCACTTGCAGGCTGTATAAAATTATCAACTTAAAAATTAGCCTGCTATATTTGGTCAAACATTTAATTAACTCACCCCTATTGCCTTGGCAGGGCCAGACCAAATGATTTTGTTGGCCTTATATGGCCCAAGGGCCCGATATTCCCCATCCCTGCTTTAAGATCTTGATTTTCTGGATTTGCTAATTTTACTTGTTTTTGAAAACAAGCAGCAGGTACAGGTGGGAACGGCAGTCAGCGATGTGACACAGAATAATTGATGTTAATCTCTTTTACATCTTTCTGTGTTGTCCATCACTATTATTCATGGCCAAAGGCCAGTTGGCAGCCCTGGCACCTGAGGAGGTTAAGACTCCTGCAGGGCTGGAGGTGTTAGTTCACTTTGGAGCTTGTCAAGCCACTTTAAACCAAAAACATTTCACTTCACATTTTGCCATGTTTCTATCTAAATTTCCAAAGCACAAAAGCAATTTTTTCTAGCTTTCTTAAATGTTCGCCAAAAAATTGAAAGATAGCTTTACTGTTTCTGACTACATGTTGTTTTGTTTAAAAGTCAAAAGGACAAGATATTTTTCAAAGAAGTATACTTGGGCACATCCTACCAGAAGCAATGGTTTGTTACTTAGAAAATTATGAGTCTGAAAAGTTTTCTGAGATTTTTCTTGGAGAATTTGACACACCAGAAGCAATCTGGAGCAGTGAAATGAGGTAAGTACTCAGTTGATTGTATTTTATACTCAGAATCTTTGCCCCTTGCTGTCTGATTTGACTCTTATTAAAAGAACTGCTTTTACTAGTGTCATAATCTAAAGCTACAGCAGTCATTGGTATCAAATCAATTTTGACATGATTGGACAAAATTACTGTGACCTTAATAGAGCTTTGTATAAAAGTGTAGACCCTGTTATCATTGGTGCTTCTTAAGTCAGTTTGTAGAACTGGTACGATTTCAGGCAATGAACTAATATATATTTATGGAGTATGTGGAGATATAATCAAAACACAGTTCTTGGATATTTGGAAATAGAACTGTACTCCACTAATTAAAAAGTGTGCCCATATAAAATGAACCATACCAGAGAGATTCTAAATTCATTTAGAATGAGGATTCCATAGCCAGAACATTTTTACCTTAATCTGGAGATTAGGGTTCCTAACAATTCTTGTTAGGAGGAGAATGCCATAGGAAAAGCTGATGGAAACATAGAAAAAGGAGAAGCCCAGAAGCAGATGTAGTGTTCAGACAGGTTTTGTGCAGGAAAGACTTGGCACTTGAGAGTTCCAGTGTCAAGGCCACCTCTGGAGAATCACTCAGTCCTCTCAGCTGGATGCCATTTGACCTTCTGAGTCAGTCATTCACTCTCCTTTGGCTGACTTCACACTCACAGTATCACCTGCTGGTTATCATTTGTATCCTCCCGTAGGTTGACCTATAGGCTTGGCATGTGCTAGCCACCAATTTGAATATATTCTGTATGATCGTCATATTTTTCTTTAGGAAAAAATGTATAGGAATATAAGTTTACAACACAGTTTTTCTATGTAATGCTTTTCTTCTGAAATTCATTATTATGCATCCTCCATCTGAAAAATGTAACTCTCTGAGTACTGATCAAATCAAGTTTCTGCTTAGCTGAGGGCCAGATCCCAAATGTGGTTAAATTGACTAAAGTAAATACCAAGCAGTGAGCTTCTTTGGGATGATAGCTAATTGAGTTCCCTGGCTATGCCCATGTCCTGCATGCAGATTTCTTATCATTTGACCATCTCATGACTAATTTTTCAGTAGCAATGACTTATAATAGGAAGGACTGGTAATATCAGCCTTTCTTTCTATGGCCTTCTTTGTAGGTAGGTATCCTATTTAATAATAGAGAAACATGGTAATTAACCATAACTTCACTACCCTTCCCATTGGCTAATCAGCGAGATATGCAAATTAACTGCCAACCAAGATGGCAGCCGGCAGCCAGGCAGCTGAAGCGAACAGGAGGCTTGCTTGCTCCAGTGAAGGAGGAAGCCAAGGTTCCCCGCCTGCCGCTGCTGGGCTCTGAGCTTGCACTCTAAGAAACTATGTTGCAATTATAGAAGCCAAACAAACCCAGATACCTGCTTTCAGCAGCCGAGGTCTCAGAGCTGGAGCCAAGCCTCAGAGCTAAAGCCGGCTCTCTGCTCCAGTGACAGCCATAGAAGGTAAATAAATCCCAGAATGAAAAAAAAAGAAAAAAAAGGAGAGGTTGGGAGCTTCAGTCACCCGCCAGCCTGAAAACGGCGCTCAGCCCCTCACTCAGACTGGCCAGGCACCCCAGTGGGGACCCCCACCCTGAAGGGGGTGCAACCAGCTGCAAACAGCCATCATCCCCTCATCCAGGTTGGCCAGGCACCCAAGCAGGACCCCCACCCTGATCCAGGATACCCTTCAGGGCAAACCAGCCGGCCCCCACCCATGCACCAGGCCTCTATCCTATATAGTAACAGGGTAATATGCAAACTGACCCTAACAGCAGAAGGACTGAGAATGACTGGTCACTATGACACACACTGACCAACAGGGGGCAGACGCTCAATGCAGGAGCTGCCCTCTGGTGGTCAGGGCACTGTCACATGGGAGGAGCTCTGCTCAGCCACAAGCCAGGCTGATGGCTGCTAGTACAGCGGTGGTGGTGGGAGCCTCTCCTGCCTCCTCAGCAGCGCTAAGGATGTCTGACTGCAGTTTAGGCCTTTTCCCCGATGGCAAGTGGACATCCCCCGAGGGCTGCCGGGCTGCCAGAGGGATGTCTGATTGCCATCTTAGGCCCAATCCCCCGGGGAGCGGGCCTAAGCCAGCAGGTGGTCATCCCTTGAGGGGTCCCAGGCTGCGAGAGGGCACAGACCAGGCTGAGGAACCCCCCCCCCCCCCCAGTGCACAAATTTTTGTGCACCGGGCCTCTAGTTACAAATAAGTTTATATCCATTGAAAGTTTTTACATAAGTTTAAAATACCCTGAATAACATTCTCAGGATATTCTAAACAAATGAGTTACTCTAAAGAAGGTCCATGTAATTATTTTGCATGATTACCTATCTTAACCTTTTCTTTAAAATCAAATAATCCTTTCATAATGCTTGGATGTTTTTATAATTGTAGGCGCCTCATGATAGAGAAGATCGCTGCCCATCTTGCTGATTTCACACCTCGTCTTCAGAGTAACACGAGAGCACTTTATCAATATTGTCCCATCCCAGTTATCAACTATCCACAACTAGAAAATGAACTATTTTGTAATATTTATTACCTCAAACAACTTTGTGATACACTCCGATTTCCAGATTGGCCAATTAAAGACCCGGTAAGTTAGATTAATTTGTGCCTTCTTAAAGTATAAAAAATAGACTCTAATCATTTCTGGGTATTTCTTCCGTCAATGCTAGAAGGATAATGGAAAAAAAAAAAAAAAAAGAAGGATAATGGCTTCCTGAAGTATTTCCTCTTACTCTAAGCACCATGTAAAGGGTAGTTCAGTATATTTGGGTACACACCAAACTGAAAGATTTTTTTTTTGAGGGAGTATTAGGATTTTTATAATCTTAAACTTCTGTGACAGAAACGAAACAAACTTAATTTCATGTATATTACACGATTGTATACTATATTAACTTGGTGGAAGCTTGTCTCTAGAGCAGATTAAGTTCACAGATGTTGGAGTAAGGTGATGTGGGACTGAGTCTCAGTTTGGCCTTAGGTAGTAGTACTACTGATACTTATAATAGCAACTATCTCATGTGGTAGTCAGGAGACTATGTGAGAATTTGCATAAGATACACAGCACAATTCCTAGCACACATCTGAGGCAGTATGTGTGACATACTTATTTGTATAGTAGTATCTACTGCCTGCCTGTCCACAGTGCCCTTGGGACCCCTCCACTGTGAGCCCTTGGATATCTGCCTGAAGCCTGGAATAAAGTAGGCCTGGCCACCATGTTGGATTATTATTGTGGCAGAGGGTATACCATTATCTTTACCATCAAAAGGTTTCAGAACAGTTACCATTTGTGCCACCAGGCACTGCCTCTTCATAGTGCTCTGACCACATGAAGGCATGTAGATTCTGCTACTTGTTCTGGATTCAACTTGAGATAGTTGAAAAACTATGGGCTTTTTAGTCAGACCTAGGTTTGAGTCCAGCTCCATCACTTAATAACTGAGAAACATGTAGCTATCTCTCAAAATCTCAATGTTTTCATGTATTATTGAGATTTCTATACATGCCCAAGTTTCAGGCTTGATTCCCAGTAGGGGGCAAGCAGGAGGCAGCTGATCAGTTTTTCTCATCAATGTTTTCCTCTCTCTCTTTCTCCTCCCTCTCCTTCACCCATTCTCTCTCTCTAAAAAAAAAAAAAAAAAAAAAAAAAAAAAAATCAATAAAAGTATATTTTAAAAATATATAGTCCTGAAACAAATATCTTGCTATTCAACAGTGTTTTGGTTATTTGTATTTCAGAAAGCTGTTAATTGGATAGTCTAGAAATGTCAGTTTAAATAAATATAGCACAAGGATTTTGTGGCTTGCAAATTATATTCTGAAATAGTTTTATTTTAACAGATATAAATTTTAATCCTCTGTCTTTAAGGTTAAACTTCTAAAAGATACCCTTGATGCCTGGAAGAAGGAAGTAGAAAAGAAGCCACCTACTATGTCAATAGATGATGCTTATGAAGTGCTTAATCTCCCTCAAGGACAGGGACCGTGAGTTACTTTCAGTATTCTCTTCTCCCTTCGTCTTGCAGTTCCTGTTATGCATGAGGAAGAGATTTTATAGCAATACCAAAGGCCTGGTGTGTGGGGTTCCTTGGCCTGGCCTGTGCCCTCTCGCAATCCAGGATCCCTCTGGGGGATGTTGGACTACCAGTTTCAGCCTGATCCCCACAGGCCAGGCTGAGGGACCCCATGGGTGCACAATCTGTGTACTGGGTCTCTAGTATGCATATAAGATCTTTGGTTAATCTCTTTCCGCCCTCTCCTTCCCTCCTCCCCACTTCACTCGATGAGATTCATCAGTCTGTTCCATGTTTCCATGCCTGTGATTTCTGCTCCTGCATTGAGAGTCTGCCCTGTCATGGTCAGTGCGCATCATAGCTACTGGTTAAACGGTTGAATGGTCACTTAAGCTTTTATATATATAGATATATAGATGCCTGAGACACTAAATGACAGATGCTTTGAAAGGTTGCAGATTCACTTTATCAGTGAAGTTTTACAGTAGAATAGATATGTTAGAGAAAAATAGTTTAAAAGACATTTTCTTAAGTATAAAATAGAATGTCTACATTTTGGGGAAGATTGATAGTTAAAATGACTCAGAATTATAGAGTTCAAAGTGATATTCTGGAAAATTTTAAAACAATTTCTTACTTCTTCAAACCCCAAATGCTGTTTTGTAATTATAAGTGAATGATAACCTTATAGAGCAGCGGTTCTCAACCTGTAGGTAGCGACCCCTCTAGGGGTTCAACGACCTTTCACAAGGGTAGCCTAAGACCATTGGAAAAACACACACATATAATTACATATTGTTTTTGTGATTAATCACTATGCTTTAATTATGTTCAATTTGTAACAATGAAATTGGGGGTCACCACAACATGAACTGTATTAAAGGATCACGGCATTAGGAAGGTTGAGAACCACTGTTATAGAGGAAAAATTTAGGTTTTATCTTTTATGTGAAAAGAAAGGATAATCTTAAATTTAACTGGGTTTGATTTGACACCATATATATTATCATATACAGTAAAATAAGGTTCTTAAAGTACCATTTTAGGTGATTGTGTAAATATTTTTTCTTGCACCTTACTGTATTCATAAAACAATTTTCCTATTTAACAGGCACGATGAGAGCAAGATCAGAAAAGCTTATTTCAGACTTGCACAAAAGTACCACCCTGACAAGAATCCAGAAGGAAGAGTATGTACTACCTATGGAATTAGGGCTTTTGGGATTGACTTTCTTTTACTCAGTTACTGTTTTAGACAGAAAATAGATATATTCATCCTCTGTGTCAGAATATGCCTCATAATATAACACTCAGGGTGTGTTTAACTTCAAGCCCATGTTTTCTGCATGAGTGGTCCTCCCTTAGTTTACCAAAAGCACTACCCTTGAGACTAGCAACTTAGGGATTTTGTCCACATGACTGTTTTAAGTATTAAATGAGATAATGTATGTAAAGCACTTAGCAAAGGGCCTGCAATATAGTACTCAATAAATAGTAGTTCTTATACTTATTTTTATTTTATTTTATTTTTATTTTTATAATAATTTAGGAACTATCTCTAGTATATAGCAGTTTAATATCGTATTTACGGTGTAAACCACTGAGGAAGACATTTTTAGTAAATTATATTGAGATCATTGAATAGCTATTTGAAAGAGGCTGGGGGTGAGGGGGTGGATTTCACCTTAAAAGTATACCAGTTAGATTACAGTTGGAATGAATACCTTCATGTAAAACAGAATAAAACAAAAAAATAATAACTGAAGAAGTTATTGGTAAAATACAAACTAGCTGTGTTCTATTTCAGTTTTGATTTGAAATGTTCCAAATTAAAAGTTAATTATCTCTGGTTACATACAGGATATGTTTGAGAAAGTAAATAAAGCATATGAATTTTTATGTACCAAATCAGCAAAAATAGTGGATGGACCAGATCCAGAGAATATAATTTTAATTCTGAAAACGCAGAGCATTCTCTTCAACCGTCATAAAGAAGGTAAGCATGTGTTGTTTTCAAATTTTCATTTACCCTCCACCATGTTACTTTCTGAATATTAAAATTAGAATCTTAAAATATTCTACAGCATATTTTAATAGATTTATAATTATTATTGCAGAAGGCTTTTGAAATTATATTTTAGATACAGCAAGAGTAGTTTTTCATAGGAAGGTTCAAAATGGTGCTTATTTTATATCTATGTTTTTCAATATTTTGCATTCCAACAAGATTTCAGTATTCCTTCCTGAAGGACATTTATATTCTGTGGAGTTACTTGGTAATTTTTTATCTTTAGCCATTTAGCAGCAAACATATAAATGAGATCTAAAAGGGGTCTGACAGTGTTTGATTCAAAGATGATTCAGTGTTCTTAAATCACATAAAAAAGATTCTGCCCATCATGACTCCAAAAGCCTCTAAAGGTTGAAAATGCCAAGAGTGTTTTGGTGTTTAAAAGAGCAATAGAAACTTTTGAAATGACTGTATACTTCCTATTAATCTTTTATTTCCTATGGTAGCTGTAAAAACCCTCAGTTTGAAAACCACTGTTACAGCTTAAGAAGTTGTGATTGCAGGGTACAGTGTTACTGGGAATTTTCAGCATGTTTGTATTCCATTTGTGGTAACTAACAGTGGCAGCCAAAAAGCTGGGTATGTTGAAAACTTTGAAGACTTTTATGTTGGGGAGTTACGTTCAATATGGCAGATGTCCATTGGCTTTGGGACTGAACTTGGTTTATAGCACCAAGTGGAAGATCCATTTGCTCTGCAGAGTAATGTTGGGAGAAAAGGAAGAGAGGCCAAAGTGGGTCGGGGATTTGGTGGTGGTTGGAGGTAGGGGGGTCGGGGGAGGGATCTGACATAAGCAGGTGGAACACTGGGTAATTGAGGGCAAGTGAAATTGCAGTTTAGGTACATATTGGAGGGGACAGCATGGGGATCTAGCAATTGGGTCATTAGAGAGTAGTGACTAATTGATTCACTTCTGCATATGAATTGAATAGAACAGATTTGTAAGCATTTAGTTATATGTTATTTATTACTTATCAGCATGAGTTTAAAGGCATCTTTTTCAAACCATTTGGTTTTTGTTTTTTAATATTTTTTTATTGATTTCAAGGAGGAAGGTAGAGGAAGAGAGAGAGAGAAACATCAACGATGAGAGAGAATCATTGATTGGCTGCCTCATGCATGCCCCCTACTGGAGATGCAGCCCACAACCAGGGCATGTGCCCTGACTGAATTGAATCTTGACCTCCTGGTTCATAGGTTGAAGCTCAACCACTGAACCATGCCAGCCGGGCCATTGGTTATTTTTTAGTGGCTGATAACCCTGTACTAGTCGCAGGTGAGATGCAGTTGTGGCTCACCGTTGGTTTGTTATCTAGGTCAGAATGTTTTTCCACGCTGCGTTTTCCACTTTTCCCAGGCTTGTTTATGCCCAGTGAGCTTGGGGTGGGGGGCCTGGTCTGTTAGGCTTAAAATGTATCCATTGTTCTTTCTTGCCACATATATGTATGTACGTGTTAGGATTACTAGAACCAGTTGCAGGAGGCTTTTTTTTAAAAGCCATTTTAGAAATGCATTTACTTAAGGCAAATTATTGGTCATAATCAAAAGGCAAAAGCTCTATACTGATTTCAAGTGGGATTATAGAGGCTCTTATAAAGTCACAGTCTCTTTTGCTCTAGAATAAATTATATTCAGTATTTTTAAATGTTCATTTTATGATAACTGATGAAACAGAAAGAAAAGTGCACTTGTTATTCAGAAAGTAGAATATAAAATATTCACTCATTTAAATCAAATGTCTGCCCGGCTGATGTGACTCAGTTGTTGAGCTTCTACCTGTGAACCTGGAGGTCACAGTTCGATTCCTGGTCAGAGTACATGCCCGGGTTGCAGGCTCAGTCCCTGGTTGGGGTACAGGAAGCAGCAGATCAATGATTCTCTCTTATCATTGATATTTCTATCTCTCTGTCCCTCTCCCTTCCTCTCTGGAATCAAGAAAAATATATTTTAAAAAATAAATAAATCAAATATCTCTCTTTTCTTTATAAAGAATTATGGAAATCATGATTGTTAATACAGTCTCTGGTGTGTTGGCTGTGTCTTGCTGTCTGAGATCAGGTGAAAAGTTGCAAAAATCACGTGGGACAACATAGAAACTCAATATGCTGCAAGGGATCAAACACTAAATTCAGTTAATCTATCAGAAAATATTCTTTTACAAGTGGAAACATTTTAGAGAAATCAACCAAATAAGTTTGCTAAAAAAGAAAAGATCCAAGGGATTTGTAATTGTTTTAATTTCTTTTTATAAACTAGAATTAAAAGACATTTAAGATGTTGAATATCATTTTTTAATGCAATGTAATTGAACAGTGTCTAAATTAACTAAATTAGTTTTTATTTTGTTTGTTGTTTTCCCAACACTAACCTTTGGTTATTTCAGATTTACAGCCTTACAAATATGCAGGATACCCCATGCTGATTAGGACTATAACCATGGAAACTTCAGATGACCTCCTTTTCTCAAAAGAATCACCTTTGTTGCCTGCTGCGGTAGAACTGGCTTTCCACACTGTCAACTGCTCAGCCCTTAATGCTGAAGAGCTCCGACGGGAGAATGGAATTGAGGTAATATGGATGACCTTGGCGTTTACTTTCCAGCTAGTTTAGTTATATTGTATGACTCCTGGCAATAGAGAATTCACCAAGTACAAATAGTTGGAATAGTTTGTATAATTTATGCCAACAGATAATGTTACAGTCCCTATATTCTGGTATCAAAATTAAAGGTAGAAATGGAGCTTTATTTCATGTGAATTGGAGAGTATTAGATTCAAAATTGATAAAAATATTACTTACAAAGTAGCTTTTTGGGACCACTTAAAAAGGAACTTTTAGGAGCCCTTTGTTTACTTGTTTATTTAACAAATATTAATTGAGCAAACATTTACTTAACCAAGTATCTAATATTCCTATTAGAAAAGGCTTTTCAGACTTCAAGTCAGAATGGGAACTTAATGGTTGGCTTCTTTCTTTGCAGGTGTTACAAGAGGCATTTAGTCGCTGTGTGGCTGTCTTGAATCGTTCTAGTAAACCAAGTGACATGTCAGTACAGGTGAGGCTAGTTTCTGATGTTTTGCTGAAAATCTTTGGTTCCTTTGGTGTTCTGATATTTGCTGAAAACCTTTGATGTGGTGTACACATATTACTCTAATCTCTGCCTTCATCTTCACATGGCATTCTTCCTGTGTGTGTATGTGTGTGTGTGTGTGTGTGTGTGTGTGTGTGTGTGTGTGTGTCTATCTGTCTGTCTGTCTCGGTGTCTAAATTTTCTCTTTTTATAAGGACACATATTCTATTGTGTTAGAGTCCACCCTAATGACCTTATCTTAACTTGATTACTTCTATAAAGATGCTTTTTCCAAGTAAGGTCACATTCTAAGGTACTTGGGGGTTAAGACTTTAACATATCTTATAGGGAAGACACAATTTGACCCATACATTGATATTGCAAGAAAGAGATAAAATCAGGAAAGAATAAGGAATACTGTAAGGGAAAGTTTCAGGAAATAGAGCTCACAAATCCAGGAACTTCTAAGTCTAATAAAAGTAAAGGGAAAAACTGAGAAATGTCTTGAGCGAACACCAAATGAAACTTCACACTGCAGCAATAATTAAACCATAATTAAGCCTTTGATTTCTAGGTGTTCATTTTGTATCTTGCTACATTGCCAAAGTCATTTATTAAATCTAGTAATTTTTTGGTGGAGTTTTTAGGTTTTCTATGTACACTTTCATATCATCTGCAAATAATCTCCTTTCCAATTTGGATGCCTTTTATTTTTCCTTCTTGTCTGATCGCTACGGGTAAAACTTCCAGTACTATATTGAATAACAGTGGTGAAAGTGTACATTCCTGTCTTGTTCCTGTTCTTATGGGGAATACTTTTGGTTTTTGCCCATTAAGAAGGATATTGGCTCTAGATTTGTTATATATGGCCTTTATTATGTTGAGATCTGATCCCTCTATTCCCACTTTGCTGAGAGTTTTAGTTCTAGTAAACCAAGTGACATAAAAATAGGTGTTGGATTTTGTCAAATGCTTTTTCTGTGTCAATTGATATGATCATGTGGTTTTTGTCTTTCAATTTGGTTATGTGATATATCACATTAATTGATTGTGAATATTGTACCAGCCTTGCATCCATGGAATAAATCCCGCTTGGTCATGGTGTATTTTATACAACAATAACAAAATAAAACGTAAGGTTCCAAGAGAATTATACTATACCCTGTTCAAACTTTAAATCTATGAGAACCACTTGGAGGGCTCTTTAAACCATGGGTTCTGAGCATCGCCTCCCCGTCTCCTGCCCACAGAGTTTCTGATTCAGTGGGTCTGGCATAGGGGCCTGAGAATATGCTTTTTTATCAGATTGTCAGGTGCTGATGGTCTGTATATCACACTTTTAAGAACCACTGCACTAAATTGCTTGTGATCTATTGGCTTTGTTTGTCTCTTTTAAGATAGAGAATAATATAATGAACCCTTATGTCCCCATTACACAGTTACAAATATTTGCCATTTTGCCATTCTTATTTCACGTCCTCCCCTGCCTAATTTCCTTTTCTGTCTCCCTCCCTCAACCATAGTATTTTAATTGGCTTATTTTCTGTTATGGTTATAATAGTTGAATTCTTTGATAGAAATTCCATCAAGAATTCATTAAGATCATTATAGAATGCATCTTGTTTATGCCAGCAAAGTTTAGAACATAAAACAATTGAGTATAAGCTTTTTGAGTTTCAGCCTCTACTTTGAAGTACAGTACATAAGTAGAACTCTGGTTCTACAATGTTCATACTCTGGACAAAAATGTTTTAATCCAGAGATTGGCAAATATTTTTTTTTTAATTCTCACCCAAGGATATATATTTTTCTTTTTCATTGCTTTTTAGAGACAGTGAAAGGGAGGAGAGAGAGAGAGAGGCAAAAAACTTTATGTGAGAGAGTCAGATCGATTGGTTGCCTCCCACACCAGCCCCGACTGGAGCCAGGATTGTACCTGCAACCCAAGTATGTGCCCTGAATGGGAATTGAATCTGCAACCCTTCCATGACTGGGCTGATGCTCTAACCCAGCGGTTCTCAACCTTTGGGGGTCGAACGACCCTTTCACAGGGGTAGCCTAAGACCATCGGAAAACACATAATTTAATTACATATTGTTTTTGTGATTAATCACTATGCTTTAATTATGTTCAATTTGTAACAATGAAATTGGGGGTCACCACAACATGAGGAACTGTACTAAAGGGTCACGGCATTAGGAAGGTTGAGAACCACTGCTCTAACCGTTGAGCAACACCAGCCTGGGCAGCAAACTTCCTATATAATAAAAGGCTAATATACAAATCGACTGAACGGAGGTATGACTAGTCATTATGACATGCACTGACCACCAGGGGGTAGATGCTCAATGCAAGACCTGCCCCCTGGTGGTCAGTGCACTCCCACAGGGGGAGCACCGCTCAGCCAGAAGCCGGGCTCATGACTGGCAAGCACAGCAGCGGTGGCAGGAGCCTCTCCCACCTCTGTGGTAGTGCTATGGATGCCTCGGGGGATGTCCAACTGCCAGCTTAGGCAGACATCCCCTGAGGGGTTCTGGACTACAAGAGGATGCAGGCTGGGCTGAGGGGGTCCTCTCCACCTCCTCCCCCCAGCCCCCCCAAGTGCACCGGGCCTCTAGTTTTTTTATAAAGGGCCAGAGAGTAAACATTTGAGGCTTTCAGGCTCCATACAGTCTCTGTTGAACTTTATGTTTTTTTAGTAACTCTTTAAAAATGTGAAAACCTTAGCTCCCTGGCCATATAAAGACAGCCCCAAGGTTGATTTGGTCATGTACCATAGTGGCCATGATGTGGCAACCTTACATCTACAGAAAATCTTAACCACAAATACTAGTGATTTAATAGATATATTCTGTTCAATTTTGGAGCGATATTAAGTATTCACAAATCTTTGCTGATTTGACTCCCACTGTCTTAAGCAAGGAATACACAAGTGACTTCTTTTTTTACTCTGTTGTGTTGTCTACAGGTATGTGGACACATAAGCAAATGTTATAGTGTGGCTGCTCAGTTTGAAGAATGCCGAGAGAAGATTACAGAAATGCCCAGCATCATCAAGGATCTCTGTCGGGTGCTATATTTTGGCAAGGTAGAGTTCATCTTTAATGCTTTCTGATAGAGCTGGCAATGAGTTTTCTTTTCAAGTAGCCAGACTCGGGTTTATAAACAAGTTGTTTTCTCCAAATTATTATTTTCTTTGAATTCTCACCCAAGGATATATTTTCATTGATCTTTAGAGAGAGAGAGAAACATCGACATGAGAAACATTGATCAGTTGCTTCCCGCACATTCCCCAACTGGGGATAGAACCCACAATCTAGGTAGGTGCCCTGACCAGGAATCGAACCTGCAACCTTTGGTGCACAAGCCAATGCTTTAACCAACTGGCCATTATTTTTAAGTAAATTATTTGGATCTCTAATAGCATTTTTCACAGAAGCATTGCTGTCAATGAAGGCTTTTGTTCCTAAGCTGGCCCACAAAGAATGAGACTAGTGACACAGCTAAAGAGAAATGGGTCTCATCTGAGCATTAAGAGAAAGGTAGGGAAGAAAGAGAAGACTAGACTAAATAAGTCTCATGAGAGTAAAGGACCACATAAAACCCGAAACTTAGCCAAGTCACTTCCTCATGGGAAGAAAGTCCAGTTTAGAGATCTGAGAGTTGACTGTTTCTTCCTACTCCAGTACCGCTGAGGGAAGGAGAGATTTCTTGGGTGACTGACAGAGTAAGAGACGTACTGGAATAGAACAGGATTGGGGTGCTGATGCTGGGCTAGGGTATCTTGAAATAAGGGAATCTGATGAAAACATGTCCTCAACTATATTTACTTGATGTCCTTAGAAGTATTTAGCAAGAACAAACTGAGTGACAGAAATGAATTTGTACACCTGCACTAAAGATATTGATAAACTTAAGCTGGTTGGCATGTGAGTTGCTGTTAATGCCTTGTTACTATTTTTAGAAATTAAAATTGAATAAGTGAAATGAAGAAAACGATTCCCAAGTTTCTGAGCACTAGCCTCAAAGATAGTAATTCTGTGTTTTGTCACAGGGTCACTTTTAATTTTGGATTTTAAAGGATATAGGATTCAAATTTAAATTGGAAATAAAAATAGAAGAGGAGGTAAATATTTTGCATAATAAGATAGTTAGCTTGCCATACATTCACATCCAATTTCTCTTGGGAGCTTTTTAACTCTATAATTAATTCAATTATTCTTATTCTCTCAGAATATTCCACGGGTGGCCGCTCTTGGGGTAGAGTGTGTCAGTTCTTTTGCTGTGGATTTCTGGCTACAGACACACCTGTTTCAAGCTGGTATTTTGTGGTATATGCTTGGTTATCTGTTTAATTATGACTACACCCTGGAAGAGAGTGGCATTCAGAAAAGTGAAGAAACAAACCAGCAGGTAACTTTAACTGCTTTAATATTACATTTGAACTCAAGCCATAGGTTAATGCAAAGCAAAGCTTCAGCTATCCAGAACCTCCAAGGCATACACTGTTTTTCAGAGATAACTAAGTTTATTGCTCTTTAATCCTCCAAACTATTTTTTATCTTAACCGGGATTCAAGGCAAGGGAATTTGTAGTAGCATATACTGGATACAACTTAATTTTTTCTTGATTACTCAGCATCACCTGTAGGATTGCAAAATTACGCTTTTGTAACACAGGAAAATATAACGATACTGTTGGGGCTAGCTCCCCCAAACACTTGAGTGCTTACCTGAATTTTACATATATTTTTTTCTATCTATACTTTTGGATTTACTGTCATTCATTATTCATTCTGTTATTTGTATGTGTCTTTAGCAGTCAAATCTACCTGCTTGTATCCTATTCCCTACCCTATCCCCAGATGTGCTTCTTCCCGTTATCTACAAGATACTGTTTTGGTAGAAATGAACTCACAGATTCTGATGCTCTTTTGTATAGGTACAAGAGTAACCTCTAATGCATAAACTCAATAATATCAGTGTTAGGGACTCCTGTGCCTTTTTTGGTTGTTAGCTTTCTGCTTTTTAAATGTGTCCCGTACAGTTAATTGTGTTATTAATGTAAGAGAGCAGATCTACTTTAATGTCTTAATTTTTTAAACAGGAAGTAGCCAACAGCCTTGCCAAACTGAGTGTCCGTGCTCTCAGTCGCCTTGGAGGGTATCTGCCTGAAGAACAAGCAACTCCAGAAAATCCAACCATCAGGAAAAGTTTATCTGGCATGCTGACACCCTATGTTGCTAGAAAACTTGGTGTGGTTAGTACTACTGAGGTATGTGCTTACAGGTAGCCTGGCTTTTGATGAATATTGCAAAATCCTTTAAATAACACAGGAACATAGCAAAGTTGAGTGCTGCAGGAATACTAAAAATTGACAATGTTTATATGCTTGTTCTCTCAGCCAAGAAATGTAGTTTATTGTGTGTTGATGCTAATGATCTAGCTCTACAAGAGCAGTCTTTTTGTAAGTGTAAATTAACTTCACATTTCTCAGTTGTGGAGCTACCATAATTGTGTGTTTTTTATCCTCACCTGAGGACCTTATTTTATTTTATTGATTTTTAGAGAGAGAAACGTTGGTCACTTGCCTCCTCTATGTGCTCTAACCAGGGATCAAACCCACAACCTTTTGGTGCACGGGACCACGCTCCACCAGCTGAGCCACCCAGCCAGGGCAGAGCCACCGTAATTCTTAACTAGTCTTTTTCCTTGGAATTAGAAGGGACTGGACTGGAGTGGTGTTTCACAATGGGCAGAGGACTGGGAGGCAGGAGACCCAGAGTCTATTTTTAGTTGTTTCTCCGCTTTACCTTATTTAGGCGCAGGTGTGAAGTCCTAAAGGTAAATGCACACACACATGCATTCGTGACAAAAGTCAGTCTGACCTTGGCAGACCTCCCAACTTGGGCCTTTTTTGTGAGGATCACTGAGAAACCACCTACAAATGTAGCATTAGAGAATTAATCTATAGAAGTCCATTCAGTAGACTACTGTGAAGCTTAAATTGTATAGGTATATTTAAATAAAGGCATTCGAAGATGTTTAAAGTGTTTCAGGTGAAAAGACTAAACCCATTTTTGTATATTAAAAAGAAATGAAAAGATGGATGAATCTGTACCAATCTGTTTAAGTGTAGTTTTCCCTGAATGGCAGAATTGCAGACTATTTTAATATTATTTTTATATTCTCTAGTGATTGTTTAATACTTTTGTGTAAAAAAAAATAAAGCCCTCAGGGTTTTACTGGTAAATGTAAAGTATTTTTAGAACTTATAAATAGCTTCTTTGTTTTTAATCCAATCTAAATGGGTCTGGTTCTAGTGCTGGGCATTGCTTTTTGGTGCCCCTGAACAAGAGGGAAGAGCTTTAGGTGTCACTTTTTGTTCTTTTTCTGGACTTTGTGTTTATTAATGTGATGGGGTTTGCTGATTAAAAACTAGCAAGTTGTTGATTATCGCTACAGGAAAAAAGAACTAGTAGCACTTCAAAATGTTGGCCTGAACTTCATCTGGACATATTAAATGCTTATTTTAAACTGCTAATTCTCAAAGTTTTACAGTTTTCCTACTAATATATATTTTTTCAGTCATTTTTCTTAACATTTGAAAACAAAGGTTGGGTGTCTTTGTATAAGATGGAGGTATTAACCCCTGCTTTCCTCCTGGCATAGAGCTCTGTAAATGTGAAATGTATAACAGTTTTACTAAAACATATATAGGAAAGTCAAAAGTCTATGTATAGTTACTATGGAGGAGAGCAAAGTGGAGGGAAAGCACAATGGGTAGGGAAGCAGTCATAGCTATGTCTGCAGAACTTTCTCTGCAATTTGGAATTAGGGCTTAGCCTACAAAACCGGAACTGACTCTGCTTGTACATTTTATTTCCTTTCCTAGGAGTATGCTTCATAAAGATTTAGATTTTTGTTTTCAAATAAATGTGTATAAAGGCAGTATGATTCCTTTTAAGCTTATGTTTACTGAGTTTATTAAATACTTTAACACAGTATGTTGTGTCATTTTCACCAAAGCAGAGCCAATGTTAAGTCAGACGGATTCAAATTTGAATCCCGGCTTCACCACTTAAGGATTGTGAGACCTGGAACACATAGTTTGCCCTCTCTCGGCCATAGTTTTTCTCAGGTGCACATGCATTATAGTATCAGACTTGTTAGAATGATTGAGATGCCTGTTACTGAGCTCCGTTCTACTTACAGCGCCTGTCACCACACGTAATAGATAATTTTAGTAAACGATAACTTCATTATTTTTTTTTCTAAATGTTAGAAAACTTACTCTGTTTCCTAGATTTTGAAGATGCTTAACAGCAACACAGAGAACCCCTATTTGATATGGAACAATTCTACAAGGGCAGAGCTACTTGAATTTCTTGAATCCCAACAAGACAACATGATTAAAAAAGTAAGTTACTATTTGAAAAGTTTCTTGGGTAACTTACTCTGATGGAATCTCTGGAAATATAACTTAGCATTGACAAAGCAGAAGCCCATTTCTCCATTGGGTGTTAATTAAACCTATATATATCTTTTTGCCACCTAATACTTGGCGCATTTAAGAATACTTACTATTGTATTTAATAATACATTGAGATTTGTTATTGTTGTTTTTGTCACCACTAATATATACCTATCTTCTATTTTAACCAGTTTTTGCACCCAGAAGCCCTGCTATATTATTCTTTCCAGCCTCTTTTCCCCAGTAAATCAAAATTGCTTTTGGTATCAAAATTGAATAATTTCTCCTATTCTGACACCTTTCAGTGGAGAAGCGGTTAAGCCATTAAATACAACAACAAAAAACAACCAGTAGGATGAAAAATACGGAGAGAAAACCTGGATAATACATATACTAGATGATTGGGTTTTGACTTTATTTGTTGTTGTTAATCCTCACCCAAGGATATTTTTTCCATGGATTTTTAGAGAGCATAGAGGGAAGGAGGGAGGGAGGGAGAGAGGGAGAGAGAGAGAGAGAGAGAGAGAGAGAGAGAGAGAGAGAGAGAGAGAGAGAGAAAAGGTGATTTGTTGCCTATTATACACACCCCGACTGGGGATCAAACCCACAACCTAGGCATGTGCCCTGACCTGCAACTGCAGCCTTTTTGGTGTACAGGATGATATTCCAACCAACTGAGCCTCTGGCCAGGCTCTCCCATTTCTCTTTTTTGTCTTTTTACTTTACTTTAAATGGAAACTCTTCTTGATTTCTCAACCTGTTTATTCAGAGACCTTGTTTTCCAGCACTTCATTTAATATATTATTTTTTAAACCAGTAAAAATGTCACCCTATATCTGACTAGACCCAATGCCTGCTGAGTGGAGTGAGAAGAGCCAAGTGTCATACTTGCTTTATGAACACTAGCCCTAAGACACTTCATTGACTGACCTCTGTGATCTTTTGAAATTTTAAAATGAGTAATAATATTAGTCTTTGACTAGAAAATAACAATTCTACACCCATTCCAGAGCCCATATTACTACTTAATAAATCTTATAATTGCCATGGGTGCTGTCTCTGTATCCCACCACATTTTTTCCCTCTGAAAAATGAGTGGTTCTTTTAAGTTACTTATCTGATGTTATTAAACTGAATATGTGGATAGATTCATAAACCAGACACTAATGATTCTGATGCACATCTAGCAGTCTGTTTTCTTTTTTTAAAGGGTGATTGTGACAAAACTTATGGATCCGAATTTGTCTATAGTGATCACGCCAAAGAACTTATTGTAGGCGAGATTTTTGTTAGGGTATATAATGAAGTCCCTACTTTCCAGCTAGAGGTAAGCTCTCTATTAGTTTTGTCTGATACTTTTGCTCATTTGACCACACTGTGTACATGGAAGTAATTCGTGTCCTTTGCCAAATGCTTTATACCAGCCTGGCTATGTGATGGGGTGACCATTGATAATGTATGAGCCTCTTTATTTTGAATGTTGAAGAATTTATTTTGTGGATTCATTAATAAGTTATTCCTTGCCCAGCTGTTTCTTATGTTACGCATAATGCTCTCCTACTGTCATGTATATATGCCTTCAACTTACTAGTCTCTCTTGCACATCAACTCCATCGTGTAGAATATCCTTCTCTGGCCAGTTATTAGACGAAAATAAGAAAATACAGTTGGAGATCAAGTTTTTTGTTTGTTTGTTTGTTTTTTTTAAATGATGGGGGTCACATCAGCTTGTCAATTCCAGAAGCAAATTGAGGAGCTTCTTTTTCTTCTTAGTACTTAGAGATTGTGTAGGAATATTTTGTTAAAGGGTTTTTTTGTTTTGTTTTGGAGAGGATGACAAGGAGGATTTGGTGATTGATTGATTTTTAAGGAGCAAAGAAGTAAAGCTTTTGTTTTAGACTTTGCTCTTAGCATAAAAGGAATTTACTAAACCATAATGTGTATTATTTAGCTGTTAATCAGAATGAATTCAGTGATTTTTAAGATCCCTTTGAAAACTGTCCTTTGAATTTATATTCTAAATATATATAATTTTAAAATGTTAAAATATAACCAAATTGTAGAAGTTACATCTAATGTTATTCATTACTTTTATTGGTAAAGATAAGTGATTCTATAATCTCAGCATTGTTATACTGAAGTTCTCATGGGAGTATATCTGATCTCTAATGTATTGGGACAGAAAATGTTGAAAAACACTTCATAATGTGACTGAATTTTATTTCCCCCTCCCCCAGTTTGTTTTTAAGTCATCATTCGAGGACATCGTTTTTTGTGTTTTTTTTTCATTGATTCTAGAGAGAGAGGAAGGGAGGGAGAGAGACATCAATGTCAGAGAGAAACATCAATCAGTTGCCTCCCATATGGGTTCTAACCGGGTATTGAATCCACAACCTGGGTTTGTGCTCTGACTGGGAATGGAATCCATGACCCTTTGGTGCACAGGATGATGCTCTACTCAGCAACACCTGCCAGGGCTTTCCCCCATTTTTAATCCATAGGTGTATTTATGTGTATATACAGTCACTTTAGTAGCTTGAGTTTTGCTGCTGTTGTTTCGTTGGTTGTTTTTTTGCTATGGAGTCTTTGTTATACATTATTTCTGAAGGCACACATGTCTTTAAATATTTCTCCACTCAACATAGGTTCCAAAAGCGTTTGCTGCAAGTCTCTTGGATTACATAGGCTCACAGGCCCAGTACCTCCACACATTCATGGCTATCACACATGCTGCAAAAGTGGAGTCCGAACAACACGGAGACCGCTTGCCAAGAGTGGAAATGGCTTTGGAGGCTCTGAGAAATGTCATAAAATATAATCCAGGTGTGTGACTATATCCTTGATCAGTTAGATCCTTATAATAGAGGGCCTGAAAAACCCAATTCTCAGTTTTATCAGGGAAACTTACTTTGCTATAATGCTATACCTGGCATAACTTTAAGAGTACTTGACCCCATAATCTGTAAACAGCAGGCTGGAAAGATAGGTCAAGGCACCATGGTTATAAGAGTCTCAGTGAGTTGAAAAGGCAGAATAACTTGATAGTGTAAAATTTCAAATTGATGACATAAGTTGATATACCAGTGTAAGTGCTTAAATTAGATTTATTAGGTGATGTAATTTTGCCTCATATGCATATGGACACTCATAGTTTTAAAAAACTGAAGTGTTTGGTGTATAAAATTTTAAATAATGAAAATGTGAAAATTTTTATTTTTAAGCATCTTTAAGAGGACATTTCCAAAAACATCACTCTTGCCTGACTCCAGGGGAGACAGATGAGTGAAAATCTGAATGCTTCTTCCGATTCTAGCTTTGATAACAAATATAGGATATAAAACTTAAAACAATACAAATGGAATTTAAGTTACCTTTAATAATTATCTTTCAGATACTTTTTTGCTCTTTTCAGTATATATTATAATACTATTAAAATTCTGACTTTTTGTTTATTGCCAACAAATTAGTCCAATAAAGCAACAGTAATGAAATGTTCTTAGGAATTTAGTCATTTCCATGGTCTACATTGGGATGTTACTAAAGGCAGTGTTATATTCTCTGAAGAAAACTTCATTTTTTTATTGTTTGTAATTTGGCATAGTAGAATGATATTAGTGGTGTATTAGGTACAAAGTAATTGCAGCAAAGCAGGCTATTGATTTGGAACTTACAAAAATAGAGGAAGGGCTTGCACAGAAACTGTTTTGATAGCATCTATAAAGTTCATGTATCAGGATCACATGCTCACTTGTAATTTAGAAGTATGGTTTTGTGTCGTTGATGTATTTATAATAATTGTTACCTGTTAAGAAGTGGTTTACAAATGAATTTAAAAGCAACTACTTATAGAATATTTTCAGATCCTTTAAGTTGAGGGATCATAGTGAATTGTCTTATGGAGCCTTAAAAGATTACAAATTACACTATATGTTTTATACCATGTAATAAAAGGAAATACATGCTGAATAAAACCTTAATGTTTAATGTTTTTGTTTTATTGACAAAATGGGAGTGAGTGTGTGGGATTGGGGTTTGAGAAGGGTAGGAATGGAAATAAATTTTACGTATTTTCAGTTATCCCTGTAATATGCATATCAGTTGTTTGTTTGCAGTAAGTCCTCAGGTGGCAGAGTTCTAACTCAGTCTTAAAAGCCAAATGATATCACACTCTCCCAAAGTATAATTAGGTTGGGGTGGGTAGGGTAGCAGCTCTAAGATCAAGAGATAAAGAGTATAATTACCACCATATACCTTTTATTTTTGAGTTCTATTTGATAAATTTCTTGTTTTTAGTCTGAGGCTAAAGGTGGGGATGGAAATGGAAACAAGACGAACATAAGAAACTCTAATAGATTAATCTTGCCTAGTATTTACTGTAGCTTAGAGATACTTTACTCAACGTCATATCACAAATATTGAGAAAAGCTTATCAGACCCATAACTGACAGTAAATAATAGTGTGTATTGGTTTTCTGAAGGTTTGAAATTTAGGACACCTCTTAGAAATAAAAAATATAACATTTTATTCTTATTCCTTAGGCTCTGAAAGTGAATGCACTGGGCACTTTAAATTAATATTTTCTCTTCTCCGAGTCCATGGAGCTGGTCAAGTGCAGCAATTGGCTTTGGAGGTAAAAGAATGTACTAAAGCATGTTGCCTTCCCTGCCACTTACTATGTACGGTGTGAGCCCTGGATAATCGCCATCTGAAGCTAATTGGAAGTTTACACGTTTATTGTGTAGTTTTTTATTTTCCATTTTGCCTTTAAGTCAAGTGTGGATGTTTTTTAAAGTTTGAATTAATTTACTCATTTTGAAGAGCAAATGTTACACAGTCATAACATTTTCAAGATCATACTCAGTAGTCCTTGTCTGCTATGCATTGAAATGCATTATATTTGTCATGTAGTGTGGGTTAAAAATTGACTTTACTCAGATGTTTAGAATCCAAGAAAAAGTGTCAGGGTTACTCTGATCTTTCTAGAGACATTTGAGATCAGGGACTCTTGCTGGCTACACACTAGGTTTGTGTTCCAGAGAAATGACGAACACCAAATTCAGCCCTGCAGTAATGGGTTAAAGCTTATTAACTAGCATTTTCTTTTCTTTTTAAACACTTTAAAATATTTATTTTTATTGACCTCAGAGAGGAAGGGAGAGAGAAAGATAGAAACATTCATCAGCTGCTTCCTGCATGCCCCCAACTGGGGATCGAGCCCAAACCTGGTCATATTCCCTTGACCTGGGACCCTTCAGTCTGTAGGCTGATGCTCTGTCCACTGAGCCAAACCAGCTAGGGCAACAAGCATGTTCTTTTAATTGAAATGCATGCTTCTGAACTTAATTCCTTTAAGTACTCTGTAACATTTTAAATAAACATTATTAAATCTATGCTACATTGCGTTGAAGTACTGACCACATGGTTCAAATTAAGTGACATTAATCTTCAAATGTCTGCCATAAAAGTTAGGCTTGAGAAGTCATCCTCTTCGAAAGAAAAATATGCCCCATTTCTCTAGAATGGAAAGTTAGACAGTCTCTTTTGCTGGGCCCTGAAGACATTTACTTTCTCCCTCTAAAAGCACAGTCCCAGTGGGGAGAATCATCATCTTCTTAACACTTCCCAACCCAAGTCTGCAACTGGAAAACTGCACTCACCATAGTTCCAGAGTGTGTGGGACTGAAGGCTTCTTATAAGCCTCAAGATTGTGAATTGGTGCTAAAATATTTGTTAGGTCATTATACTTAATTCTTACCTCTAAATTAGTAGGAAGCTAATGTACATAATATAGATATGAGCAAATAATAAAACCAATCTTTAAAATTAAACTATTCTCTAAATATTGAAGATTTTGTCCTCCAAACATTTTTCTCACCTTTGTGAAGCCTTTATGTAGGTCTGGCTAAATTGAGTTAATTTGATTTAGGTCAGAAATTATTTCCAAAAAATAATTAATATCCTGTTGATTAATTTACAGGTTGTGAATATAGTGACATCGAACCAAGATTGTGTCAACAATATTGCTGAATCAATGGTTTTGTCCAATTTATTGGCTCTTCTACATTCATTACCTTCAAGTACGTATATTTACAAGTGGTATTTTAGAAACCACAGCACAGCCAACCCATGGAGGGGCGCAGTTACACAGATGACATAAAGCCTCTGATGTGGCAATGTCCATATTTAGTTTCGGAATATTTTAAGTGGTATTCTTTATGTTAGATTTGTCTTCCTAGTTATGGTTTTCCATTACATTAGTAAAATTGTTTTGTATTTCCCATGTCAAAAGTTGAAAGTCGGATGTGAGAGAGTTCCAAGCAAAGGAAATTAACAGGTTGCTAAGTATAAGCTACCCATGAGTAATTGAGGATTGGCTAATATCCCATGGTTTATTTACAAGCATAATTGGTTTTGGATGATAGAAAAAGTGCTTAAGATAAAAATTACCCTGTGTTCAGCCTGGAGTTGAATTCTTCATTATTTGTTCTTTACTGATTTAATGCTGATAGAGGCTGTTGCCAACAAAATGAGATCAATTTTTAAAAAATATGCCAAGCTGATATTTTTTAATATAGAACATACTAATTAGTATTGTTCTCCTACATGGTAACATAGCCCACTCCAGATAATCAACCTTTGTTGTTTTAGTCTCAGCCTAATACGAGGCAGCCTCCATCATCTTTGCCAACTGTTTACTTCTTTGGTCACCTGTCTGTCATTGGCTGTAGAAGAGTCAAGTCCAGTAGCCCAGTATAATTCCATGACAAGGAGTGGGAGGTGCACAGACTGTTCAGAAGGATGCTGTTAGGTCTTAGATTGAAATAGTGTCTTGCAACTGCTGCTTTCTGCTCATTTCTCTGAGATAATAGTACCCGGTAAAATCTTAGATGCCTGATCAGAGTGTCCTCAGGTGTCAGGATGTGAGAAAATTTTGTTTATGCTGTGAACAGTGAGGTAGGAAGACAAGCATATTGGTTATGAATATGCACTTTGGAGTCAAATCGACCTCTGTACAAAATAGAGCTATCCCACTTACTGAATGTGAAACCATGGGCTGGTTAAACCTGGCCTCAGCTACCTCGTTCATAATAAGCCATGATAATGTCTGTCTCACTGGTTATTGTGAAGATCTAAGTGTGATACTCTATTAGAGCATCTGGTTTAGTGCCAGGCACAGAATTGATACCCAGTAAATGTAAACTTACTGGTGATGAATTTCTTGAAACGTCTTTTCGTCTGCAGGTCGCCAGCTTGTTCTAGAAACTCTTTATGCTTTGACATCAAGTACAAAAATAATTAAAGAAGCAATGGCAAAAGGTAATGTGCTTTCTCATCCAGTCATGCTCAATAATGATGACACTTTGCATAGTTTATAAACTAGAAGAATGCTTTAGAAGGCTTGTGGTTTTAAAAAATATCAATTGCATTGAGTTAAAATAAGGTTGAAAATGAATTCTACTGATTTAAAAAGTTATATTTTTTTATGTATAGTATAAATACTCATTCTCTTTTTCCTTCATAGGAGCTTTGATTTATTTACTAGATATGTTCTGCAATTCAACACATCCACAGGTTCGAGCGCAAACAGCGGAACTTTTTGCTAAAATGACAGCAGATAAACTAATAGGTCCAAAGGTGAGCACAAAATAGGTTCTTAGGAAGAAATTAATTATTAAAGTTCTGTCACTTTGATATTGATTTCATGAAGTTTACCAAAGTCCAAGAAGGTGAGGATAAGGAAATGATGATGTGGAAGTGGGAAGATTGACATACCTGAAATTGTTCCTATAATTACTAGTTTGAGAAAAATTATACTCAGGGAAGCCTGCACTGAAGTTGAGCAGTTTTAAGACAGAGTTTGGATTACAGTGATAAATTGCTTATCTCCCTTAAAGAAAGAACAAAAGTATCTTTAGGTTATGACAGAGGATACCTCTAAATGGAATCCATCCAGACACAGCTGAGTAAAGTCTCTTTCTGTTATTAGCTCGTTAAGACATAGTGCTCACTGAGGCAGGTCTGCCCGCCCACCAAGCAGCAGAGACGTGGGAGCACCATCAGCTAAAGGCTCCTGAGTCCCCACTTCCAGAGTCTGATTTTATATCAGTAAAACAAGCTGGATTCAGTTATTATTTTCTTCCTGATCTCACAATCTAGGTGTTGAGACTGTCACAAGACCTGAAACAGTTCTTTGGGAATAAGGTTAATAGTCTGTCATCAGCAGGGTTGATGAGATGAGGGAGACTATATAGGATGCCTATAGAAAGGGTCTATGTGAATATTCTGTGTGAATATTGATATTTAATATTGAGTTTTCTTAAAGCTAGAGTTGGGTAGCACATAATTATAATATAATATAAATAATGTTTTAGGTATTTAAATATGTACTGCTCTTGACATTGAACTCTTCAGTAATTTTTTTGACCTTTGAAATACATGAGGAACAAATTTTATCGAGATGAATATATTTATACTTAAATTTTCTATATAGGAAAAATAAAGTGTCAGCTCCTTAGTTGAGTGATTTGCAGCAAGAGATTCTAGAACGGGGGTCAGTAAACTTTTTCCCCCTTTTTTGTAACAGCTTATTGTGATATAATTGACATACCACACAATTCTCACATATAAAGTGTACAATTCAGTGATTTTATTATATTTATAGATTGGGCAGTCACGAAATCGATGTTGAAACACCTTCATCAACCCGTGGGTGGGGCAACATTCCCTTAGCGGTCACTCCCATCCCTCCTCTTCCCAGAACCTGGTAACCACTAACCTACTTTCTGCCTCCATAGATTTGTCTATTCTTGGCATTTCATATAAATGGGATCATACAATATGTGGTCCTTTGTGACTGGTTTCTGTCATTTAGCATAAGGTTCATCCATGTTGCAGCAAGTATCTGTACTTCATTCCTTTTTATTGCCAAATAATTCCATTATGTACATACACCACATTTTGTTTTTCCATTTATCAATTGATGGACATGTGGATTGTTTCTACTTTTTAGCTCCTCTGAATAACGCTTCTGTGAACATTAGTTGACATGTTTTTGTGTGGATAGGTATTTTCTCAGAGTGGAATTTCTGAATCATATGGTAATACTAGTTTAGCCTTTCAAGCAGCGGTCAGACTATTTTCCAAAGTGGCTGCACCATTTTACATTCCCACCAGCAGGGTGTGAGAGTTGTAATTTCTCCACATCTTCTCTGATACTTGTTATTTGTCTTTTTTTATTATAACCACTCTAGTGGGGTGAAATGGAGGCTAGTGATGCCTATTGGCCATTTGTATGTATATGTATATGTGTGTATATATATTTTTTTTTTGAGAATTATCTGTTCACATTTTTTGCTCATTTTTTAAATTGAGTTATTTGTCTTTTTACTTTTTTTTTTTTTTAAATGTATTTTATTGATTTTTCACAGAGAAGAAGGGAGAGGGATAGAGAGCCAGAAACATCGATGAGAGAGATGGATCAGCTGCCTCCTGCACGCCCCCCACTGGGGATGCGCCCGCAACCAGGGTACATGCCCTTGACCGGAATCGAACCCGGGACCCTTGAGTCCGCAGGCCGACGCTCCATCCACCGAGCCAAACCGGTTCGGCTGTCTTTTTACTTTTGAGTTGTAATTGTTTTTTATTTAGTCTGGATACCAATTTCTTACCAAATGATAGGATTTGCAAATATTTTCTTCCATTCTGTGGATGTCTTTCCATTTTTTTATGGTGTCTTCTGAAGTTGAAACTATCTTTTTTGTTGTTCCTGTAGCTTGTGCTTTTGATGTTATATCTAAGAAATCATTGCCTAATCCAAAGTTACAAAAATCCCTGCCTATGTTTTCTCCTAAGATTTTAATAGTTTTAGATCTTGTCTTTATGTCTTAGATCCATTTGAATGAATCTTTGCACATGGTGTAAGGTAGGGAAGAGGCTGGTAAACTTTTTTTTCTAAAGGGCCATATAGTAAATATGTTATCCTTTGTGGGTCATATGATTTCTGCAAATACTAAACTCTGCCTTTATAACAGGAAAGCAGCCATGGACAGTAACTTGAAGGCGTATGATCAAAGGATTTGCGTTATATAAAAATATTTTTATTTAAATTCAGATAGTGTATACACACCAGTGAGTGATCACTTCTTATTTGAATTCTGTCATTATCAAGAAAAGTGACAGTCTTCCTATTTTGTTGATTTTTGTCATGTAACATTGTTTTCTTTAGTTCATTAGCTGCTAGGAGGTTCAGAGACAAATTTGTAGTCTCTCACTAAAAATTGTACAGAGCTTTTAATGTTTCCTTTGTGTACTGACTTCATATTAGTCTGATTCATTCAGGTACATTTTTGAGTATCTTCTAGTATGTGTTAGGGGCTGTTGAATACAGTGAGCGAAACACTTGGACTGGGGGAGTTTCCAGAAGCCAAGATTTGAGCACAGACTTGAATGACAGGAAGGAGACAGAACAATGTGAAGACTGAGGGAAGAAACTTATCTTCCCAACTTTTATTTTGCTTTTGTACTTATTATGCCTCACATTAATTTTCAGTTTGTGTGGATGTGTGTTTTTTAAAGCTGCTTTTAAAATCCTTTATCAAAAAAGTCACAGTATAATATAAAACATGGTATAGCAAAGTAAATGCACTAAAAATACACATAGGCCACAAAGCATGAGAAAAATTTAATTTTGAGGGTGGGGAGCATGGAGTAGAGTTGGGAGGGACAGGCCAGCTAAGGGTGTTCTGTGCAGAAGGAACGGCAGGTGTAGGGCATGGTTCTGAGGGGAAGGGTGTGTGGTCTGGGAACTTTGTTCACCAGGGATACTGAATTTCTTAGTTTCTTAAATTTGAGGCAGAGTGTGGAAATGAAACTAGATAGGTAAGTAGGAGCAGGTCATAGTGAGGCTTGTTAAAGTTACCTTTGCATAAACCAAGATTTACCTGTTGACCCACTTTAGGACTTTTGGATAATAGTTACGACTCCTATCAGCCATAACACAAATTACAGCAATAGTCTATCTTAGAGAGATGTAAAACAAATGAAATATTGAGATGTTTCCAATAGGTTATTTTGTTTTTCTCAAACCTCCTCATATAGGTTCGACTTACATTAATGAAATTTCTGCCAAGCGTTTTCATGGATGCCATGAGAGACAGCCCCGAAGCTGCTGTCCATATTTTTGAAGGAACTCATGAAAATCCGGAGTTAATTTGGAATGATAGTTCTAGAGATAAAGTGTCCACAACAGTTAGAGAAATGATGCTAGAGTAAGTAAAGATATGGCTCATAACCTTTGGCCTTGAGGTAAAATCACCGGGAAGGGCATATGTCTTCCCCATTGTCAGCTCTCTGAGACTTACTCTAAAGCAGCGTTCTCAACCTGTGGGTTGTGACCCCTTTGGTGGTCAGCCCTTTCACAGGGGTCGCCTAAGACCATCCTGCATATCAGATATTTACATTATGGTTCATAACTGTAGCAACATTACAGTTATGAAGTAGCAACGAAAATAATTTTATGGTTGGGTCACAAAATGAGGAACTGTATTTAAAGGGCCAGAAGGTTGAGAACCACTGCTCTAAAGGCTAATGAAAGTATCCTATGACTGAAGTTTAATATCTCCCCCTTTTCCCCCCAAGGCACTTTAAAAATCAGCGAGACAACCCGGATATAAACTGGAAGGTAAATATACTTTCATCAGAGAAAGGAATTTTGCATTTTACTGTATTTTTGTTGTTATATTTTAAAATCTCTGTTGAGTTTAATGCCAACCTCTTAGATAACTTTGTCATTAAGATCTTTCCCTGGCAAATAAGATTTTAAGCCTAAGGAATACTCACTTTTAAAGTTAAGTAGCTAATCAAACCACCTTTTCTGAATTTTATTAAGAGACAATAAAACTTATGATTTGATTATATTAATGACTAAGAACTACTTAATTTCATAATGATGTCTTTAATAGAGTTTGGATGTATTGTGTAATGTATAACTAATGATGACTAAGGACTTGACTCTAGTTCTTTCTCTATTTCAAGTTGCCTGAAGATTTTACTGTGGTGTTTGGAGAAGCAGAGGGTGAACTTGCTGTTGGAGGAGTTTTCTTGAGAATCTTTATTGCACAACCAGCTTGGGTTCTAAGAAAACCTAGAGAATTTCTTATTGCACTACTAGAAAAATTAACTGAGCTGCTGGAGAAGAACAATCCTCATGTAAGCTTCAGTCATCAAATAGTTTGCTAAATACACTGATAGTGTTTCTGTTACATCACGCTCCTCACCGACTGTATTAAGAATTAGCTGCCTCTTTCAGTATAGCAGCCACATTTAAATTCAAATATGCCCATCTTTTTTTCAGCATGTTCTAAAGTGAAATGTCTTGGTAAGATGGTTATTTTTGAACCACAGTTGTAGGTGTCTGTGCTGAGAAGATGCTCTTTCTGACCATTGGAGAAGCTGGGAAAGAAGGTTTCTGCCATCCCATTACCAATGACTATAATTTTAAGGAGAAACTTAACTGTTCAATGTAGAAACTTGAAGTGCTCTGCCAGACCACATTCTTTACTCAGCTTTGCATATATGGCAGGGACGACCTAGTTACAGAACTTGACAAAAGAGTAGTCACTACATGGGTGAACTCTGCCTGTGAGAAAGAAGCCTTGGTCTTGGTTTGGTGAGTTAGAAATCCTGATAATGTGTAGGTTCTGTTATTTGTAAAGATTGAAAATAATTGAGGTACGTACATAATTGTTGTTAGAAGCTGGCTATAGGGAGAGGCTATTAAGAGCCTGAGTTGTCTCGTTAGATGGTCCTGAACTCCAGTTTGAGCTCTGTCACTTACTAAGCTCTGTGACCTTGAGTAATACCTCATGACAGCCTCCGTTGCCTCATTTTTTGTATGATCACAGCTCCATCCACGAAGGCTGAGGTTTTAATGGGTTTTGATATATGTGGTGGTGTTTGCATAATGCCTGACATATGTCGAGTACTTAGAAATTATTAGTTACAATTATTAGTTTAGCAAAACTTATCTTAGTATAGAAATATTTACATATGTCTCTTTCCAGAGTCATGTTTTCTCTTTACTGGGATTGTTACTACATAATAACTTGTTTAAATCTTCAAAATAGAAACTTGGAAAGGGAAAAAGCACACTACAATTTTCTCCTATGTCACTTTTCTTTTTGGCACATCCCAATCTCCATGTTTATTTATGGTGTGTTATGTTATGGATATATATATTTATATATAATGGTATGTTATAATATGTCTTTACAATCCATTTTGCACAATAGAAAGTGCATTATGGCAACCTGACATGTTAAGTAGTAGGATTTTTAGTAGAGCTGGGGAAAACACTTCACTAGTCTTCATTTTCCTGAAACTAATCTCTGTTACTGACATTTCTATAACATTATCTAAAATTTTCTAGTACTACCTTTTGAAAGATGGTCTCTTAACACCTGCAGTAGCAATGAGTTGTGACCTTGCCCAGTGAAAGGCTAAGATTAAGATACCACTTTTTAAAATATATATTTTTTTTTATTGATTTCAGAGAGGCAGGGAAAGGGAGAGAGAAATAGAAACATCAGTGATGATAAAGAATCATTGATTTGGCTGCCTCCTGCACACCCTGCCCTGGAGACTGAGCCTGCAACCCAGGCACATGCCCTGACTGGGAATCGAACCATGACCGCCTGGTTCATTGGTTGATTCTCAACCACTGAATCACTCCGGCCAGGTGATATCACATTCTTTTTATTTTTAAAAAATATTTTTAAATAAATTTTTAGAGAGAGGAAGGGGGAGGGATAGAGAGATAGAAACATCTGTGAGAAATATCAGTCGGCTGCCTCCTGCATGCCCCCTCTCGGGGACTGAGTCTGCAACCCAGGCATGTGCCCTGACAGGGAGTCAAACCAGTGACCTCTCAGTTCTTGGGTCTATGCTCAATTACTGAGCCACACTGGCTGGGAGCTATGACATTCTTAAAGTCCTTTGAATTCATGCCTTTTATCAAGATAGGGAAGTTTGTTCTTATAAGATTTGTGAATCAGTTTTCAAGTATCAGTACATAGAATTTGTGGATCCCTAGTTTTGAGCACCAAATAATTGTGAAGGATGTTTAGAACTGTGTCAATATTTTATAGTTTGTTTGTTTGTTTGTTTGTTTTATACATTCCAGGGGGAAACTCTGGAAACTTTGACAATGGCTACAGTATGTCTCTTCAATGCACAGCCTCAGCTGGCTGATCAAGTCCCACCATTGGGCCATCTTCCCAAAGTCATCCAGGCAATGAATCACAGGAACAACGCCATTCCTAAGAGTGCCATGCGAGTTATCCATGCCCTGTCTGAAAACGAGGTATTGAAGAATCCGTTTAGTAGATTATAGTTCTAGAGTTTATGCTCCCTCTTCCTAATGTCCAGTGTGGTATGAATCCCTTTCTAACTGTGTGCCTTTCTGCATCTGAGTTACATGGTACTGTAGCAGTTCTTAAGCCGGTTTAATGATATAGTTAATAGAAGACTGAATTTGATTCAGTTCATTATTAAGGTTAAACAATGTAGATTTTTCATGTCTTTTATTTTTATGGCATTTACTGTGCAGTATAAAGTATTGTAACCATCTCTTTTTGGGCATTTAGCTGTGTGTTCGAGCCATGGCATCTTTAGAGACCATTGGTCCTCTGATGAATGGAATGAAAAAGCGACCGGATATTGTTGGTCTAGCCTGTGAAGCAATTAATCGAATGTTTCAGAAGGAGCAGAGTGAATTGGTAGCACAAGTAAGTGACTTCTAGATTCAGCACTGTTTTAGGAAAGCAAACATACCAGACACACAAGTTTTTACTTAGCAGCACTGCTTGGTGTCCCTGATTGAGGTTTTTTAGAGAGGTAACTTGTGGATTGTACATGTATGATTTCATATTAAGTTTTGGTTGTCTACTAAGTATTTATCCTTAGCTTGTTTTGTAAAATTTGCTGTATCCTTTTTGGAAAATTTTAATTCTGTTTATTCATTCCTTTGTTTCTTTTGTTTGCCAAGACTTTGTTCTTTTCAAATAGACTACCCACTTAATGAAAATGAGACTTGTTGGGTATCAATGTAGACAGATACTGAAATTAAAAAGCATTGTGACAGTGATCTTCCTAAAATATAACTCTTAATATAACTGGGTCACTCTTTATCATAAAACCTTTTAACAATTTCTCAATATTTGCCAGGTGACCAAGTGGCATCTGACATCCTTAGCCTGAATACAAGGCCCTGCATCTTTTTTATGTGGTCTTCCTATTTTCCCAGCACCCTTTCCTCTCAGATCTCCTCTTCCTCCCCACCCACCTTCATTTAGGCAAGTTAGACGTACTGGATTCATCTCAGTTACAATTGGCTTGGAGGGTTTGTTCTGGAAAGAACATGAGTTAGTTCTACCACTTGATGGCTCTGTGACCTCAGGCATGATACTTAACCTCACCATGCTCAGATTCTGCATCTGTAAAATAAAGTTATGACTACCTCACAGGGTTGTTACTAGAATAATAATGGTAAAAAGGTGTACTCACTAATGTTAATTACTTCCACCTCTAACCTTTGAGTTTTGGAATGGGCATCAAAAAGTTTGTGAAACCAGAGTGTTATTTAACTTTTATTAGGTTGATAGGAAATGTATGATGACTGCAAAGGTTGATGTTTTAAGAAAAAATTATTAAGATACTTCAAACATTGTTGCCTGTTAGTGTAGTGTCAGTGGAGGAGGCAGCCCAGTGGAAGGATGAAAGCTTAAGCTTTGCCTTTGTACATAGAGCTCTAGATTCAGTCACTGCTGGCTCTGTGACTATCAGCATGTTTCAGCCTCCATGCACTGACTGTTTCCCATCAGTAAAAATAATTGTGCCTATGTCATTATGGGAAGATTAAATAAAATAATGTGTATTTAGAGTAGTTGATGGTCTGGATTAAAATCTTACTGAATAAGAATGCCATTGTCATTAAATACTTAAAAACTCTTCACCTGGCATTAACATGATTGCAGGTATGGCCCTGGGGGTGAAATTATTTCTTCAGTGGATGGTTTACTTTTTTTCAGCCTATATGTATACTTAATATCATATTGTCTTCTAGGCCCTGAAAGCAGATTTGGTCCCATACCTCTTGAAATTACTTGAAGGCATTGGCCTCGAAAATCTGGACAGTCCAGCAGCCACTAAGGCTCAGATTGTTAAAGCCCTCAAGGCCATGACTCGAAGCCTGCAGCATGGAGAACAGGTGAGTCTGCACAGGGTGACTGATCTGCCCGTTACAGCAAGGCCTTCTCAAAGCCCAGGGTCTTGGCTCGAGTTCCACTCACAGAGGTGGTTCTGTTGGCTGTTACAAGCTGATCAGAAGACCAAGGATGGACTCGCATGGCTCTCTCCTAACTAGTGAAAAAACACAAACCAGACAGACACTCCTGTAGTCGCCCAGGAAGATTCTTTTTCTACGTAGTAACAGCATGTCCATTTCAGGAAGAAAAATGCTGAAATTCTTCAGCAATGAAGACTAATGAGTATTTAGTACTGATGAAGTTTAACTTTGAGTTCTGGGAGTTGTTATTGGATAGTGATAATCACATTCATGAAACATCCCATAATGCCAAATAAAAGATACAGAGCATCATTTTAGTTTCATAATCTTTCTTTATTAGCACATAAAAAGTGTTGGTTTTCTTTTTTTGTTGTTACATAGATATACTTCATGCATATGCTGATTTCAAGCCCGTTCAATAATTTAATTTTCCTCTTTGGTTTCATTGGTTAAGTTGCTTCTGAGGAGTTCCTCATTCAGTGTTACTGCATAGCCCTATCTACTAATTCTCTCTCTCTATTTTTTTTTAAGTTGAGGTAAAATTTAGGTAACATGAAATTAACCATTTTAAAGTGAACAATTAATTGGTGTGTTCCCATTAAGCAGTGACTCCTCATTTCTCCCTCCTGCCAGCCTCTGGGAGCCCCACTCTGTTTTCTATGAGTTCTGTTTCAGTTATTTCATGTAAGTGGAATCTGTGTGACCTTTGGTGTCTGGCTCCTGTCACTTACTACTAGTATATGTTCTTGAGGTTCATCCATGTTGTAGCGTGTATCAGTGCTTTCCTTTTTCAGACTGAGTAATCGTCCATTGTGTATATATGCCATAATTCGTTTATCCGTTCATCTGTTGATGGACATTTGGATTGTTTTTACCTACCAATATTTGTTATAGGTTTAAATTGACTTAGAGCTTTCCTTTAAGGAACCTATTCTCTGTTTGTGTGTTCCAACTAAAGAAACATTTTTATGCCATTGTCAATTCTACCAATATCATCATTTGAACAATTTAAAATGATGTTAATGGAGAGAGAGCATGTGTTGCTGTAGTCATTAACTATAAGTTTATGTAAAGTATTTGGGGCGAGGGCAGGCTTGCCTGTGGGTGCTCTGAATGTCAAGCACAGCCACTCCTGTGTGCCACATGCAGGCAGTTGTCTTCCCCTGGCCTGTCTCAGGACTCCTGTTGATGAAATTAGCGGAGTAACCCTGACAACCACCTTCCACTCCAAGGGAAGAAGAGAAGTAGGATAGTTTCCAAAGTAGGAGCTCCTCCACCACCTTCACAACCAATCACTTGCACTATTGCTTCTCTCCAAGGTGGAAAAGGAATCTCTTGGACTCACACATGGCCCCATGGGCAACTCTGCTTTATGCTTACCATGACATTATCTGGTGCTGTCTCTCCTGCTAGACTATAAGCATTTCAGAGACAGGCTGTCTTTCTCATCTTGTGTCCACTGGTGCCACATGCAAAGTGCTCAATAAATATTTGATGTGGACATTGATATGAAAAAGATATCCTAAACTTTTAAAAAAATCTGTTACACAGAAAGAAATACTTCTTTCATCTTACATCAGTAGACATTTACACACGTTATCTATACTTACACTAGAGGCCCAGTGCAGATTCGTGCACCAGTAGGGCACCTCGGCCTGGCCTGCTCCCTCTCGCAATCTGGGACCCCTCAGGGGATGTCAGACTGCTGGTTTCAGCCTGATCCCCACAAGCCAGGCTCAGGGACCCCACTGGTGCAAGAATCTGTGCACCAGGTCTCTGGTATGCATATAAGATCTTTGGTTAATCCCTTCTTGCTCTCTTTCTCTGAGATTCATCAGTCTTCCATGTTTTCATGCCTGTGCGTTGAGTGTGTCTGCCCACTGGTGATCAATGCGTGTCATGGCTACCGGTTTAGAGGTTGAACAAACGGTTGCTTAGGCTTTTATATGTATAGTGGGGTGTGTGTGTGTGTATAAGCCACAGAACAGTATTTATCCATTTACATGTGATACTCTGATGCTTTCTATATGGACCTATTTTATTTTCTGAAGTGTGTAGATCACAATCCTCATAATTGATTTCATAAACTTATAATAGGTCACAACCTGCAATTTGAAAGACTGTTGTGAGTTTTAGCTGTAAGTTTTAGCTCAAGTTTGTAGCATCTTCTCCCCATGTCCCTTCCTCAGGAGTCCTTCATGAGCTCATACCACACTATCAGACAGTTGTTACCCTAACAAGAAAATCTTCCCGCCAAATTACATACAAATCAGTAGTTTGTAGGTTCAAATCATAGAGTCCAAGAGGGAAGGCTTCTTTGTGTCTGGTTTAATGAGATGTACCAGGTATAGAATAGAGTGTTTGAGGGATGCTAGGTTTTAGTCCATCTTTGATTTTACCTCAGCTGGCCTTCTTCCTTTTCTCTTGGAAGTTTACTTTTCTCTTTAGTTCTGTCTTTCAATATCCAGCCCTTTATTTATATTGAAAGATTTTTCTTTCCTTCCCTAGGTGAATGAAATCCTGTCTCGTTCATCAGTCTGGAGTGCCTTCAAAGACCAGAAACATGATTTATTTATTTCTGACTCACAAACAGCAGGATACCTCACAGGTAAATCCCACCTAATTGGTTACCCTAAGACACATGGCAGAAGCCACTTGGACCTTCCTTTTGCCCTAACTAGACCACAAATAACATTTGGAGGCTTTACTAAGCTCAACCTGTGCTGGAGGTGCTGTGAGCATGCAGCAACCTTGGGTTTCAGCTCTGGACAGCATGTGACCCGCTGTGTGCTGACTGGATCGTGGACTCTGCTCAATTTTAATCAAAGTAATTATTGGTGTCATAGGTTACATTTGGAGCATGGCTATTTTAAAATGTTTATATTAAACACTAGAGGCCCAATGCGTGAAATTTGTGCACAGGTAGGGTCCCTAGTCCTGGCCAGCGATCAGGGCCGTGTGGGGCCTTCTGGCTGCTGGCCGGAGCCTCCCTTCCCCGGCTGCTGGCTGCTGGACAGGGTCTCCCCTGACTGCCAGCTGCCGGACAGGGCCTTCCTTTGTTCCGCACCGCCCCCTCGTGGTCAGCGCACATGATCGATCTCCCGTGGGGACAATTTGCATATTAAGCTTTTATAGATTATAAATTATGGAAAAATATCTAATCAGAACTAACAGTATCAGAAACATGGTATCATCCTTTCATCCTGTCAAAATAAGTTGAGGTTTCAAATATGTACACTTACACATGAAATATTTTTCTTCTACGTTTCTAGTGATTTATATTTACTTTTACTAAATATTTCTGGATAGTCCTCTCAGGGGAGGGAATATCTCAGGGAAGGATGTTTACTGATTAGAGATCAAAAGGTAATACAGTTTTGAAGTTCAGGACATTTGTCCATTTGACATATTAATGGCAAAATAATTTTACCATACTCATTTTCATATTGGCTTTTGTTTAAAAAGGAAGTCCCAGCACTGTATTGGTATATGCTGAAAATGAAATATAGTCTCTGGTATAAAAGTTTTCAGTTGAAATTAACCTGAAGAATATGAGGTGGTTCTTGCTGTCTGCCTGACGTTGTAGTTGACTCTTGAACAATGTGGGTTTGAACTGTGCAGGTCCAGTTATACGTGGATTGTTTTCATTTGATCCTGGAAGCTCAAACCCATGTTGTTCAAGGCCCAATGTCAAGGTTGGGGTCTGTGTATGAGGAGGGACAGGTATAGATGTACTTAGATTTTCAACCGTGAGAGAAGTCGGTACTCCTAACCTCTCACTTCTCAAGGTTCAACAGTATATTTTAAAAATGTCAGCACTGAGTCCTCCTCTAATCAGAGATCATGTGGGCAAATTGATAAAAAAAAGATTATTATCTAGTGTTTCTCACACTAGTGTAATTGTTTTAATCATCCTGATTGCTAGTATAGGAGATTATACATCATGAAGACTGAATCTTGAGTATTCATAAATGCGGACTTGGGAGGAAGTTTTGCTTGGTTTTGATTTTAGACTCGGCTGTGATACAACTTCCTCCCCTCCCCACTGTGACCACTTTAACATTAAACCACTAGAATTCACAAGCAGAGCCTACGATTTGCAAACATGGTGCTTTGGCTGCACATTGAGCAACAGAGTGCCACAGGTTTTCCATCTCTGTCCTCTGCTTTCCATGGAGAGAAGTCCCTGGAATATGGCCGTGCTCTGTTCCACATCTCCTTCAAACTGGGGGTAGAGCCATAGCTCCTAGTTAGGAACATCAAGAACTTTACCTCTTTAGACTCTTTTTCCAAAAGTACAGCCTCATTTTGGTGGCGTTGCAGTCATTACTTTGTATATGGGATGTTATGATTGGAAACTCTGACTTATTCTCGCTAAGTGTAAACTTGTTTAAAATTGGGCCTAAAAATAGTAAGGTGTAGATTGTAAGCTTCCTTGCAGGGGGGCCTCTTTTCATTTTTTCTGTTCTCCATTCTAGTTCGCATTCATTGATTTGACTGGATGGGATAAAAGACTGCAAATGATCTTTGCTACTGACACAGAAGAGATAGGGGTTTATCTTCAGAGACCTAGACTTCCTTTAGAAACCATTTTGGTCCTCACCCTCATACAAACCCCCTAATATCTATAGAAAAAGAATAGGGAGTAAGGATTCCTGCCTGTGCCTCTCCTTTGACTTGATCCCAGCGTGGCTTCTGAAATGAGGTGTGAGCAGCAGCTGTGAGTTGCAGGGAGTGAAGGGAGGGTTAGGGACGAAGAAAGGCTGCTCTTTACAAACTTCTTTGAAGTTGTTAGACTGCTCAAGGGGCAGCAGGTTTTACACAGAGCCAGTCATGGGGAGACGGTCTAAACCTCAGCCTGGAAAAGCCTGGTTGTCACCATGACCATTCTGAGGGCCACCGCTGCAGCCTGCGGGCATGTCAACATGTAAGAGCTAGAATTGGACAGGAAAAAACTTTATTCGTGCATATTTAATTAGAGGCATGTGGGACAGTTAACTTGTCTTCCTAAGGTCATTAAAGGGACAGAGGGTACAATTCTTGGGCCTCTCCTCAAACCAGTCCATTAGTTCTTTACAGAGTAGGTTTTTATTACCTTTTGCTTTTTTTAAACTCCTGTCCAAGACAGGATGTTGGCAATGTTAGGAAGTATGAGCGTTATCAGGAAGGACCCCTGAGGTCCATGTCAATTCATTGAAAGACAGTGCTGCTACGGCAGAGCCTCCTTTTTGTGTTTTCCCTGCTGAGAAGCCCGTGTTCATTGTCACCAAAGCTCATGTTCCTTCCACTGCTCCGTCATGAGCAATTCCCTTTTGTGGAAGTCTTTAAGTCTCCACCTTTTCTCATTCTTTTTAAGTCTGACAGCCTTGCACACTGTTGCCAGCTGCTGAGTTTCTGGCAGCCCCTCCTCTTTCCTCCTGCCTTTCGCTGGAGAGCACTCTGCTCGGTCCCATCCGCGTGGCCAGACTGTAACTCCTAGCGCCTGGACACCAGACACATCCTCACGGAGGCCAGGGTGTGAGGGAGAGAGCGTCTCAGACTTCATTTACAGAATATTCTGGAATTTGTCTTCCTAACGAGGCAGATGATAGGGCTAGAGTATGCTGGATAATCCTTCAAGACCATCATTCACAATTTAGATTTTAGCTCAGAGGTTCCCAAACTTTCTCATTTCACATTTTTTCCATCTATTCCCTAAGACCAAAAAAAAAAAAGCTACTAGTTAAGTTTATTAAGTAGTTATGTCCAACACCTTGCAAGCTGTTTGTATGGTGTCCAGCAGATGCCTCTGTATCTCAGATTAAAATTCTGCAGCAGTGCCCTGTGCATTTGCCCAGTGCCTCAGCCCACAGCTTGAGGACCGCAGCCTTAGTCCATTTTCTGTACGTACCAGTCATGATTTGGTCTCATGATCTACTTGTTTGATGGGAACCAAGTTGAGCCCACAATCAGAGGTGCTCAGGATTTATACCCATTTGGAGGGTTTTATTCCTAAGGGTGATATCTTTGGTGAGACCTGTTTGCTAGTTTTCTGGTAATCTCACTGTTGCCTAAGGTTCCAAGAGCGATAGGGTGATGGGCTGTGGTGGGCAGTGTGCTGCCATTCTGCACCACCTGTGAGGTCTTTCTCCTGAGCAGGCTGTGGGAGGCCCGTGTCCTGGTTGGTGGAAGGCAAGGGTTGGTAGGCAGGTTCGCTGGGCGTAAAAGGGGAAATTCTTCTAAGATTTCTGAGTGGAAGGTTTTGAGGACCTAGGTGTCTGCGTGGCATGTCACACCTTCCCCAGGCTGTTGTCTCTGGCCCAGTAGCCACATGCAAGATACAGTGTCGGCTCAGCGGTACAAATGCTTGTAAGGATGAAAAACAAGGTGGTCTGAATTGGGCCCCTTTTCCTGCATCTGTCCCTTTTGTTATGCTTTAATCCCCATCAAACTGCTCTGCTGTTTGCACTTCCTCACAACTTCCCTTGCTGCTTACATTTCTTTTTTCCCCTCAGGTGTCTCTCCTTCCCTTCTAACTGGCAGCAGCCCCCTTCACCTCAGGAGCGGGCTTTAGATCCGCTCTGCCAGGCAGCTTGCTAACTTCTGTGTAGCTCTCTGACGCAGGTAGAGAACCATTTTGGTAAATGCATGCCACCTTCCACTGCCTTTCTTGTCCTGACCCTTCAATGTTCCCTATCTGTTTGCCTTGTTTCCTACAATTTCCGCTTAAAGTGTTGCTTACTTTTCATATTATGCTGCAGTGTTTCTTGTAAGTAAAGTACTCTGTACAGTTTGTGCAGAGTCAGGTGTGATTAAATGTCTGCCATGTTTAAGAGAAAGTAGAGGGCCTACAGTCCTTCCATGCTCCCAGGACACATCCTGATGAAGGCTGGCAGGAGAGCATTTTCATGCAGCAGAGACCCTGAGAGTCCAGGCAGACCATGAACTAAACTCATGAGACTCCCCAGAGCACTCTTGTTTTGACCTCAGACATGTCCCAAGCCTTCCTTTTCTTAGACCTTGGTGGAGCAACCCTTGTTCATTTGGTGTTGCTTGTTATAATAGCTTTTTTTTTTCCACCAAATGAAAATAGGTTAACTTGATGGATAGAAGTGTTTTGTTTTGTTGGGAATTTCATCAAGTGTGAGTTTTGGATGGACTGAGTTTCTTTCCTGTTTGTCACACTCCCCCTTTTTTTAATATTTGACATAGCTATCCTTCAGTGCCCAGGATTTTTTTTTGAAAAACAACTTCCCAGATGTGAGGAGGGAAATTTTTCCATATTTCCACAGCAGTGTTATTGTCCAGCAGAAATTTCGGAATCATTTTTAACTTTGTCACGTAGTAAAGGCAGCAGCATTTTCATGGCTTTCGTAGCTATTTGTTAAGGCTTAGTTGTACCTGGAGGTAATTCTCTTAGGTCATCAGCTTCTTGTGATGGGGTTCTGACATTTTACAAAGGCCCCTGTTTCCACGTGACTGTGCTCTCTAGAAGGTGTGTGTTTTCCTTTCTCTCTTGCAGGACCTGGAGTTGCTGGCTACCTTACCGCAGGCACATCCTCGTCAGTCATGTCTAACCTGCCGCCTCCCGTAGACCATGAGGCAGGCGACCTTGGCTATCAGACTTGAAATCCTCGTGAGAGACATTACGCTGAAAGGCCAGTCGGTGCCCAGTCCACATTCCTCCAGCTGACACGTTGAAGCAAACTCTTACTGCCTTCCTCCTGATTTCATGACAGTGTTATTCCTTTTTCTATGAAAATATTTTTATTTAGGAAAAGTCAGTGATTCCAGTTGTATCACACTATAAGAAAGCACTCTGTGGATCAACCTAAGTGGGTACACAAGAATTTCTTTCTTGATGTATGTAAGCACATTGCTCCTTTATATCTGTTTACAAGACTGTGAATCAAAAAGACAAAATCTTCCTAATTTTTATAATGTTTTTTTTTGAATTAGTGTGACTGTGGGGTTGCACTACAGTCTATAGAAACTGGGCTAAGTCACTCGTTCCTGGAAAAGGGCATTTTCCTCTCCTGAATCGAGTCCACATGGCTGTCCTCTCATGGTCGAACACTATTAGGGCTTGTCCCTGCATCTGTTCACTGGTCCCCTCCCGAGGCTCACAGTCCACGTCGTATGTACAGCTGGCTCCAAATTGAATGAGAAAGGAGCTTGAGCAAAAAATTTAAAAACAGATGTCAAGATGTTCGGTAAGAGATTAGTGTAATTGTGAAATGTTCTATACATTATCAAATATATAAAGCTTTCTATATTGAATGTACATTATATAGATCATTCATATGTGTACATAAAATTTTAAAATAAAGGGAATTGACTGCTTTGTTAATGAGATATATTTGTTCTAGTTTAATTTTTCTCTTGAATTGCCTCATATATCTTTATTTCTGAGACAGAATTAGCAGTGGTGGAAAACAGACTTTACCTCACGTTCACAGCTCCTCATACAGCCACAGTGACATACTGATCATTTCTAATTCCATTAATGTTTTAGCCATAACTAACTTTACAGGAATAGACAGCGTCTCATTTATTTTCCATACAGTATTCAGGAATGGGTCAGGCTGTTAATAAATAATGTGTGCGAGAGACATTAATTCCAATATTTTTAAGAGGAGAGAATTTAAAGTGTGAGAGGCTGTTTTAAATGACACCAATTTCAGCATGTAGATCTTCTAATGTGATCAAAACTACAAGAACACATAAACATGTAAAATATATACAAATGCTTCCTTTTTAAAAAAAAAAAATATTTTATTGATTTTTTACAGAGAGGAAGGGAGAGAGGGACAGAGAGTTAGAAACATCGATGAGAGAGAAACATCGATCAGCTGCCTCCTGCACACCCCCTGCTGGGGATGTACCCAGCAACCAAGGTACATGCCCTTGACCGGAATCGAACCCGAGACCCTTGAGTCTGCAGGCTGACGCCCTATCCACTGAGCCAAACCGGTCAGGGCCAAATGCTTCTTAAAGAATGAGGAAATACCCAGACTTCCAGGTTGCCTTTGAAAGCAAGAACCCGTTTGTTCCACAGTCAGTGTGTGAAAAGAGCTGGGCTGGAGACCTCATCCTACCATAAATTGCTTATTCAAAAGTTTCCATCTGATTTATCATCTCTCAATGATTATGAGGCCATGTAAGTATTTTCATATATAAGTAGGGTTTTACTTATAAATATATGTTCACAGGAAGAGATTGCAACAGCTAACTTGGGAGGAATAGGTGTTTTGGAGAACATAATACAAATATTTTTCCTTAAGTAGTTAGAGACTATATATATATTGTGTCTAATGATACTTAAAGACCCATTAAATTAATCTATAAACATTGATGTTTGAATACCAATAATAATTAATCTTTATTAAACATTTACTGTATGCCATGCATCATATGAGGTGTTATACATGCATAACCTCATTTAATCCTCAGAGCAAACCTCTGGGCTTGATAATGATATAATTCCCATCTTCCAGGTGAAGAGCATTGAGCTCAGAGAGGCAAAGCAACTTACCAAAAATCTCACAATTAGCAACAGAGTAAGAAATCAAAACTACTTTTCCTGCCATCAACGTCTGTGTTCTGAGCTCCTCTCCTAAGGAAGCAGCAATCTCCAGCAAATGCATGAGACTGGGGAAGCTGAGTTTTTGTTTTTAAACTTTTTTTTATCATTGTAAAAAACAGATACAGAAAATCTCACTGGACAGATTAATGAATCACTACAAGGCAAATCACCCTTGAAGCTATCACCCAGGCCAAGAACCTTGCCAACCCTCATTAAAATCACAGCCTCTCCCTCCAAAAATGACCACCTGTCTGATTCTTCCTTGTGTCCCTTCATAGTTTATCCCCTAGACCAGGGGTGGGCAAACTTTTTGACTCGAGGGCCACAATGGGTTCTTAAACTGGACCGGAGGGCCGGAACAAAAGCATGGATGGAGTGTTTGTGTGAACTAATATAAATTCAAAGTAAACATCATTACATAAAAGGGTACGGTCTTTTTTTTTTTTTTTTTTTTTTAGTTTTATTCATTTCAAACGGGCCGTAGTTTGCCCACGGCTGCCCTAGACACTAGAGTTTGGTCTTGCCCTTTTTTTTTTTTTTTTTACACATGGCTTTGAATCTTAATCTTCTGGCTCCAGAACCCCATTAGAGAGAACATCATGAAAGTCTGGAAGGATTAACCATTGAAGATGCCATCATTGTTACAGAGAAAGCAATGAAAGCCATCAAGCCCGAAACAATAATTCCTGCTGGAGAAACTGCCCTGATGCTGTGCATGACTTCACAGGATTTACGACAAAGCCAATCAAGGAAATCATGACAGATTGTGGAATTGGTGAAGGTGGGTGGTGAAGGGTCTCAGGATGTGGATCTTGGAAAAATTCAAGAGCTCATAGATTGCACACCAGAAGAATTCACAGAAGACGACTCAATGGAGTTGAGTGTTTCTGAGCCAGTGCCAGACGATGAGGAAGAAGACAGAAGCAGCAGCCAGAAAACAGTTGTTATCAGACAGGCAGAAGAGTTCTGATTATTCAAGACTGCTTTTGGCTTTGACGACATGGACCCTTCTATGATACAGGCACTGAAACAAAAGCAAATGGTGGAGGTTGGTAGCATATAGAAACATTTTTAGAGAAGTGAATACAGTGAGACAGAAATTGCCATGTATTTATGTAAACTTAAACTGAGTATGCCTGCCCTTCCCACCTCCTCTTGTACCTCTTCAGTTTCTTCCACCTCTGCCACCCACCTGAGAGGCAGCCGCCGACCTCTTCCTCCTCCTCAGCCTGTTCAACATGGCTTTGTGTGTCTTCATGTGGCAGGAACTGTGTGAGGCCTTGTGTCGTCATGTCCAAAGTATTTTCATTGTGTAGAACATCGAGCACAAGATGTGTATGAGAGTGGATAGCCTACCACACATAGGCAAGGTGAGTGATGTTATATATAAAATTAACAATGTGTTTTCTTATTTCATAACTTTGCTTTCAAAGAATTACACTACCATACTCTCTTTAATTGGAGAAACTGCATATCAGTGTATCATCACAGGTATTTCTTCTTTGTTTTTTTAATATAACGATGTTCCCAATACTACAGTGTGATGGACTGTACTACTGTGTGCCATGAGAATTTTACAACGATGCTTTCATTGTTATATAGGCTGTCATGAGCAATTGCATTGATTACCCTAGGCTACCATAAAGAAATCATATTGCTGTTTCTTCATTATTAATTCAGTAATTGTTAATACCTGTGAATAAGTGTAAATTTCTTTTTCACATTATCTTTTAATTTTTGATATTGTGTTAGTAAAAGGTATAACATCTACAACTAGCGACCCCTTTGGCGGTCAAACGACCCTATCACAGGGGTCGCCTAAGACCATCCTGCATATCAGATATTTACATTACGATTCATAACAGTAGCAACATTACAGTTATGAAGTAGCAACGAAAATAATTTTATGGTTGGGTTACAACATGAGGAACTGTATTTAAAGGCCCAGAAGGTTGAGAATCACTGATCTACAGTGTTTTGTATCATGTAAAACAATATTGATGTACCATATTTTTTAAAAAATATATATTTTATTGATTTCTTTACAGAGAGAAAAGGAGAGGGATAGAGAGTTAGAAACATCGATGAGAGAGAAACATCGATCAGCTGCCTCCTGCACACTCCCTACTGGGTATGTGCCCGCAACCAAGGTACATGTCCTTGGCCAGAATCGAACCTGGGACCCCTGAGTCCACAGGCTGACGCTCTATCCACTGAGCCAAACCGGCTAGGACATGTACCATATTTTTCCATGTGTAAGAAGCCCCTATGAATAAGACGCCTTCCATTTTTCCAACCCAAAGTTAAGAAATCAATATTTTAAACATAAAACAGAACACATTTTTCTTTAGTAATTACCGCAGGTAATGTTTACATACCAGTACTATGATATTATGCAGCATATCACTTTATACAGCCTCTGTTGCATCATTGCTCTCTTCATCACTGTTAGTTCCAGACATATCAACTTCTTAAACTTCTATTGTATCACTGCTGTCTTCTGAGTCACTGTCTATATATGTGAGATCATCCTCATAAACTGGTGGCATTTTCTGAGCCGACTTCATTCATGTTCTCTTGGCCAACCCTTCTCTCGTGAAATTTTGCCTTTCCTGTAAAATGAACAATGTTCATTTTGCTTGTAAACATTCTTACCTAAACATTGAATAAGCTTGGTTGACACACATAAGCCACTCTGGCGCTGCTCCATAATCCAAGTCTTAAGTCTCTGCTCCAAGTTTGCCCATTTTGCTGGTTTTCCTCTGAAGGCCTCCTTCTTTTTTTGGCACCTTAAGGAGTTGTTCTTCCTGTTTTCTCCACTGTCTGATCACACACTCAGTGAGAGGAGGTCCACATTGTCTCTCTGCAGCTCTGTTTCCATGCTCTTTTGCATAGTTGGTTACATTCAGTTTGAATTTTGCAGAGTAAGACAATCACCAGCATTTATCTTTTTATTGTTTGACATCTTTATGGGCTCAGAATGCACTGGTCCCTGTTGTTTCTGTGCACTCTGCAACTCCACCTCCAATTACGGCATCAGCTGACATCAGTAACAATAAGGCTCGTGATTGGAGGAAGCCTGTTTTACAAGGTATGGGCAGCTATGCACCCACGGGGCTGCCTCCTCAGCTGACTTCCATGTATAAGACACCCTTCAATTTTCAGTCTAACGATTTTAGAAAAATATAGCATCTTACACACGGAAAAAGACGGTACTGACATGATTCATTCTGTAAACAGATGACATAAACTTACAGTCCCAATAAATATGATACTCTATTTTCTCATGACTTTCTTAACATTTTTTCTCTAGCTTACCTTATTGTAAAAATACAGTCTTTAATACAAATAACATACAAAATATGGTAATCATCTGTTTGTTATTGGTGAGGCTTACAGTCAACAGTAAGCTATTAGTAAAATTTTGGGGGAGTCAAAAGTTACACATTTTCAACAGTGTGGGGTGTTGGTGCCCTAACTCTGGTGTTTTTCAAGGGGCATCTGTATCTTTATTGAAGTTTAAAATGTTCCATCTTCTTCAGTCTAGTTTCTGAATCTATTTTTTTTAATTGCTTAATGTGATAAAATACACAGAACATAAAATTTGTAATCTAAACCAGTGATTTTCAACCTTTTTCATCTCATGGCACACAGACTACAAAAATTCTGTGGTATAACCAACATACATAGTCTTTGCCAATCTGACCAAAAAAAGTATAATTTTGATTAATTCACTGGACAGCTACTGTGTTGGCTATTGTCATTTTTTCAAGTGGTTGTGTGGATTTAAGAGTTGAATTCTGTGTCTCACTTGTGGTCTTGTCATCCGGTCTGTTTAAATTAGAACAAGGGAGAGGTAGCTAGTTATGCCGGAGCCAGCGTGGGCACGAGTGGGGGGCCATCCTGACTGCAGTTTGTCTCTGAAATGTGTGACCTTAAATGGGGGTCATAATACCTCCCTCACAGTGGTCTCCTATAGATCCAGGAAGTAACTTTGCAAGAGAAGAGGAAGGCCCAGATATGTTAATGAAAGTCTTAATTATATATAAATAAGAATGCTTATGTTTACATTTTTAACATTAAGAAGGTATATGGTTTATATAACAAGGTTAATGCAGTTCCTGTGTTTCCAGTTGTTCTCCAATGGCCGTAAATGTAAAATCTAATGTCTGTGAGGAACATGTGCCTCGTTTTCCTGGCTCCTGCAAGTCTGGCAGTGTCTGAGCAGGAAGGAGGAACCCATATCCTCAGTCATCTTATTTCAGGCCAAAGTTTATGAAGATGTGGCTTAAATTAGTGAAGGAATGAGTCATTGTCTTCAAAAAGAAAGGTCATATGGAAGCAATTTTATAAATATTTAGTTGCTCATAAATTCATTGAGGTTGCTTCAACTAGAACTTCAGGCTCAAACCCCAGTCTCACTTTAATATCTTACAGGCCTCAAAAAAGCCCTTTGTATCCATGTGTCTGGTTTGGAGCCATTTCCTGGCTTTAAATGTAAGAGTTGGCTAGGGACTATCTTGTCAGCCTTAAAAAGATCAAGATGAGTTCAGAGTATTTATGTGCTTCTTGGGTTTAGAGCAAAAAACTTGATCAGTTGTTACAGAGCTGGATGAAACCACATCCTTTAAGGGATAGGGACTTTCTAGAGCAGCGTAACCTGGTGGAAAACCTTTGAAATCAGGCCTTAGGGTGAAAGCACACAAGTGTGTGCCTCCAGACAGGAGAGGAGAAGTTCCAACAGGGGCAAAAGAGAGAGAAGGAAAAACGGTTATTTGGAGAAAAGACAATGAAGAAGAAAACATTGGAAAAGAATGCTATCGTTAATACACTTAAGGGTTAAACATTACATCCACAAAAACCAACAAGATGCCACTTAATGAATATTTTTTCCAAGAATTAAAACCAAGTCATAGCCCTAATGGGTTTGGTTCAGTGGATAGAGGGTCAGCCTGCAGACTGAAAGGTCCCAGGTTCGATTCCGGTCAAGGGCATGTACCTTGGTGGTGGGCACATCACCAGTAGGGGGTGTGCAGAAGGCAGCTGATCGATGTTTCTCTCTCATCGATGTTTCTAGCTCTCTATCCCTCTCCCTTCCTCTCTGTAAAAAATCAATAAAATGTATTTTTTTAAAAAACAACCAAGTCATACATTTTTTTAAAAAATTATGGAAGACAGATGAAGTTGAGGAAAATTTCCTGAAGCAGAGTAACAAGATACAGGTGGGAAAAGAGGAGACAAAGTTAAATGAGAGGCCTGGTCCTAGAGGCCCATTATGCAAAAAATCTAGATCCAGGAAGAGGTTCAAGTTTTGAAAAGGAGATGTTACGGACTGAATGTGCCCCCCAAAACTATGTATAGACATCCTAACCCCCAAGATGTTTTAGGAGGTGGGGCCTTTGGTGGAGGTTGAATCCTCATGAATGGGATTAGTGTGCTCATAAACGGGACCCCAGAAAGCAAGCGCTCTGTGAGAATACAGTGAGGGAGCAGCATTTGGAAACTGGAAACAGAGCCCTGGACACATACTGAACCTCCTGGTACCTAGATCTTGGACTTCAGCTTCCAGAACTTTGAAAAATAAATGTTTGCTATTTTAAGCCACTGGTTTTTGGAATTTAGCTGCCTAAATGGGTGGAGGACACACTGAAAATTTCAAAAACTTTCCCAGAAAGGAGGAGTATGCTACTGAGTGCCCAGCCCAATGGATGAAAGTAAGCCCGTACAAATGCAGGTCATTGTGAAATTTTACAATATGAAAACAAGAAGTTCCTACAGCTTCCAGGGTGTGTCAGGAGGAGGGGAGAGCATTTCCTAGACAGGAACAAGAGCAGAATAACACTGGATTTCTCAACACTGAAAGTTAGAAGACAGAGCACGATGCCTTCAGAGTCTAAGGGAAAATGATTTCCCAGCCCAGATTCTAGGCCCAGCCAAATGACCAATGAGTGGGGGGACAAAATTGACATTTCAAATGCACAAGGTCTCAGATTTACCTCCATGAATGTTTTGTAAGAAACCCCTGAGGGATGTTCTCCACTAAAGTAAGGCAGTCAAGAAAAGAAGCTGGGATTCTCCAAATAGTGGTGAGACGAGATCCTAAGTGAAGACAACAGCTTGCAGCTGACTTAGAGCATGACCAGCCCAGACTGGAGCAGGTCAGAAGCTCTGGAAACAAATTCTTCAAGAGGATAAAATTGGTAAACAACTATGTGTTTGAATATACTTAGAGGAAGGACATTGATGTACCTGAGAGAAGAGTTCGGAAGAGTCAGCAAAATAATCATAGTACAGACGACACAATAAGGTAAAGTTCTGACTGACACGTACATAATTAGGGTGCTAGTCTATGTAATCTATATAATAAAAGCCTAAGCGACGTTACGGCGGGACTAGAATGACCGGTTGCTATGATGTGCAGGGATCACCAGGGGGCAGACGCTCAATGCAGGAGCTGCCTTCTGGTGATCAGTGAGCTCAGCCAGAAACTGGGCTCATGGCTGGCAAGCGCATCAGCCCTCTCACGCCCCTGCGGCAGCGCTAAGGAGCAGTGAGCAGGTGGGAGGTAAGGAGCAAGGGCTCCCAGACTGTGAGAGGGATGTCTGAGCTGGCAGGCGGATATCCCTCAAGGGGGCCCAGACTACAAGAGGGCGCAGGCCAGGCTGAGGGGACCCCCCCTTTAATGCACGAATTTCGTGCTCTAGGCCTCTAGTGTGATTATAGTGGGAGAGTGAAAAATAGCGTGTAAGAGAGAGAGAATGTAACTTTGTGGGGGGAGAAGATGAAAGACCACATGAATTTTCTAAAATAAGAAATTAAAATAATCAGGAGACGACTCGCTGGAGAGAACCTTGATACCCAAGGACCGAAATTGGAGACTGCACAGAAACTGTCGACAACATTTTAGAACACCTGCATGATTCCCTTTCATGTAATAGCCTACTGTTGTAATTTTAATCAATTAAAAGGATTGGTTATTTGAAAAGAAAGGAAATCAGTAATGGCTGTAACAACAATCACTGAGAAGCAGTATAACAGTATAACCATATATAGTCAAACCTCGTTTCTCCATGTCTTACAGTCCTTTTCTGGGGTCTTCCAGGGTTTTGTGCCCTTATCTGGTCTTTTTACCAGATTTTCCCTTTGTGGTCACCATTTTGGCTCCTACTGCGCCTGCCTCATAGTTTTGCTTCCCTTCTGGCTTCCACTGTGCATTCCTCAGGGGAGGAATTTTCCCCACATAGTTTACTGCCCCCTCCCTCCCCCCATTAATCTGGAGGAGCGGACAGGTTGTCTGCTCTTGGCGGGGCAATGCTGCTATTCCCTGGAGTTTCTGTGGAACTAGCTTCCTAGTTAATCCATCTTAGTGTTTGGCTTCCTTCTCTTTTGTTAATATTAACAAGCTGCCTTCTGTAACAATTATACTCTGCCTGTAACTTTTCTGAAGATTTGAAATGATTTTGGAAGAGAAACGGAGATGAGCAGTGGCGTCGCTGCATTGCTTAGAAGTAGATAGCCAAGCGTATCTAACGTGTTTAAGGTTGCCTGTGGGACGGGAAATCAGCCTGTGGGAGGGTGGGGAGGAGGAACTGCTGATGCTTTTCATCACTGGCTTTGAATGGTGATTTGACTGCTGAACTCTGACATCTACATCTTTGATTAAAAATAAGCGAAGTTTTAAAAAATCAATACATGTTAAGGGATTCATGGCTTTGCCCCTGATAGTGGAAAGTTCATTTTAGCATCTTGGAGACAGAGACGGATTAAAAAGGAATGAAATGCAGCAATTAAGCCATTTGGGGACCCTTTACCCTGAAGCCAAAAATCTCATCATAAATTTGCAGAGGATGGGTGGGAGAGAATAATTGATGATCACAATTTTGAATTTTATAAAGAATGCCTCCTTTTTCCATGACAGGATCATGATTCATTCCCACCAAGCTGTGAGGACTCTGGCTCAGAAGTCAACCACATAACCTTAAGAGACTGAGTTAATACTCTTCTCCTATGTCTTAGAGCCACCCTTTGTTTCCATTTGGGAACCCTCACCGCCCTGAACAAATGTCAGTTTCCCCCCGGATAATCTTCAGGAATGGCAAACTAGGATCCCTGGTAAACTCAAAACACTTAGCAGTGAATTCCTTGTTGTGCTGAGTTTTGTTTTGTTTTTTAAATACAGGAAATGTACTGGAGTTCACATTTTTTCCTTCCTCAGACAAAACCATGAAAGATTTAAAATCACTGTGCAACAGTTGGTTTTGGCTGCTAGCATCCATTTTTTTCCATTTCTATTAATGCCCAAGCCTTTCCCCCACTGAGTGTGACTTTGGGGAGAGGGTATCCTGGTGACTTCTGCAACTGTTAAAGAGACAGTCATGCTGTCCAGTACCATAGCCACTGGCCACAGGTGACCACTGAGTACTTGATCTGCTGCCTCCTGCATGCCCCCTACTGGGATCGAGCCTGCAACCGGGCATGTGCCCTGACCCGCAATCGAACTGTGACATCCTGGTTCATATGTCGATGTTCAACCACGGAGCCACACCAGCCAGGCCTGTTAACTTTTTATAGTTCAAGTATTTCCATTTGAAAATTCAGCTTCCAAATTAAGATGTGTTATAAATGTAAACTATACTCTGGATTTGGAGGGAAAAGTATAAAATACCTTATTGGTAATTTTTTATATTGGTTACATGTTGAAATAATACTTGGACATATTAGGTTAAATAAAATATGTTATTAAAATTCTGCACATTTCTTTTTACTTTTTTAAAAAAATATTTTATTGATTTTTTTACAGAGAGGAATAGAGAGCCAGAAACATTGATGAGAGAGAAACATCAATCAGCTGCCTCCTGCACACCCCCTACTGGGGATGTGCCCACAACCAAGGTACATGCCCTTGACTAGAATCGAACCCGGGACCCTTCAGTCCGCAGGCTGATGCTCTATCCACTGAGCCAAACCAGTCAGGGATCTTTTTACTTTTTTAATGTGGCACTAGAAAACTGTAAATCACCCATGTGGCTTGCATTATAATTCTCTCCTCTCTTCCTATTCCAGAACAGGCCGGCGCAGACCTGTAACCTGAGTTTGTGCAATCAGATGCTCCTCAGAGCCTGAGCAGACAAGCCAAGGACAGGACCGGTGGGCAGGTGAGAGGAAGGTGAGCCCCTGAAGGGGTCGCTCTCCCTCCTGTGTCTGGGTGAGACCCCCTAGACTCCCTTAGCTTCCAACTCCACACCCACCTAACAGATTCCCTTTGGCTCACATTAGCCCATCTCTTCCTGTTGTTGGCATTAAACATCCTAACAGACCTGATTAGGATTTGGCAGGGAGTCTTCACCCTCAAGCCTCGTTTCACCAGAATCCCTGGTACATCTTATTACCGCTCATGTCACAACACCAGGGCTGGGTCCATGCCAAGCTCCCTGGGGGTTCGGATGTTCAGCCAGGGTGGAGAAGTATGGCTTTAGGTTGTCTTGGCCAGTGAGTAAATTTTATAAATCACCACAATCAGAGGTACTGAAAAGAGAGACACAAAAATACTGTGGCAGGATCATAAATCCTACGTGTTCTTTGGCTGCCTTGAATTAAGTGAGGACACTTCCCAGAATCCTGTTTATTTGGGAAATTGGAAAATTCTAGCCATCACCAAGAATGGTTTTGTTTTTTCTTAGGTTACCTGACTTCCCTCGGTACCTAGAGCTGATTACAGCACCAGGAAAAATTTAAAAAGTAGATATGCATTTCCCTGTATTGTTACTCATTAAAGATCTACTTCATCTACTTATTTGCTCAAACTGCTGTGTACCCCCAACTGCTGGGGACACCAGTGTCCTATCTCAGCCCGTTTTCCTCCAGTTAATTGTACCCCATTCTGGGTCTTGCTGCCCAGCCTCTGTGATCAGGGGCTGGGGTTCAGGCTTTCTGCTTTGTTCTTTTGTAGACTGATAAATAAATGCTTTTTCCTCTCAGCGATTGCAAATCAGGAGAACATCCATGCTCATCATTCATTCATTCATACTCTTTTTATTTTTTAAAAAAATCTTTTAGTAATTTCACATAATTTTATTATTTTTTAATCCTCATATTTTTTCAATTGATTTTGAGAGAGTGGAAGAGAGAGGGAAAGACAGAAACATCGATGTGAGAGAAACACATCGATTGGCTGCCTCCTGCATGTGCCCCCACCATGGCTCAGGTGAGAAGGACCCTGCAACCCAGGTACGTGCTCCTGACCAGAATCGAACCCGGTACCACCTGGTCTGAGCTACAGAGTGATATAAAGATGGTTGCTACTCATGCTGGGGTTGCAGGAACCCAGGAGAGGCCAAGCTGTGCACCGAGGCGGCAGCTGCTAGTGCTGGGCCTGGGGCCACTAAGCAAGAGGTAGGAGGCATGCCCAGGCCAGACGCTTCTTGTTCAGGGTTCGTGGATCTTGGAGCCACGACAGGTCATTTTTATGGAAAAGCCACTGGAGATGGCTTTGGTAAGCCCACAAGTTGTCATTCAGTCATCCCCTATGGAGTGCCTACTAGAGATCAGGTATGGTTCCAGGGACAGGGGACCCTCCACTATGCACAAAAAGTGAGCAGTCTTCTCGAAATGTCAGGGTAGATCTTTTTGTGTGTGTGTTAATCCTCACCTGAGGATATTTTTTGCATTGATTCTTAGAGTGGAAGGGAGAGAGGAAGGGTGAGAGAGAGAGATTAATTTGAGAGAGACATATCTATTGGTTGCCTGTTGCATGCACCACGACCAGGGCCAGAAATTGAACTTGCAACCCGAGTATGTGCCCTAGACTGGAAATCAAACCCATGGCCCTTTGGTGGGCAGGCTGATGCTCCAACCACTGAACACACCGGCCAAGGTAGGGGAGATCTTTTCTGATTGGGCTATACCCCCTTTCTCCTGGGGGAGGGGTCATGAAGTGTCAGTGAAAGTGTGAAGCTGGGCCAAGGCTACCTGGCTTGATTAAAATAGGGCATTTGTTCATGAATACATTTTCTTTAAAAAAGTCTTATAAAGTGAAATGTATTTAAGACCTTCACTAATTTAAATCCCTTCAGAAGCCTGGGTAAGAAGTAACTTCCTTCTGAACTTCCCAGCAACCATTGTAGCTTAATTAAAGAATGAAAAAAGTGGGTTTTTTTGCAAATGTTACCCAGCCTATCTATCAAAGTACATAAATGCTGCTCTTGGACAGAATATGAGCAGGCCTGTGACGTGTGAATAGACCACAACTGAGGAAAGAGCTGGGTGATATAACCTGGGGAAGCTGCTGAGGAATCCGCTCCTCCAGCATTAGCTGAACTTCCTATTGTGTGTTCTCCAAGGTTAACATGTGAACTACCTCACCTCCCTGGGCAAGCCCTGCCACGCCTTCCATGACACTGTGTGGAGCCTCATAACTTCCCTGTCCGACGTTACCAGGCCCCTCCTCTCTGCTGCTCATCACACACAAATCTTGGAGGGCAAAGTGCTGACAGTGAGTTCTCTCCTTCCCACATGGGTATCATAGAGTAACTTCTAATTTTAAAAACCATTTGGTTTCAGATGCAAGGCGAACTTCGCTGCATAGTGACACCTGGCGATAGCCTAAGGAGATCCTAGAAATCCCTGTGAGGCGCCTATGTTTACTGTTGGTCACCGAGATTGAGGCAAAGGGTTGCTTGATCTTATTTTATCCTTTGGAGACTGGAATTTTCCCTTTCACCAACTCTTACTATTGTTCATCACATTTTATCTGAATGAAGTTAAGGTAGGGGTTAAGATTTTATCCACTTTAGTTAACACATTAAGCGCCCTGTCGATCATCGGTGACTGACACTATACTTTCCGTCCGGAAGACAAAACAGGCTGGGCGCTTAACGTGGTAAGGATATCTTTTGAGGCAGCGGTCGCCAACTTTTCGGACCTCACGGACCACCGGTTGGTGACCGCTGTTTTAAAGTACTTCATTGTGGTTCACAAATGTCAGTTGCTTCTATATGGCCTCACTGATTGTCACAATAAACCCTTAGCCAGTGGTTCTCAACCTTCCTAATGCTGCGACCCTTTAATACAGTTCCTCATGTTGTGGTGACCCCCAATTTCACTGTTACAAATTGAACATAAAGCATAGTGATTAATCACAAAAACAATATGTAATTATGTATGTGTTTTATGATGGTCTTAGGCGACCCCTGTGAAAGGGTTGTTCGATCCCCAAAGGGGTCGTGACCCACAGGTTGAGAACTGCTGCGCTTAGATGGTAATGGTCCTAAGGTTTAAAAGTTAATTCCAGTGTGTAGAAAGAAAAATGTGCAGAGAGGTCAAGGGTCAAAGGTAAATGTTTCAGAAGCCCACGTGACACACAAGGAACCAGAATGCAGGCCTTATTTCCGGACATCAATAAATTCATGTTACAGGTAAGCTTTCCAATAAAACAGTTTTATAGTTTTTAGAAGTACTTTCCTTTGAAAATTGAAAAACTTGACAGTTACTATTCCAATGGCTTTCACACTAAAAAGATAAAACAGATAAAATTAATTTAAAAGCATTACTATGAAAAAAGTAAATTTTTATTATTGAGTCTTCAAAATTTGGTGTGTATTTTATACTTAGTCTAAATCCTCACCCAAGGACATTTTTTCCACTAAATTTTAGGGAGGGAAAGAGACATAGATTGGTTGCCTCCTACATGTGGGATCAAACCAGGTATGTGCCCTACACTGGGAATCGAACCCAAGACCTTTCAGTCCCAGGGCATAACCACTGAGCAACACTGGTCAGAGCCTATACGTAGTGTATTTCTTAATTCAGAGGCTAAATTTTCATTCAAAATACTTGCTCTGTATTTAAATTTCATGAAATTTACATTTGAAAAACCCATTCACTTACCAAGTTATTCCTAGCATACTTGAAAGTTTTCTAGTAACTGAGTTAAGAATGGATTTGAATTTAAAAAAATGAAACATTTCCTTGGTCACCCTAGTTACAGGCCAAGTGCTCGAGAGTCACATTTGGCCAATGGCTGCTATACTGAACAGAGCTGATTGAAGGGCCACCAGGAAGTCTGCTCTCAATAGGGTGGCATTCAGAGCAGACTGTCTTTAATCATCTCAAAATTAAGTAACTTTCTTGTACCTTAAACTATTCACTATCCCATCAACATATTATTTATAATTACACTAGAGGCCCAGTCCACGAAATTTGTGCACAGGTAGGGTCCCTAGGCCTGGCGTGCAATCAGGGCTGATCTTCCCCGCTGCCGGCAGCCGGCCCTGTCCCCTGCCAGTCGCCTTCTGTGTGTGGGGCAACCGGGGGCCCTGCTCACTCACACCCGCCTTGGCCTGGCGCCGCCCCCCACCCCCAGTTTTACGTTCCCCATTGGGCTATTGAGCCTGCCGGTTGGGTGTAGCTCCTGCGTTGAGCGTCTGCTCCCTGGTGGTCAGTGCACGTCATAGTGACTGGTCGTTCTGCCATCCAGTCTATTTGCATATTACACTTTTATATATATAGATTTTCTCATAATATGCCATGTTTTCTAGTAAAGTTTAAACTGCATTCAGATTTTATGTATAAATGCTTTGTTGAATATGAAGCTTATGGTTATATGAACTCTAAAATGACCCATTGGTCATGCATTTTTCTCCAATGACTCCACAGTGTTAAACCAACCCTTAAACAGGTGTTAAAAAGGAGATCCCACCATGTTTTTTATGAAGTAATGATTAAATATTTCTTGAATATTTAAGTGGAGCAATTCTTGAGAATCAAAGAGTAAAAATATTATGCTTATGCTTTAGCTCTCCAATTTATTTCATTATCTTTAACATTTAGTATTTAAACACTCAACTAGTAAACAGGTATTAGACTGAATAACCATTTTAGAATTTATTTAACTTAATTTTGTGTGACCCTTGAAATGATTAAACCCTCTGATCAAAATAGATCCTCAAATCTTTACTGAAAATGAGTAATTACTCTGCTCAGACTGCTACAGAAACAGAATGTGATTCAAATTCTGGAGCCTATGCAGTTGTTAGGGGTGAGAGGGTGTCGCCTCCTTACACCTTGGCCCTCAGACTTCTGGCTTGGTCTGCAAGCTCCAATTTTGCGATTGCTGAGAGGTGGACTTCGTCTGGTCCATCTGCTAAGCGCAAAGTTCTGGTGAGGGCATACCTGGAAAAACAAAAAGAACAGGGGTGGCAGGAGTTATCAGAGAGGAACATGATGCTTTCACACCAGTCATCTGATTTTAAGCCAAAACTATTAATTTTCGAAGTCTGGCCAAGGCAGTGATAAGAAAACGAGCACAGGGAAAATCAAGTAAAGCAGCCAAGGCCTCTGAAATGCCATGTTAAGTTCTTCCCCTGGGACCTGGCCCAGTGCAGCAGGCTGAATCTGTCTTGGTTTGCTGCCGGTTATTGGAATTTGGTCGCACTGAGAGATCTCTTAGGTGAGCCACAGTGTAAGTATATAACACTGATAGTTCTTTCTTAAAGTCAAAACTTGATGGGGCACTGCTCCCGGGTGAGAAAAGGTGGCAGTGGAGGCGAGTATCCATTTCTTCCTGACTCCCAGCAACCAGAATCAACGGGAGATGGTCACTGGCAGGGACTGCTGCAAAGTGGACCAAGACCTCCCTGTGGAGGTGGTGAACGATCCTAAGTCTATACCTAAGCCTGGCTCTGGGCTCCCTTTGGCCTTGTTGCTTGCCCCTCCTCTTTTTCCTGGTTCAGAATGAACCCCAGTGTAAAAGTTAATGTAATTGAGTGAATTGGTCATCTATAATAATAAAAGCATAATATGCAAATCGACCAAACAGCTGTCTGGACAATCTTCCAGACGAAGCCAGGGCTGCAGCCGCAAAGGCCTACTCTTGCACGAATTTCGTGCATCGGGCCTCTAGTCTATAATAATAATAAAAGCATAATATGCTAATTAGACTGGACGTCAATTCAGATGAAGTGGGTCTCTGCAAGGGAAGTCCAGGCCCCGGGTGCCAGAGAGAAGCCAGTACTGGCAGCCGAGGGAAGGAAGGTCTACTCTTGCACAAATTTCATGCATCAGGCCTCTAGTTGTAATCATAAGAGCAACTCTTTTTTGGAACTGAGCTCTATATTAAAGTACCAACGTACCCTACTTGGTTAGGCACTGACCTCCCATGCAGTCTGTCTATAACTAGTACTTTATTTAGCCTTCAATTATACTTTAAGTTAGTATCTTTATTTCCTTCTTAAACAGTTAGTGTCAAGGCAGCTGTAGATTTTTAACTCCTAGCCTATCAAATGCAGATGGTTATGAAATGGCACCTACTCACATGTTAGCCAGAGGGTAATCCTGGGAAACACCTGCACCTCCACACACTTGGATGGCCCGGTCAATAATTTTGCAGACGGCCCGAGGGGCGGCCACTTTAATCATTGCAATCTACAAAAGCAAGACACAAAAGGAATGTCCTTTTCTTTGACAATACACCATGTGGGAGAATTTGATATGATCAGTATTTTCTTTGTGAAATAACAAGGGAACTTTTCCACAGGCGTTCACCACTAAAACAGGATCTTCGATGAACGCCAACAGAGAAGTCCACTGTAATGCAGCTCATGCCATATTTCAGTCAATACGACCTTCTGAAAAGAGGTATCTCTTCCAAGTCACACTTTATTAATTTATTTATACCTTACCTTGTTTCGGAAAGAATTTCAGGCAGCTGATAAATTACATTCATCACCTTAGGGATCATAAAATAAGTTTGAGTTTTCAATTATCTGTTTGTCTTAGCAACTTTATTGGCTTTTAGAAATAAGTGATCATGTTCTTATTTCATATAAGCCAGAAATAAGGAAGGGTCAAGTTGTTTTATGAAATGTATACACAGTGTTGTATATTTTATATCATTTTGGCCACACTTCACCAGAACCCTAGGCCATGACACAGACAGAAAGGTTAGATACTGTGCCCAAGGCCACAAAGCAGCAGAAAGGGACATAGTGTGTACAATGCCAAGCCAGTATAAAGTGTAGGATTTCCTACTTCCTGTTGCTGTATGTAAAGAATGCTGAAGAACCTAGTCAGTTTGGCTGAATGGATAGAGCAATGACCTACAGACTGAAGGATCCTGGGTTGGATTCTGGTCATGGACATGTACCTCGGTTGCAGGCTCAATCCCCAGCCTTTCAGTGGTTCTCAACCTTCTGGGCCTTTAAATACAGTTCCTCATGTTGTGACCCAACCATAAAATTATTTTCGTTGCTACTTCATAACTGTAATGTTGCTACTGTTATGAATCGTATTGTAAATATCTGATATGCAGGATGGTCTTAGGCGATCCCTGTGAGAGGATTGTTCAACCACCAAAGGGGTCGCGACCCACAGGTTGAGAACCACTGGTCTAGATACATGCAGAAGGCAACCAATTGATGTGTCTCTCTCACATCGGTATTTCTTCCCCTTCCTTCCACTCTTTCTAAAATTTAATGGAAAAATATCCTTGGATGAGGATTAACAAACAACAAAACAAAAGAATGCTGACTATATTTGCATCCGGAAAATCCTTCCCTAAAGCAAGGGCCATACATCTATAATCTTTAAACCAAAATCACACGGAAGCTTCTAAATGCCATCAAGGCACCACACAGCCTGCAATGCCCAGTGGGAGGGAGAATCTAGAGCAGGCTTGACAGATGGTGGTACAAGGGGCCTCACCTGCTTGATAGCGCCAGTGTTGCCCAGAGTGTCAATGGTGTGGGCGGCTTTCAGGGTCAACAAGCGGATCTCTTCAATGGCAATGCGGCTTTCAGCAATCCAGTGAGCCACAACCTCCTGCAGGGGAGCCAAGGGCAGCAAAAGGAGGAGATAAGCTGCTATCTTATGTCACATGTAATACACTGTAATAGTTTGGTGAAAACACTAGTCTAGTCCAAGGACTGTGCCCAAGCCTTACTCTACATATTTTTCAGAATATATAGAGTTTATTCACTTGATACAGCTTCTTTATTAGTTGTAGAACCATACAGATTGTCTATTTTACCTTTCACGATTTTGGCAGTTGTGGCTTTTGAGGAATTAGTCTAATTCATCCAAGTTGTTAAATTTATATGCTTTGGACACATGCCTGGCTGTGTGGGGCCCAAGGCCCAGATCTAGAGTGAAGGAGATTCCACTGCAGCCTTAGCTCCAGGGCCCTTCTCCAGTCCAGCTTTCCCCAGAGCGCTCTGCATTGTGGGTTATAGAAAACCGACACAGACTGCGACAATGGAATAGATGTACTTGACCCTGTTTCTCTTGCAAAGTACAACTAAAAACCTGGGGCATTATCTATAAACAAACCTAAGAAGACTCTGAAAGGCCGAGAGAAGAAGGCAGACCTAGGGACTTCAGACTAAAAGAACAAATTGGTGGTGACTTCCCTGGGTTTTCTTTTTACCTCATATATCTCAGACTTGGGGCTGAAGAAGCCAGCAACTTGGAAATGCCAAGTAAATAGAAGGCTATTTCATGCTCATGGATTGGAAAAATTAATATTGTTAAAATATCTATACTACCCAAAGCAATCTACAGATTCAATGCAATCCCTATCAAAATACTAGTGACATTTTTCACAGAACTAGAACAAACAATCCTACAGTTTATAAGAACCACAAAAGATCTTAAATAGCCAAAGAATCTTGAGAAAGAAGAATAAAGTTGGAGGTATCACGCTATCTGATATCAAACTACACTACAAGGCTATAGTAATCAAAACAACATAATATTGGCATAAAAACAGACATATAGATTAAGGAACAGAATAAATAGCCCAGATATAAATCCATGGCTATATGGTCAATTAATCTACAACAAAGGAGGCAAGAATATACAATGGGGTAAAGGCAGTCTCTTCAATAAATGGTGTTGGGAAAACTGGACAGATACAAGAAAGTGAAATTAGACCACTTTCTTAAACTATATATAAAAACAAACTCAAAAGGATTAAAGACTTAAATGTAAGCCCTGAAATCATAAAGGCCCTAGAAAAAACACAGGTAGTAAATTCTGATATTGATGTTAGCAATATTTTTTGGGTATGTCCCCTGGGGGCAAAGACAAAGGCAAAAATAAACAAATGGGTCTACATCAAACTGCTGAAAGCTTTTGTACCACAAAAGAACCCAACAAAACAAAAAAAGGCAACCTACTGAGTGGGAGAAGATATTTGCAAATGATACAGCCCTTAAGGGGTTAATATCCAAACTCTACAAAGAACTCATACAGCTCAACATAAAAAAACAATCCAATTATAAAAGGGGCAGAGGACCTGAATAGACACTTCTCCAAAGAGGGCATACAGATGACCAATCGACATATGAAAAGATGCCCAACATCACTAATCAAGGAAATACAAATCAAAACCAAAATGAGCTATCACCTTATGCCTGTCAGAATGGTTATCAATAAATCAACAAACAAGTGTTGGTGAGGATGTGAGAAAAGGGACTTCTTGTGCACTGTAGGTTGGATTGCAAATTGGTGCAGCCACTATGGAAAACTATGGAGGTTTTTCAAATAATTAAAAATAAAATGGCCATGACCCAGCAATCCTACCTCTGGGTATTTATCTGAAGAAATCCAAAAAAACGAATTAAGATATATGCACATCTGTGTTCATTTTTAAAAATTTTATTTACAGTAGCCAAGTTATGAAAGCAGTGCATAAATGCAAATGGAATATTAGCCATAAAATAAGAACGAAATCTTACCATTTGTGACAACATGATGGACCTAGAGGGTATTGTGCTAAGTGAAATAAGTCATACAGAAAGACAATAACCATATGATTTCACTTATATGTGGAAATTAAAAAAAAAAAAACAAGCAGAATAGAAAGACTCATAGATACAAAGAATATTTTGATGATTGCCAGATGCGAGGAAGGTTGGGGGAATGGGTGGAAAAGGTGAAGGGATTAAAAAATACAAATTGGTAGTTATAAAATAGTCACAGGGATGTGAAGTACAGCATAGGGAATATAGTCAATAATCTGTATGGTGTCAGATGGTATGAGATTGATCGAAATGATCACTTACAAGTTATATCCTGTCTAATCACTGGGTTGTACACCTGAAACTAATACAATATTCTGTGTTACCAGTAATTGAAAATATAAATGATTTAAAATAAAAAAGAAATAACACGTTAGATATATTAGGTTAAGTAGAATTCTTAAAATCAATTTCATCTATTTTATACTTTAAAAAAGTGTAGCAACTAGAAAATTTTAAATTGCATTTGTGACACAATATATTTCTATTAGATGGCTCTGCCCTAGAGGTTGAAACAAGACTCTGAATTGACAACTTGAAATGAGCCACCAGTGGTGAGAATCCTTTTTGATGGTGTGAAACGGGACCCTAACTGCACGGACAGACCCTGGAGGCATTTGCTGCCCAGCTTCCGCACAAAGGAGAGTGTGCAGCTGGGTATCTACAGACCCTGGATTTGCTGAAAAGGATTAAGTGGGTAGAAACTGAGTGCTCTACGGAATGGCCAGATCAGTTATTAAGACAGAACTTTGATATAGACCTGCTAGCTTTAGCGCCTGGAAGGAGTCTCCAAATTCAGGGAAAAGGAATGTTACTTTCACAAATAAGAAAGAAAAAAAAAGCTGGCCCGAATTTTTGTTGATGATATGCTTACACATCTCTTTGACTTCTGCCAGATCATTTTCTTCCTGTCAAGTGCAAGAAGGTTCCAGGGAGTCATACTTTGGAAAAAAAAGCCCAGCCTTGTTCTAATTGATACATTAATTTTAAAGAGCAGGAGGGAAATTTCCCTTTAGTGCAATATTGAAACATCTCTCATGATGTGTATTCAAGATGCTGGCCCTCAACCTTTCTGTGTCCTTTCTGTGTCCTCCCTTTACCCTGCTCGAGGGGTTGGATGCAATCCTGGAAGGAGAAAGCGTAAGAAGTGATAGCTGATGCCTTGAGCAGCTCGTCGCTACCACTCCAGCAGCAGTGCGGAGTTGCATCCATGGCCCCCAAATTCACACCTTCCTACCTTCTCCTGCTGAACCCTTGCCCCGGCCATGTACTAAAGGGGTTCCCCATGAATGATTCCTACGTGTGTTCCATAAAGCAGGCTGTATTTTCCCAAAAGAACAATGCTATGACTAAACATAGATTTGCTGAAAATATTTCACAAAAAGCAAACATAGTCTACAGAGAAATTTAAAGTGAAAAATAGATTGCAACATTTCATAAGATGGTCACAAATGTACTTTACAAGGAAACCAATGTCCTAAAATATATTTGTCCAGCAAACACAAGTACAATTTTATCACAAGTTTTACCTATATTAACATGTCAGCAATTGTAAGTATTAAATATTTAACGATAATTTTGTCTTCTTAAAAGTTAGAAGGGCTTTCTGGGGATGATTTGGATATCCCACTTGCCTTAAAAAGTTTTTCAAGGAAGTCTGAAATGATATCTTCTCTTGTGATAAATATTCTCTAATTTTTTTAAAACATATTTTATTGATTTTTTACAGAGAGGAAGAGAGAGGGATAGAGAGTTAGAAACATCGATCAGCTGCCTCCTGCACACCTCCTACTGGGGATGTGCCTGCAACCAAGGTACATGCCCTTGACTGAAATCGAACCTGGGACCTTTCAGTCCGCAGGCTGACGTTCTGTCCACTGAGCCAAACCAGTTAGGGCATGTTCTCTAATTTTTATTGTGCTTTGTAAACAATAGACTCAGTAGTTCGTCATTTATAGAGAGAATTTTTAAAAAGCATGAATATTCCACCAACTATTGGTTCCATTTCTACTTAGATTTCCCAGTGACAGGGAACTCACTTCCTCCTGATGCATCCATTCCATTTTTAAATCTCTCTCCTCTCACTGAATTTTAGGCTGTTTTCCTCTATCTTTACACTTACCTATACTAATTCTTCCAGAAAGCCGAAAACAAAGCAGACCCTTCTCCTATGACAGCCCTCACATGCCCACAGACAGTATAATGTCCCAGATTCTCTGGAGAGCGAGAATCTGAGAAAGCTGAAGGATTGTCCACGCTCTCCGTGCTGAGTGCTGAAGCACTTTGGGAGTTATTTAGTCCGCACAAAGAGAAACCTCTCTTAGCAGACTACATTTAAATACAGATATAAATGTACTTTGGGGGAAAGAATCTCCTGGTTTCATGCAGAGGAAATCTCTCTCTGACCAAATGCTGTTTGGGTTCAAGGTTAGTGTAGTGCATTGGCTGCAACAAATTGAAACAGTAAATAATGATCCTTACATGCGAATGCAGTTTCTTCTTAAAGGCCACCCTTTGTGTTGCCCGTTCGCACATGATCTGCAGAGCTCGCTCTGCCAGACCAACGGTTCGCATACAGTGGTGGGTTCTGCCAGGCCCAAGGCGGCCTTGGGCAATTTCAAATCCCCTTCCTTCACCTGTGAGAAAGAAACACCAAGAGGAAAGTAGCTGCAGCCCATTCATTGTGTTAGTTACACAAATCCTGAGAAAATGATGAGCTGACCTTCAGTATAAATGACATTCTGGTAGGAAAGAAAGTTCTGTAATTAGGTTCATTATGCATTTACAGAACTTTTGATTTCTCTTTTTAAATCGCCATCATTAAACACTGTGATCAAATTTAAGAATTACCTCTTGAGTACCTACTATGCCTAAGCTATTTATTAGTTCCACGATGGTTACAGAGGAAGATTAGCCATTAAAGTCAAGAAGAGGAGACAAGGCTGGAAGGAATCCGGGATACAGAGGACAGAGGCGGCGAAGGAGGAAGAGACTGTAACCTGGGCCTGGCAGGCCTGGGTCTTGCAGAGTGGATGGGGTGAGGAGCACAAAAGCCTTCCTGGAAGAGGTGCCATTGGCGAGATTCTCTGAAGGTGGGGCAGGATTCCGATAAACGAGGGCGGAGACATTCCAGGCACACAGTGTTCAGGTTATTTATGATTATACCGTGTAAAATTTGAATTCAGAGAGTACTGAGGTTTTCTTAAAACAAGCAGAGGCCTGAAGATCATGTTTTAGGAAAAAGCATGTGGCTCTGAATTCTATAATTGTTTATGTTTTCAATTGATGTGATACAAAAACACAAACACTTTAATAAAACATTATTCCATGTAAGAAAATCCACAAAGTGGAATAATATTCCCTTGTAAATGGAGTAAGAGGGAAAGTATCTAAATTAAGGCAGACTTTACATCTTTTCCATATTTAGACATGGAAATATTTTAGTACACAGTACAGTAGAATCATTTTTGCAAACTTTTCTCACCTAGTATTAAATTGCTAGCAGGAACTCGCACTTGATTAAAATGGATCTCAAAATGTCCTCCATGCAAATGATCTATCAAATAGAAAATAAAATTTTAAAGAGCAAAATGAGTTAACAAAAAAATAGTACCATATAATTAATCTGAAGTATAATTACTTAGACAGTAGGATTTAAAAGCCTCATATGTCAGACATTCCTGGGTAGATCTGAGCCCTGAGCCAGCCCCCTAGCATCCTATACCCCAGAAAACTCATCAAATGTTCAAGTTAGAAGAGTTTTTAAAAATAAATTTGACCCAGGGCTTTTGAACTCATTCTCTGAAGTTGTAGAGCTATTAAAAGGGAAGATGGGCCTGGCCAGTATGGCCCAGTGTTTGAACACCAACTTATGAACCAGGAGGTCACAGTCCATTCCTGGTCAGGGCGCATGCCTGGTTTATGGGCTCGATCCCTAATAGGGGGCATGCAGGCTGCAGCCGATCAAGGGGAAGATGGCTCCACAGCTCCAATCAGACTATTTTATTATTGCTGCTGCTTTGAATTTTTTTATATATGGGCTTCCAAAGAAAATTTTGCTTGGGAAAAAAAGTTCTAATAATTCAAAAATTGAAAGTGAGTAATGTAATTTAAGTTTCTTCTTATCATTGTAAAAACCAGTGCCCAAAGATGCAAAGAGGCTGCTCAGAGGGACAGCGCGGGCTCAGCACTGGAGATGAAGCAGGCTGGGCCTTTAGGAATGTTTTTCCCAGTGCAGGCTTGTTCACAATGTGTCACCTCTTGAAAATGCTGGCATATCACTGAAGCTGGGAACACATTCACACTTGTCTTTACAGCACTGCTCCTCCCGGCCCAGTTCTGGAGATAATCTCATGCTAACCCCACACCCTTTTCCTGTCAGAGCGAGGTCAGTAATCAATCTTCTCCACACTGTTTCTTTTGGCCTTGGGCATAGGGAGTTGGAGAAATGCTGATGGATTTCTCATACTGAAAATTCTAACATAGCTCTGCAATGGAGGGTATTTGCAGCCAATCGATATGATGAACCCATTGTGGGAGTTTTTCAGGCTGCTGGTCTGCAAGCCAACTTCCTATGCACAACTTGCTTCAGTGAGCTTGTTCATCCCCATCTCGCCAATGCTTAATCTGTGGGTGCGTTCTACAGCTGCATCCTAGAGGGTGATCATGTCAGATGTTCTGTGAAACGAGCTTTTTTAAAAATATATTTTTATAGATTTCAGAGAGGAAAGGAGAGAGAGAAACAACAATGATGAAAATCACTGATTGGCTGCCTCCTGCATGCCCCCCACCAGGGATTGAGTCCGCAACTTGGGCATGTGCCCCTGACTGGAATCGAACTCAAGACCCTTCAGTCCACAGGCCGATGCTCTATCCACTGAGCCAAACCAGCTAGGGCAAAACTTGAACATTTTCATTGCACCACAACAAAGAGAAAGCCAGTGTCACCACAGAACCAGAAGTTCAATAAACTTTTTCATAGCATTATCACCTGCTGTATAATCACCATGCTCCCTAATTTACTTATTTACATGTTTGTAGTTAATCCTTGTCTCCTGCCTGAAGCATGTAAGTTCTATGAGAGATCAGTCTCTTGTTTTCACTAATGTACACTAAGCACTAAGCACAGGTCAGCACTCAGATACTTGCTGAGTGAATGACCTGAGCAGCAAGGAAACAATGGACATGAGCCTGATGTGGGTGGCAGGTAAGAAAAGTATCCTTGCTGCCCGGCCAGCGTTGCTCAGTGGTTGAGTGTCAACCTATGAACCAGGAGGTCACGGTTCGATTCCCAGTCGGGGCACATGCCCAGGTTGCGGGCTCAATCCCCAGTGTGAGGCGTGCAAGAGGCAGCTGGTCAATGATTCTCTCTCATCATTGATATTTCTATCCCTCTCCCTCTCTCCCTTCCTCTCTGAAATTAATAAAAAAATATTTTTAAAAAAGGTATCCTTAGAAATCCCACGCAAGGACAGAAGAGAGGAAAATTTTTGCATTCAATTCAGTCAAAACTCATTACTTACAGCTTTTATAGGATAATTAAGAAAGCTAAAAATAAATTTTATTATGGATTGCCTAGATTTAATTTTTCTAGGTATATTTTACATTGGCCCATTCTCCTGGATGACAGACAGAACACTGGCAGTCAGAGTTGTTCCTTGAATACGCCCTTTCCCAAAAGTAAACAAAATGCACCACCTCTCTTTCTTTGTTGGCATTTATATTAAGGCAGTTGTTAGGCCAAAAGACTTCTAAGAACACATGTCCTACATTAAAATGCAATCTATTCCCTGCAGTCTAACTACACACTCCAGTCTTCCAGCAGAGCCATGTTGATGGAGCACTTACCCATGTAGCCAAAAACTGACAAAGGCCTTATGATTTCTACTCCAGGTGTGTTGATAGGAACAAGAATCATGCTGTGTTGTTTGTGTCTGATCAAAACAAAAAGATGTTAGGAGAAGTCTGCTAAGTGGAGAAATAAAACAGATGTTAGGAGGAATTACAATTGTCATTTTTGTTGTTGCCATCATATAACACATAAGTAATGATGTCTAGAATGGGGTGTAAAAATAATATATCCAGCAGAGTCGGATGCAGGCTGGGATCTGGAACAATAGTAAAAGTTATTTAATTGAGGCTTCTCATTGCTCAACAATGGGAACTGATATATAGTGTTAAACATTTCAAGAGTTTGATCTAAACATCACTTAATTACTTACAGACAGTTCTGAAAAATGTTGTTTTATAATCTGACCCAAAAAGCTTTGGGAAGTAGCAACACTTTTAATATAGGAATTTCCACAGTGAAGAATATACAGCAACATTTCCTAAAATATGTCCTAAATATATCTTTAAGCAAAAAAATAGTGAAATACAAATGTGTGAAATTTAATATCATATTTTATATTGTGATTTATGAACCCAAATGTTGCATCTTAAGTAAATTATGTGGATAGAGAGGAAGACTGACTTGTTTCATACATATATTTCAATCACAGTTGTTTTATTACCTTGGTGTCGTGGCATTTTTAGTTCTTCCCATAACAATTGCAATTTTGCACTTTGGATTCCCAGCTCCTAAAACCAAGGGGAAAATGAGCAGAATACATCATAAAAAATTTTTTCAGTCTGACATTATATCCTAAAAGTTCTAATCCTTCCAAGTTTATCCCTGACAAAACACACACACACACACACAAAACAACAACAACAAAACAAATAGGAAAAATCCTTGATTAAAAAAAAAAGAATGCTTATGTACTAAAC